TCTATAATTAAATGGGTTGAATTGGTTAGGTAAAAATACAAGAAGCCATTATAGAACACGAGCATAATTATTATATCACAATCATGTTATAAATAAATTGCCGGTGTTGGTATGGTGTTTGTGAAGAACTTGTCTGTCTGAATGTCTATCTGTCTCTTTATCTGTCTTACTGTCTGTCTGTTCTAAAAGATGTTTATTATAGAAGTCTTTTGTAATTCTGGCTGTCTGTCTGTCTGTCTTTCGTTCTGTCGTATAAAAGGTATCTTATAGAAGTAATTTTCATATACCTGTTATAGAACCTGTCTGTTTTAACTGTCTTATAACACCTCACAGTCACTAACCATCGCCATAGGCCAGCAAGGTAGTGACTGTTTATCCACTCTAACAGTAAACACTATGACCTAAGATATACAGTTACAGATGAACCTAAATGACCTATGACTAAGATAACCCATAAGGTGTATATATATATTTTAGAGGTAATTATGGGAAGTATTTTCTTGGTTATTGGGACTGTTGTATAGAGTGGGTTGGTACACGTGATAGAAAGGACTTAGAACATTATTGAAGCTATCTAGACAGGTCCTTGATGAACAGAAGGCTATCTAGACAGGTCCTTGATGAACAGAAAGCTATCTAGACAGGTCCTTGATGAACAGAAGGCTATCTAGACAGGTCCTTGATGAACAGAAAGCTATCTAGACAGGTCCTTGATGAACAGAAAGCTATCTAGACAGGTCCTTGATGAACAGAAGGCTATCTAGACAGGTCCTTGATGAACAGAAGGCTATCTAGACAGGTCCTTGATGAACAGAAGGCTATCTAGACAGGTCCTTGATGAACAGAAGGCTATCTAGACAGGTCCTTGATGAACAGAAAGCTTTCTAGACAGGTCCTTGATGAACAGAAAGCTTTCTAGACAGGTCCTTGATGAACAGAGCATTCAGAAAGACAGGTGATGTGGCCGCTGGTGGTGTGAGAGTGGGAGAGGTGAGGGTGAGAGGCGGTGGTAGTGGTGTGTGTGGGATGATGTTCAGAGAGAGAGTTTGGGAACATGGCCAGCCTAGCGCAGTGGAGCAGGTCGCCACACCACCACCACTACCACCTCTCCCACGCTCTCCCACAAGAGGAGAAGAGCGCAGTGGGGTGTTCATGCAACCCGAGGTGACAGTTGACTGGTGCATGGTGGCCACGACAGCCCTCCATCTTACCTCCCCCTCCCACAACAAGTTGCAACCTCACGCCATATGGCTACTCAGCTCCCCGCCTCTCACGCACCCGTCCTTATTTCACTCTTGTCTTCAATGGAAAAATTTAGCCATGAGAGGATGTATCACGATGATTACGATACTTCATACATTACCTATGGGGATAAACGAGAAAAAAACACGTTACTACAGGTGGCAACGGGTGATCAAAGTATAGAATGAAGCCGAAATGAAAACAAACCGTGCGAAGCTCGGAACATTGAGATGTAATCAAGGGAAGCGCATGCCTCCCGCCCCTACCTTGGTCTTACACTCGTATTTTTACCTCCTCTCTCCCCTCTCTCACCCTTCCACCTGTATTATCATCAGCTTTCACTCAACACCACTGTAATATTAACGGATGAAACAAGACCAAGAGGTGTTGATGGTCTCCTCTTAATAAACAACACAAAACATAAACTACCACTAGTGCGGTCTATTTTTTCGCCTCTTCGGACGCCAGCACAAGGCCGTTGTCTATGCACACCGCTTAATACAAACACCCACGCCTCCTACACACCAAAACCCCACCAACCACACAACCACACTCTCACCACCATAAAACCACCTATAGAACTGGAATAAACCGATAAATCAATAAACTGTGTATGAGAGTCTGGTGGTGGTGGAGGAGAGGACAGTAAGCGGAGCGGACTGGTAGTAAGACACCCAGACATTTAATTGGTTCTCAATGGCAAGAAGCACGTGACTGAGGCTTACGTTCTTCACTGACTCCTCAACTCATCCACGTTTTTCTCTCTCGATTGTTAGGCAACACATCAGTACGCTTGTTGAACTCCTACCAGGTGTGTTGTGTTCTTCCTAGGTGCGTTATGTTCTTCCTAGGTGCGTTATGTTCTTCCTAGGTGCGTTATGTTCTTCCTAGGTGCGTTATGTTCTTCCTAGGTGCGTCTTAGAACTCCCGGGTGCGTCTTATAACTCCCGGGTGCGTCTTATAACTCCCGGGTGCGTCTTATAACTCCTGGGTGCGTTCTATAGCTCCCGGGTGCGTTCGGCAACCCCAAGCGTTCTATAGCTCCCGGCGCGTCTTATAACCCCTGCGCGTTCTATAGCTCCCGGTGCGTCTTATAACTCCGGGTGCGTTCTATAGCTCCCGGGTGCGTCTTATAACTCCCGGGTGCGTTCTATAACTCCTGGGTGCGTTCTATAACTCCCGGGTGCGTTCTATAACTCCTGAGTGCGTTCTATAACTCCTGAGCCTTTGACAATAATTACGTTTTGTTTATTTACGACAATTATTAATTTTAAGGACCTTTGATAATACCGTTTTAAGGTTAATGAGACACAGGTGAACGAAGCTTCGGAGTTAATGAGGTGTCAGGCAGGTGAGGTGATCCCAGTTATGTGAACGCCAATGTCTCTCTCTATCTCATTGAAACATTGATTTCTTTCTCTCTTTCTTTATTTCTCACTGAAACATTGATCTTTGTATGTACGTCCGTCTGTCTGTGTCTCTCTCACTCGCTGAAACACTGAGAGATAGATTCCATGGTGAGAGAGAGAGAGAGAGAGAGAGAGAGAGAGAGAGAGAGAGAGAGAGAGAGAGAGAGAGAGAGACGTTGATTAATTGACATGTACTGAAGTCTCTCAGTCTCTCCTTAGTCAAGTAATGTTTTATCTCTCGTGTGTCGACATGTTTGTGTGGTGAGAGATGTAGAGAGATAGAAATAAGGTGAAAGGGAGACAAAAGTGAGACGGGAAGGGAGGGAAGGAAAAGTGAGAGACGGAGGGAGGAACGATAGGAAAGGAAGAGTAGAGAGTGTGTGTGATGACAAAAGAATGAGAGGAAAGGAGACAAAGAGAGAGAGAGAGAGACAGAGAGAGAGAGAGTGAGAGATTGGACCACCAACACATAAGGCTACAGTGGTTAAGGACCGAGAGAGAGAGAGAGAGAGAGTTAGGACTAGGCTCCAACCTTCCCCCTCCGGCCTACACCCCAACTGCTGACGTCAATATTATGATAATCTCTCTTCATTACTGTAATTAAACCACTTTAGAGTATCGTCAAACTGATCAAATCTGCAAAAAAGAAATATGAATTTGTTTTATTTCATCTTTTTTTTTTACCAGAGGATCAAATTACAGAAAAAAATAGATATATTGAATGCAAATATTTTTTTATAAGTTTGTTGTGCTTATCGATGATGGCAAGGGGTGAACTATCCTCAATGTTTTAATAAATTGCAATATATTCTTTAGTTTGATTTTTTCTTCAAAGTTGATATTGTAGAAAACTGATTAAATTTACGAAGAAAAATGTATAATGTTAAAGAATGAAAAATATAATGTTTAATGAACGCTGGCGAGAAGTGAACTACTACTAATACAAAAAGGGCCCAATGTATATAAAAAAACTAACTTCTCTAACTTCATTATTTTATGCCTTCAAGTTCAAAGCAAAACAAATACAAGTTACAAAAATGAATCTGTAGAAGAATGAGTCAAACTGTAGAGAAACAAATAAAAAGTGAATAATGACAGCAAAACAATAATAATATAATAGGTCCGTTGTGCTTGTGAATGACCACGAGGAATGAAGTCTCTTAAGCGTATATAAATAAACTAGGCTTTACGCAAATAGATCACGTGACGTCATCAAAATAAAGGATCATATGACGTCATCAAATAAAGCCATGACGAGTGAGAGTGAGTGAGTAAGAGGCGTATATAGAGAGATTGAGGGAGTGAGGGAGGTAGAGAGAGTGAGGGAGGTAGAGAGAGTGAGGGAGGTAGAGAGAACGAGAGGTAGATAGAGTGAGGGAGGTAGAGAGAATGGAGAGGTGGTAGAGTGTGAGGGAGAGTGAGAATGAGAGGTAGAGAAAATGAGATAGTGTGATGGAGGTAGAGAGAACGAGGGAGGTAGAGAGAGAAAGAGAGAGGTAGATAGAATGTGAGAGGTAGTTAGAGGTAGAGAGAGGGAGAGAGAGAGAGGTAGAGAGCGGGAAGGCCCTGGCCGGACCCCTCAAGTCTTAAACCTTTGCCACCAAACGTTATATGTGGATCACACGTTCCCTGCCTCTGTCTGTCCCTCCAAGGAGAAACGTTTTCCTTGCTTGCTGGAGGGTTGGCGGGGGGTCCAGCCTGCCTGCAAGCAAAACCGCGCCATTAAACATCTAAAAGAAATAACTCCATTCTTATAATTAAGGTTTTAGGCTTCCTTTGTTCTCTGAGAGGTGACGGATGTGTTAGGGTGTGTTTGTGAGGGAGGGCGGCCATGTTGGCAGTTGTAGCTTGGATTGTATTATTTGAGTGTATTACTTAAGCTGTGTTGATATGGTGGCCATAATACAACGTTAGCAATGTCATTCTGCAATATATCACTAAACATCACATGCACGTTGAGCCGCCCAGGCAAAAATTTACCACAGATGTGCCTCAGCCTGGCGTGGCCTGGCAACCTCATTGGCTGGTGGATAGAATGGATGAGGCGCGATTGGTCAAACGAGAAAGAGGAAGTGTTCTCATTGGTTGGAAAGTGAACCGGGGTGACGCGTCGACCAATGGGATCCTCGGCGTCCTCAGAGTCCATTGTTACCAGTTCGGAACGACAAAATAATACAACTTTAGACCCCTTTCTCTCACTTCTCCGACTTTTGAGAATAATAAATTTATATCAAACTCCTACGGTATAAGAGAACATCAGGTACTCACAGTTGAGAATGGTTAAAATGAAGGTAGTAGGAGGTAAATAAGGGTGTCGTGCGAGGTGTGTGGCGGGGCCGTGATGGCAGCGGTGTCATGGCCGGAGCCTGACGTGATCCCCGCTGTTGTTGAGTCTCCACCATGGCCGCCGCTGCTATGAAAGACCCTAGGACTTTCTTTTCACAGGGCACCGCTGCTCAGTTTGAATTTGTGCACGATCTATACGAGGAAGCGGTGAAACTGAAGGCGGAGCAGAAGAACAAGAAGGCCGAGGAGTACCTTAAACTGGACAAATGGTAAGCCGGGAGGAGACAAGTGAGCATGTCATTGAACCTTTACTTTGTGTTGGTCGGGCCAGGGCGAGCCAGACCCTCCGTCCCACAAACGTCATGCTTTTTGTATTTCCCGCCCGCTGGAGAGGCCGCGGGAGGCCTGTGTAGTGTGGTGTGTGTGGCAGCGGGCGTGGTAGTGGTATTATACTAGAACCGCCCGCACGCCCACATTGAACGCCATGATAAAGACTTGGCAACGTCGCGCCACCCCGTCACCTCCCCTGCTGCTGCTCACTTTTTGATATTTGTTTTATTTTGTGTCGAATTTATAATGTCGAGTGAGTGAAGATGACCACGTGTTGACCTGCACGTGGCGGCGCGGGCGTGAGGGTGTAGGGGGGGGTGAGGTGTGGGCGGTGTGAGGGGGAGGGGGTGCACGCGGCACGCGGCCACCTCCGCTAACAGGCTGCATGATGCTGTGAACCTTCCTGATGCTCCCATGTAACACGCTGCTTCATGCTGTGCCCTTTGTGCTGCACTCATGCTGTGCCCTTTGTGCTGCACTCATGCTGTGTACGGTGGTGCTGCACTGTGGCTTACACTGATGTTCAGTACTGTTTATACTGTACTGCTGTATAGATAAAGTATTGGTGCTGTATTTTGTACTCTGGTGCTGGATTGGTGATGTTACACTGGTGCTGTGGTGCTGTACTTCCATTGTATATTGTGGTGCTATGTGGTACTCCGACAATTTACGTCAGTGCTCTACTTACGCTGTGTACTGTACTGTAATGCTATGTTATGTTGGGTATTGTAGTGTTTGTTTTAATGTTTCACTTGATTGTTTTGTTTTAATGCTTCAGTTGATTGTTTTAATGTTTCACTGGATTGTTTTAATGTTTCACTTGATTGTTTTGTTTTAATGCTTTAGTTGATTGTTTTAATGTTTCACTTGATTGTTTTGTTTTAATGTATCACTTGATTGTTTTAATGTTTCACTTGATTGTTTTGTTTTAATGCTTCAGTTGATTGTTTTGTTTTGTTATCACATCAACCTCAGTGATTGTTGATTTAGAAGCTGTTATTAGTTGTTGATTAATTTACTATTGTTTCATCTGCTGTTATTGTTGATTCATTTACTATTGTTGTTGATTCATCTGCTGTTATTGTTGATCTATTTACTATTGTTGTTGATTCATCTGCTGTTATTGTTGATTCATTTACTATTGTTGTTGATTCATCTGCTGTTATTGTTGATTCATTTACTATTGTTGTTGATTCATCTGCTGTTGTTGATTAATTTTCAGGTTTTTTTTTACTCATTTTCTGTTGTTGATTCATTTTCTGTTGATTCAATTTCTGTTGCTGATTCATTTTCTGTATTTTTTTTACTCATTTTCTGTTGTTGATTCATTTTCTGTTGTTGATTCATTTTGTTGTTGATTCATTTTCTGTTGTTGATAAATTTTCTGTTGTTGATTCATTTTCTATTGATTCAATTTCTGTTGTTGATTCATCTGTTGTTGTTGATTAATTTTCTGTATTTTTTTACTCATTTTCTGTTGATTCATCTGCTGTTGTTGATTAATTTTCAGGGTTTTTTTTATTCATTTTCTGTTGTTGATTCATTTTCTGTTGATTCATTTTCTGTTGATTCAATTTCTGTTGTTGATTCATCTGTTGTTGTTGATTAATTTTCTGTATTTTTTTACTCATTTTCTGTTGATTCATCTGCTGTTGTTGATTAATCTGCTGTTGTATGATTCATTAGCAGTATTTACCATCATGCCATTCAATTTATTATTATGGTTATGTGTGCTACAGGTGTGTGGTGCATCTGTATACTGTACCTGTGACTATGTATTTCTTCACACATCAGTAAATGCTTTTGGCCTTAAAACCACATTTGTACAGTACTTATTCATTCGGTTAGTAATAATAATAATAATTAACGGTTTATTGAAAAGTTCTGTAGCCCGAAGGCTGAAAATATACATTGGACTTAAATGACTTAATACATACATTGGTGGTTTAACAAAGTTTTCATTAGAGAAAGGTAAAGGAACATACAGTGAACATACAGATTAATGTTTACAGTGGAGGCCATGTAGACCTTGTGGGCTGAGGTGTTGAACAGCAGACACGTAGTGTAGTATCTCCCTCACAGATGGTGTTATGAGGGGCCTGACATGGTGTAGTAATTCCCTCACAGATGGTGTTATGAGGGGCTTGATGTTGTGTAGTAATTCCCTCACAGATGGTGTTATGAGGGACCTGATGTGTAGTAATTCCTTCACAGATGGTGTTATGAGGGGCATCACATGGTGTAGTAGTTCCCTCACAGATGGTGTTATGAGGGGCATCACGTGGTGTAGTAGTTCCCTCACAGGTGGTGTTATGAGGGGCATCACGTGGTGTAGTAGTTCCCTCACAGATGGTGTTATGAGGGGCATCACGTTGTGTAGTAGTTCCCTCACAGGTGGTGTTATGAGGGGCTTGACGTGGTATGGTAATTCCCTCACAGATGGTGCATAATCGGATGGCTGGGAGAAAGACTAAAAGTTATGTTCTTATGTTCTTATCTGTTGAAGCTGGGATAACATGGAATTTTGTCAGGATGTAACTATGGGTCGATGGTTATATTTTTAAAGCATTTTAGGTGAGGGTGTTTAGTGATGTTGCCTGATATGGAATCCTGTCTGGTGGGTAGATGTCGGTGCTGAGATTATTGCTATTAAGTGGGCTGCTTGCTGTGATGCTGGGGAAGTTTGTGTTTTTGTGCAGGGATTATTTTAGTAATGAATCCTGGTAAAACTTTATGGTGATTGGTGTACAGTGTGTGTAATAGGGTGTGTGTGTGTTTGTTGCAATAACATCAAGTGTTGATATGTTCTCTTGACACATTTGTTGATCATTGATGATTTTATTAATTTTTTTTATAAAGTCTTGGTGTTAGTTGTAACTATCGATTAGAAATTAATGTATGACAAACATTTATATAAATTTTTAATTATTTCTGAGTAATATAACTCAGGAGTTTAGTAAAATTTTCTGGTTTGATTGTTAATGTGATTGATATTGCTGCCTCTGGTTATATATATATATTTATATTTGAAGTGGCTGATCATACTTGGCAATATGGTGGACAAAATTTCATCAATTACTCAAAATATTTTAAATGTAAAAAGGTTAGGCTTTGATGTGTAAGGGACATGGTTGCTTGTTTGCTATGTTTGTGTATATAGTATTAATTTTGGATGCAAACAATTGTTAAATCGGTTACTTAAGTTGAATACAGTACAGTAAATGATTTAGGAAGCACAAACATCACCTTTACACACCTCAACACTGACAAACATTAGCTGCCATTAAATATTGACACTGACAGCAAAAATAGATCTAATTATAATTTTTAGTTGAGAACAGGATCTTTTATTTAATTGTTTGTGTTCCTCTATTGCTAACAACAGTCCCACAGATTATATATTGAGTTACGTTACATAGTCCTGCAGCTTAATTGTTGCTACATAAACTTGTCTACTGTAGCAACAAGGAACTAGTTTTATGTTATGCTGTAGTGTGTTAAACTTTATTGTTACATCCAGACACATTCATTGTTGAAAGTTTCCCTCCCAAAGTCCAGTACTATATTCTATATTGTGATATTTTTATCCACGTGTGGGTGTAGTGCCTGGTGAGGGTGTGTGGGTGTAGTGCCTGGTGAGGGTGTGTGGGTGTAGTGCCTGGTGAGGATGTGTGGGTGTAGTGCCTGGTGAGGTGTGTGGGTGTAGTGCTGGTGAGGGTGTGGTGTGTGGGTGTAGTGCCTGGTGAGGGTGTGGGGTGTAGTGCCTGGTGAGGGTGAGGGTGTGTGTGGGGTGTGAGGGTGTGTGGGTGTAGTGCCTGGTGAGGGTGTAGTGCCTGGTGAGTGAGGGTGTGCCTGGTGAGGGTGTGTGGGTGTAGTGCCTGGTGAGGGTGTGTGGGTGTAGTGCCTGGTGAGGGTGTGTGTGGGTGTAGTGCCTGGTGAGGGTGTGTGGGTGTAGTGCCTGGTGAGGGTGTGTGGGTGTAGTGCCTGGTGAGGGTGTGGGGGGGTGAGAGGGGATGTCAGCAACAGTTGCTACTCAAAGAATAAACATTGAAGAGTATGAATCATCCTGACAAGTTTGAGGTGTTTATGTCAATGAAATAAGTTGCATCAAGTTCAAGGAAAAATAAGTGGTTCTTGTTGTAGGCTTTGGGAGGTTAGGTTAGGTTAGCATTATGGTGGGTTATCTTAAGCTGGGGACTGATCTTCTCTTGATAAAAAAAATATAAAGCCCAAGTGTTTGTAAATTAAATTATAAGTCTTTAACATTATTATTATTGTGCTAGGTTATGGTAATACTGAACACATCATCCCATAAGCAGGTAGCTAATGTTCGTAGCTGTCAAGAACGTTGCCAACATTTTTCCTAGTGCCACCTGACATGAAAGTTCACGTCAGTTTGTTTTACGTTGATATTTGTGGCACTTGAAGAAATTTGACTGTGTTGTGCATTCAGTAAGGAAATATTATTGGCAGAAATTCATCTTTATATAATTCTTTATCTTAAGAAATATGAAAATTAGTAATGACCAAAATACTAGGATGTTTATTTTGATGGTGTGGGCAAAAACCTTCTCATTGTGTTACAGTTGCCGTTTCCTACCCCAAGATGACAGCTATAAATAGTACATTGAACTACAACTGTATCTGTTTGGTTAAATTTGTACCTCTGAGGTCTCGGGGAAATATAGATTTTATGTATCACTACTTCACTCCAGAATAAAAAGAATAAGAGAACGTAATGGAAAAATACTGTGAGTTTCAAGAAAGTAACAATACCAAAAATATATCTGGGATTATGAAATCTTATGTCTATTGTGATATCGTTCTTTTCATCATCGTGCCGGGTTGTGAGACTAAACGAGGTACTGTGCTGTACTGTAGATATCTTAGGGCCTCAGTGAAAGGGGAACACCACAGTAGAACACATATGTCACAGCACTAAAAGGAATTGAGTGGTGGTAAATAAAGAGAGAGTCTGTGTTTGCTCCAGGATCCAGTCACTCTGCAATATAATGTATACTTGTGCTGTATAGTATCAAGCGAAGTCTCTTGAGAGTGAATAAAAAGTTGCTAATGGGTGATATTGGCGGCTTTGAACTGTGTGTGTGCATTAAAAATATTTAAGAGTATATACACAAAATAATGTTTGGGGTTTCAAAGATTAGGTTAGGTTAGGTTAGCATTAGTCTTAAAGGTGATATAAACACAAGGGCTGATGTTTAGGTTATCCTATGAAAGCTCTGGTGTGTTAATGTGTTAGGTGATCATGGAAAATAGGTCTTGTTTAACCAGTCTTAAATATTATCTGTTTATTCAGTTTTTATTTTAACACATTGTACATAAAGTTACCAGTACAGTTTGTGTACATGCATTGTACAGTAATTACACTGTAGTCCTGTGCTATGAATTACAAACTACAAATGTCTTTCCTCCACAAAAAATTGCCTCAGACATACAGTACTGTTTGTAGCTGGGAACCGATAATGTTGTTGGGTTTGTTAATCACATAAAAATTTAAATGAGGATGTACAAGGAAGTTACTCTGATATATTATCTTCAACAAAGACAGTGGAAGTATACAGTACAAACAACTTACATACCTAGACAGTTCTGGTATATTACTGTACAGAGGTAAACAAAGGCTAACTAACATAGTGAACAAGAAAAAAGCATTGGGAGAAAGAAGTTGGAAAGATATTACATATAGAATAACACCAGTGAATTAGAATTTAGTGACATGAATGTTGAGCATAGCACTTGTAGTTAATGAGGGGTGAGTGAGTGTGTAAAGGGCAGGGGGTCGTGGTACTAGGTGGTGGATCTCTCTCTCTCTCTCTCTCGCTCTCGCTCTCTCTCTCGCTCTCTCTCTCTCTCTCATTATTTACAAAAGTTAACTTCCTTGACTTCTTTTAGGCTGTGTCTACATGCTGCACTGTACACCAGATTACAGATAGCGACCGAAACAAAACAATCTGACTGAATTTAAAGACAAAATCACCTTAGAGTAAAAAAAAATATTGTTGGTGTGTTCTGAATTTAAAGATAAAATCACTCGAGTCAAAAAGATTATTGTTGGTGTGTTCTGCTGTGTGGTGTAGACAAACACTGTATGACCTTCACCCAGCTTATGTCGAGTTTCCTTGAATGTTTCACTAAATGTATTTTTTAATGTTTGCCTGTGAGTAAACTTTTTTTATCCTTTTTTTTTGTTTTTTGTTGGGAGGTAAATTTTTTTTAAATGTATTTATGATAGAAGCATCACTGTACAGTACAGTAAACACTCATTTTTATGAAATGGGGAAATACAGGTTAGGTTCCTAGAACTACTGAGACTCACTTGTACACTAATACTGTATATATAAGAGAGTCTTACTAGTCAATAGAGTAATTGTTTTACTAATACTGTGCGGTGCTCCACTCTCCCTCCCCAAACTTTTCTATATTCTCTACAGCTGTTTAAGATTGCTTTTGTAAAAAGTAAAATATTAAAGCATGCACAAAAGTAATGATTGCAATTGTATAAAAAAACTAAAGTGTTAAAACAAAGAAAGAGTTGTATAAAAAACCTGTAGTGTTAAAACATGTGGAGCAGCAGGTAGTACTCTCCTCATTACACATTCTCTCCATGATCAACCACCATTCACACCCCCATATGGTCCATTAATGTTGAATGTCATCAAGATACAGTAATAGCTGTAGTATAATAGGCATAATTTATTGTAGGTTAAGGTTGCCATTAGCGATGGGCGATACACTGTATTTGCATCCCTCACTGCATGTCTGTATTGTGTGTTTTGGGTGCAGAGACTGTGTGTACATGTATTGAAAAGAAACTTATTAGTTAGAACATTATCTGTATTTGTTCTTTGTGTTCATGGGTACTCATAACAACACTGGGTTATCATACAGTACCTAAACAATTGTATTCCATATTTATGAAATGTATTTCTGAATAGGATAATTGGCCTCTGAACCTAAGGACAGCTCCAGAATTCTGCATAGGCAAAGAAGTGTTTGTAAGGTGTGTGCCAAATTACCTTTTATGAAGACTGTAAACTCCCCATTTGGTTGTGAGGCTGTGAACCATATGACAGTGAGAGCGTCTCTCCACCTCTTACCATTACTTAGCTGGCTGTTGATTCATAAGTCAATTTAAATTTGCTCCCAAGTTATACATGAGGGTTTTCTCCTTAAAATCCATTTATAACGGTATCATTTTGGAGCAACCCAGATTCCACCCACTTTCTAGTGTGTCCCTGGAGGCTGTCTGACATCACAAGGTTCTTCCTAGTTACTGACATACTATTGCAAGTTGGAATGTGTACAGGGGGAAGACTGGGTTGTGTTTGTTGTAACTTATTACACAACCAAATCTTAAAAGACAAATGTGGCCTCTAATCACTCATGAAAGTGATGGTCATCAGGGGGTGTGAGTGGTCTCTGGCAAATGGGTATCCTGGAAAACCTGAGAGGCTTCAGCATACTGTACATATTTATGGTTTGCTCTCCACTGGCTGTCAGGATCACAATTTTTTTTATCACATTCAAGAGTGTTGACTTGGCAGCTGTAGCTTCTTGGCCAAAAATTTTGAGGGCAATAGGAAGAGATTAAGATAGATTTTCTTGAAATAGGACAAAATTGAAGTACTGTACTGTAATGCCAGGAAGAGGATCCTGCACAGTGAATTTTGTAGTAATTTCATTCATGGCGTGGACGGGTACAGACTGGTAGGTGATGTGTATTACTGTATGATGTTTATAATATTCTTTCATGTTTAAATGGGTATGGTGTATGACCTACTTTAGTGCCTCTTTATCATAACTGAACCAGTACTAGTTGATATAATGTACTGTACACAAAATTTTAAGTGTAAAGAGATTGAAGTTTAATTAGTACAAGACTTTTATAGTGTAGTGACATATCAGTGTTGTTATCAGTACATAACCCCAGGCTTCCTCATACTGTACGTCCACAGGTTGATCCTTTGTCCGCTATCTGACTCGCTTATCGTCACTGTTTCCTGGGGTTGCTCACTTAAGCCCTCACAGACATCACTATTTGCACAATTGTATATATTTTTATAAAGTAGGAGTTATTAGCACAGTGAGTGTTGAATTTGACGTACTTCAGTACAATAATTTTTACGCTGTCAAAAAACTGACAGTAAACACTGATAAACTGATGGAAAATATCTGATACTGTTTAGTATTTTTAATGTGAATTTAAGCTAATTTTTACAATAAAATTTGTAATGCTAAAAAGAAGTCAAATAATATGTGTTTTATGAGTAGAACATGTCTTCTATGATGCTTGTAGGAAACATTTTGTTTGGTGGATTAAAACCAGTCTTGTTGTAGTGTGTTACTTTAGGAGCATATTGAAAGTCTAGGTCTATTTAGATCATGTTGCAGCACAGTCAAGTTGACCAGAATTGTCGAGCACAAGTCTCTCTAGTTGGACAGTCTGTTTACTGTGTGTTGTAGCCCCCTGACACCTTGTGGCCATTGTTCTTCCTGTGTGAACATCTCACAGAACTACACTTTTTCTAATTTTTTGGGGGTGTATTATTGTGAATTCTGTCTATAATCGTTTCCAACAATCATGTGAGAGTGATAGTGTTAGGTGTTGGGTTGTGCAGAGGAAGAACAGTGTGTAGACCATTATGCAGAAAATGGAAGTCTTACAAGTACTGTATTAGAGAAGGGTGCATTGGTGTGTGAGCTGAGTGAGTCATACAGTGTTGTTAACATGACCACTGTATGTGTGTGATATCCAGAACCAGTGGTTGAAAAGCTGTTATGGTTCTACACTTAAGACTAAACCTAGATTATGGGAATTGATTTTTCTTTCTGTTTCAAGCCCTTTTCTGTGGTCATGCTGGATGGTGGGGATCAAGAGCAAATACTGTACTCTACTCTACAAACTGTCCTTGTGGTCATTCGTTTATTCTCATTGCTGTAACACTTGTGCAGTACATTATAGTATTTTGATGTGTTGATTCCCCGTCACGAGATCCCAGATAGGTTTATTTAAAAGTAAACATTGGTACCCAATGCACCATGTGCTTATGATTATTTGCTTCAGTTTCTGTACCTGGTGTGTGCTGTACTGTATTGTGGTAGTACAGTAATTAATTAGATTTTATGCACACTAGTGAAGAGAAAATGCTTCACAGATTTAAGGGGTTCCAAATTATACAAGCACTATGACAGCATGATTCTTAACCACTGGGTGCGTCTGGTAAACTGATCCATAACATGGCATGATTGTCACAGACGTCAGAATTTTCATCATTGCTTCATTGTCAGTCTGAAAGTTTGGCATTTCAAGGGCATTGGAGAATTAATCTTGAATGGGGAACTGCACTACATCATGAAAATATGCTGAAAGTTTCTGTAAATATTTTGCTAAATCCTGCTTCTCCGTAAGGTCCACTGTGTCATCAGTTCAATTCTGTCGTGGCTGTGAAATCTAGGTAATGTGAGAAATGAGAGAAATTGTCCACTTCAGCTTGTCTGGCAGAGTATAGGCAACTTTTTCCCAGTAAAATAGTATTCATTAAATTTCAACTTTCTTCCTTTGAATGTTCCCATAACCTGATGTTAATTCATTGACTTAACCAGACCTTCTATGCCTCACCCTCTTTTCTGACCTCGGAAAAATGAACCCGGTTGGGAAGCCCAGGCCGAGAGTGGGATGGTGAAAATAATTAAAATATTTTCACCATTCCAATCATTGTATTGATGTAATAAAGTTGTGTGGTATGTCAAATGAGCTAATATTTATTGTTTTTCCCCAGGTATCAAAAAGAACTGCCTACGAAGATAAAGTCGAGAGGGAAAGATGCTCACCTCACCCATGAAGAACTCTGTCTCTGTATGAAATGGAAACTCTCGGTAAGCAAACTATTTATGGCTCCCTCTGGTGGTGGTAATCCAAGACAACAATTTCTTTTCTGCAAAAACTTCTAGAGGGATTCTTTTCAATGGAGGAAGGTCACTTAACTCTAGTTCAGCCTTAGTAAACCTGTTGCCTCTTAAGTGTATAAGGAAGGAGCTATGTTGATGACTTTAGGTTATTTTGTAGGGAACAATATGAGGGGACATAAGGACAGGTTTCCTTATAACATAAATAATAAATCTTAACATTACAAGCTGGTAGAGGGAAATGGAAAGATTGAAATTAACAGTAATGCAAAGAATAAAAGAACTTGAGACCAGGAGCATTGTGTAATGAGTGTAGAGTATGTGTTTGTTGTCGCTTTATACAGTACTGTAGAGATGAACTTTGGGTGTTTCAAAGCAACTGTAGATCAAGCGGTAGATACAAAGTTCTACAGACAGTATGAGAAACATGATGACAGTCAAGAGAATTTGTTGTTTAAGGAATGATGGCCTAAACTCTTTACTCCCCATCAAGAGTTAACATACTTCATCTGTGTTTGGCTTACTGTCTTTAATTTCTATATTATAAATGGAGAGGGTTTAACCGTTTGGATGATAAAGAGTTGCAGGAATGTTTTCACATCCATTTTTGTTTAGGAAGAATAAGAATTTAAAAATAGGGAGCGACACTTCACACAACCTGAAGAGAATTTTGATCAGTCTTATACAGTAGTTACAGTGATGTGAGAGGTTTGCTTTTATTGCAAACTGATTTCTTCTTATCCCTCTAGAATGGACGGTTTAACTGTATGAAGGTTTAATCGATGCCTGTAGTGTTCATAGCTATATGTCTTAGTCTCTTGGGTTCGTCCCTAACTGATACATTGCTGCTAGAACAAATATTATAATAACATGAGTGCTGTGTCCTTATGAGGTGAAACGTGGTGTGTTGTTTACAAAGTGAACAGATGATAAACTGTTAATTTTCAGTACAAGTAGATCATTAAAGTAGATGGTAGTGAGTAACCTGGCCCTAGGCATGTCAGAGTTTAATCAAGTTTTATTGTGAGGTGCTTCTCTATTATAATATTAACACATTTGTTTAGAGTTGTGGTTAGCGTTGTAAGTTTTTATTGTGTAGATCAGTGGTTCTTAACTTGGGGGTTCATTTCAATCTTTCGTGCAAAGGAGTTAATAGACTTTTTACTCCAAATATCTATCCCATTTAAATAATTTTGAAATTAAAAATGGGTCGGTAGAGTGAGGCAGGAAAAACTTGCCATTCATTAATCTTATCTTCATGTAGTATTGCCAGAGATGACATTGTACTATTTCAGGGGTCCCTCAGGGGGGTAATATGACATTTATTTTGAGATAAAGAAGTAATAGAAACTAACACAAAAATTTTAAATGAGATTAAAAAACAATGGTGTTTGAACCTGTATGAGAGCTCCAGTTCTGCTTGACTGAGCTGGGACAGTGTTAATGTAGTGTGGGGTTCCCAGTTTATTTTAAGCACTTCCGGAATAGTTACAGACATACTGTATACTGTATGTGCAGATCTTAAGATTATTTATGTTCTCATTAAATTTCAAAAAAATTTCAATAAATTTGTGAAACCTTCAACACTTGGGAGGTACTCTTAAGTTTCTGGAGATGAAATTCAATTCATCTACCCAAGATGATTTCCTATTCCTAACCACTGGAAAAGTTTTGGGTAAAATGTTTGCCAGTTTACCCAAAACTTAGTCAGCAAGTGTTGCAAATTTTTCCTTTTTCTTCCATCTACCTTTGTGAGAGATTTGTTACTGTGAAGACTTAAGTATTGAAACAAAGTGAATGTTGAATATGACATTCAGTGTACTGTACTCTTTTCTTCAGCCTCACCAAAAATTCACATGTTTGTGGAGAAGAAGCAGTGCCAACCCTCCCATTAATTCCAAGTGAAATACAATTGAACGTCTAGAAATTTTACATTTGTTATGAGTATGTTCATTTGGATCAAGAGAAGCAATAAAGGCGGTGAAACTGGAACTTGAAAAAATGTGTTGTTAGGCCCTTATGGGATCAGGGGGGCCACCATGGATTCAAGGTTGGCCATAGGTGGGTGCAGCTCCAGAAAGGTTAAGAACCACTATTGTAGACAGACAAACTGTCATCTTCTTAATGTCTTTTGATGTGGTTAGTAATAGAATATGTTATTTGTTCTAATTCTTTGTTTTAACTCCAACAGACTTCACGGATGTTTTGCTTGTTTTTCAGCGTGGAAAATTTTCGCCCAGACTAAAAGACTTGATCCAGATGAACACGCCCCGCCTCTGTATGGCGGAAACCAGAAAGGCTTTCCGTGCACTGATGAAGAAGGAGGACTTGGCATCTGCCATCCAAGCCTTATGTAACTTGAAAGGTGTCGGTCCTGCAATGGCTTCTAGTAAGTATTTTTTAAACAGTACTCATGGTCACCTCTGCCCTTCAGTATATCAGGGCTTTCAAAATTCAAGTGATACCCAATACATGTTGGCCCCAAGACCTTCAGCCATTCTAGAGAAGTAACTTATTAGATATAACACTGAAAGCTGTGCTCTGTCAACATCTGCCTTCCTGTTTTGTCTTTCTCTGTACATGGCTTACTGCACAAGTTAAACCTATTAATGAAATTGGGAAAAAAAGTAATTCTTGTGGGTTTGCCAATTTTTTACTATATTATCTGTATCCTGTAAGTTGATTTTGGTCCATTCTTAATCAATTAAGGGACCACTGTACTGTACATGACAAGTTGAAATGTTTGTTCATGTACTGCTGTAGGAACAGCTTGTCATTCTACTGGCTGGTGGAGGAAAAACTCCTCAAATTTAAATTCAGGTGTTTATTGTGAAGGTATGAAGACCAGAATGAGTGAGGATAATGCTATCACCACCCTGCTTGTAAAATAGGAAAGTATTGGTACAGTGTCACAGTTTAATCACTCGCCCACAGTTGAGGATGCGTGCATTAAGTCGTCGTCCATTACTCCCATTTGTGAAAAAATAAATTATTTTTTCATTTGATTATTTTCTTACAAAAAGGTGAAGAAATGGTTTTTTTTGGCAAGGCTATGAACAAAAAATTTAATGTCATTTTTATATACTGTGTAGTAATCTGCAAATTTTCATATTTTAAACTTAATATCTGTTCTTCTCTGATTACAGCAATCTTGACAGCGGGCAACCCAGAGCTGTGTGGCTTCATGGCAGACGAGTGTCTCTTGGCAATCCCAGAAATTGAAGGCATCGACTACACCACGAAAGAACTTCTCAACTTTGTGGAGCAACTCAAAGGAGCAGCTAATAGGTTAAATAAAGAAGGTAAGAAACTTGAACTGTATTGTTTTTCAAATGAGCCTGAGTAATTCTTCTTTCTGCAGCCCATCACTGATACATAACTGGGAGACCGGAACCAGATGGGGGTGGCACCGACCTCAGTTTGTTGTCATCCATCCTCATAAAGTAGTTGATGCCACATCCTAACACTCATACACCATCCTCCTATATATCCATCTCCTTGGTCTAGCCTTTTAACTCCTACCATTCCATTCACAGTTCAATTATACTTATATTTTTTGTTTAATAATTACTAGTCTCACTTTCAGTTGTCTCAGTACCGCATGTATACATCACCTTAGCCAACCCTGAGCAGCTCTCTATTAGACACCTATGTACTGTAGTGTGTCTCCTCAAAGCAGCTGGACTTCATTGTGGAGACTAAAAGAACAAGTGAATATTATCCTTTTTCGAGGGAGTTGTCTCTCACTTACAGATCGTGGCACACAAACGACACTATAGCCTACTAGGTGTAAACAGACCTTTTGTTTATATACAAATTAAAATTAAAACTTGACAATATTCAAAATAGCTTAATGGAATTGAGGACATGCATTCCGAACCTATCTTATCGCCACAAAAATCGAAATGCATAACATCAGATGAATAAAAAGGTTACAATAGAAAATAATTTTTCATCTCAGGTTAAATTGTAAGATAGTAATGGTGGTATACCAGGTCACTCCACCTGCCCTCCTGCTACCCCCACACACAGTCACGTCTAATACAAAATGTACTGGATAGGTTTATATTACGTAACAAGAATTGTTAGGTTTTATGATTCAAATTTTAAACTAAAAGGCAGTCACTGTCTAGCTTTGTAACAGTACAGTATTGGAAAAAAATAAGTTTGGTCATGACAGTTGCATAATTTTCTATTTTGTTTTGTGTTCATTGTGTACTGCAGCATATTTATAGCACTTGAGTTAAAACACCACAGTTAGTAAGTACAAGGGTGCAGATATCATTGCTGGTACTACTGTGTCATGCTACCCTCATCCCCCTGAGTGTGTTGTGGCCCACAGTCGGAACAAGTACAGTAATGTTTCCTGTGAAATTACGGCTTTTTTTTTAATATTATTCTTATGTGTTATAACCATAATTTTTTTTGCAGAGTACCTTGTTTGATTTGTATTCTAGTACAGTATGTAGTTGTACCCATTTTAATTTTTTATTATTCAGTTCTGAAATAAGATTAAAGATGGCTAGAAGAGAAGGTGCAGCTGAGAATATTGTTAAGTCTGTGTGTATTAGTGCTAATTTTCAACACCTTTGTTATCTCAGGGAGCTCAACTACGTGGAACCCTCACAAGGTTGAGATGGCACTGTGGGCGCACTTTGTGTTATCAGAGTTGAAGAAGGAACTCCTTAACGACATGCCTGGTTTCTCTACTACTACCGCCCCCTCGTCCACACAGCAAACTACTGAGAATGGAGATTCACTGACAGAGTCTCCTCAAAAGGCAAAAAATGTAAGTGAAATGTTTAATTGTGCTTCTTTTTCTGGCACTGGTTGATGATGATGGTTATAGTTGAATAAAATCCCACACTCAACCCAGATGAGTTACTGAGTTTGTTTACATATGTGAACAGCTGACCAGCCAGTCAGTCACATCTACCTGTCTCTTGTGGTCACCCAGAGAGTGGTTATGGGGTGGGAAGGTGCTGTTTATGTGATTGGGCGGGGGGGGTTGAGAGCCATGGACCATAAAACAGTGAATGACAAGGGTCTACTATATTTTCCACCATATTAGATACACCCAACTTAGCCGGGAATATCTAGGAAAAACATACTCGAGAGGCAATGTGTGTTCTGAGGACCATCCATGTGGTTATTAGTGTATGATTAATTTGATTGTTTGTGTCCCCCAGGGTGGTCCCGTGCCAGATGAGAGCAACGACTCTATGGATTCTGCTTTTGCTAATAAGGAAAATCTCACGGCAAATACCAATGGCACCTCTGATGCAGAGAACAGCAGAGCCTCGATTTTAAACTGTGAGGACACTAATGATTCCATGGCAGTGTCTGAGGCTCCCAGCGAGGCTTTGTCAGAGGTCCCAAGTGAGCCGGCATCAGAAGCTCCCAGCGAATCCATCTCAGAAGCCATTAGTGAGTCAGACACTCAGGATGTGCCCAGCAAGCTGCCCGGGGTAGCTTCAGCCAGCTCAGTCTCCGTTAGCCCTCCAGACAGCACTGACGAACCAGCACAGAAGAAAGTGAAGGTGGACTAATAGTATGTGGAGTGAGGTGGCTTGCGTACTATTATTACCACCTGAATGTGGAGTGCGGTGGGTTGCGTACTGTACTGCCACCTGTATGCGAGTGTGGTGGTTGGTGCACTCTACGACCACCTTATCCAACCCCCACTCTACCCTCTGCCCTCTTCTTCGCTACCCTTGACAGGCCTGGCAGCATCGTGTGGTGGTGCATGGGCTTGTGGGGGGGATGTAACACTGTTGTGACCAAGTTTATGCCCCAGCAGCAGTGCCGCACTACCCCAGATGTCTGATCCCCCCATCCTTGTGCACTCTTGTGTAACGTACATTCCAAGAGGCTTTTATCATGGAGAGATGATCAATATTTTGTACACAAACTTTCCAGTTTGCAGCTCAAGTTAGCCGTGGCTATGGTGTGTGTTTAGCACAATGAATTCTGGATAAGATTTGTAGTTCTGAACATAAAATATCACTTGCCTCTACACAGGCGCTGGACTATGAAAATATTTCAACTCCTCTTCTCTATCCAGGAGGGCGTCGTCCCACTCTGTGGTGGACGTGGCACGTAGAATGCGGTACGTCTAAAGTTATTCTTTAGTCCTTTACAGTCAGGACTGCCACTCCTCAGACCAAGCAGGTAAAGAACTACCCATATAATCAAGAATTCATTTGTTAATTCACCCACAGCTGTCACTGAGCCTCAGGCAGGGCCTGCACCTCCTCATTGCCTGCCTTGCCGGGGACCTGTGACTCCCTTAATTGAGTGTTTTTATTTAACTTTTTGCATAGTTTTTATATATAAGTAAGTATTTTAGCCAGTTTTACCATTTTAAGGAGTTTGTACAAGGTTGGTTGGATTTTGAATGGTGCAACCTGCGCTGTGTGATCTCCATCCTACTGAAGTCCCCATCACAATCCTCAGTCCACTGCCATTGTTAATATGAGTTTTTCCCACCATCCATCACTTCCTCCTTCACCGATATCTGCCCTTAACATCCAGTAAGGTTCAGTGAAATTCAGTGTTCCTGCCATGGTTTTATCCCAAGAATAATCGAGGGAGTGGCACAAAACGTCACAACAGTGTTACGCGTGCATGTCCAAGACCCCGCCCGCCCGCCGTCACAAGGACTTAGCCCACGTTGGCCTGGCATACTGATGTTCATCCACACTTATTGGGAGACTTGCGTTGCCCTTTAGAAATGGCAAGAATTTGTAATTAATCAGAATTTTGGCATGTTTGTGTAAATTGGTACAGATGCATTCTCCCATAAGTCATCGTGCATGAATGTGTTTCATTAAAACATGATTTGTTTCGTTTGTCACTTATAAAAAAAGTAATATCAATATAATGTTTGAAAGATATAAACCAGGGGTTCCCTCAGCTTTACAAAGCCAGCTCCACAAAAATTTATTTCCAACACTTAAGCTCGCACCAATTTGAAAATGTTCAAAATGCATTGGGCATAGCCGTTTCAGTGCTCCTTCATAGATAGTCCTTTACCAGTGTGAGAAAAAATTAGTAGTGCTTATCACTGCAAAATTGGGTGAGACTGAAATGACATGGGTGAAAGACGGCATGGGGGGGGGCGCACTGCGAGACGGGCGATGGTGAAGGGAGCCACTCTTGACTCCTTGCTGTTTGTGCCAGTGACCCAAGGTGTAGACACGAGCACCTTTGTTTACTGATTGATGCATACATTATTCTTAAAGAAGTTAATCATAGTCGGGTGCGTCAAGATTATTATTATTACATAGCACTTGAAACAGTCCATGGATGGGTGTCATGATGCACTGCAGCAACAAGACAAAACTGGGACTACTACTTCCAATTGCCTCGGTTGCAGGTGAATACCTCAGTATTTATTCTTATCCTCCCCGCAAAGTTCCCCAAACTTCCTCGGAAATTAATGAGCACACTAAATTTACACACAAACTTGTGCTCCTTCCTACATATTCACACTATTCACTTACACATGCAGTGTTTATCACTGCACATGCTGTATTATTCTTACACACAACTGTGTAGCCCTTATGTAGTGCACTCATACACACATACTGTATATCATTCTTACACATACACACACACACTGTGTCATTCTTACATACACTATGTCATTCTTACACACTGTATGTCATTTTTACATACGTACGTATGCCTTTCTTAAACTGTGTATGTCACTTATTACACACTGTCATTCTTACAAGACATTCTTACCCACTGTGTATGGCTCTTACACATGCACACATGCACAAACACACATGGCAGAGTTTATATTTGCAGAATACAGTACATCTTTAGTGCTTGCTAGTGTTCTTTACAATTGAATAATTTTACAAATTCCCTAACATTAAGTTAATCTTTCATGATTGCATATATGGCATATTTTGTATTAATCTCTGCATGTATTCAAGCAAGCAAGCAAGCAAACACACACACACACACACACACACACACACACACACACACACACACACACAGAAGCCCACATCACTGTGGCTTCATATGCTCAGGCTGCCTCCTCCACAATACATCTTTATTTATTCAAGTTTCATATTTATTTTCAATATTTGTTCTTAGTTTTAATGTATTATGTGGTAAAAAATCCCCACACTTTAATATTGAGTAAAGGGCTTGGTATTGACATGCTGTGGAGGCCTTGTGGTCTAGATGTCAACCCCAAGTACTTTCAGACACTGGACGGGTTTTAGCCTATCCCAGAGGAGGAAGGTTGTGTCCCCTCAACCGAGGGGGGTGGGTGGGGAGGAAAGTTTTTCACAACTTTAATCACCAAAGAGGCTCCAGCACACTGTCCAATAGGTTGTGTTGTCACCATGGCTCTAGACAATGGTGCCTCTTGAATTGTAAAGTTGTCTCGTGTTCTCTGTTGATTGAGAAGCAACTTTCGGCAGGGGAAAACGAAGTGTTTTCTTGAGCAGGTCCATGCTGCGTATCAGCCCCTTCCTCTGCCTTCTTTCTCCCTCCCTCCCTTCCGCCACCAACTCCCTCAGCAAGAAGCCACGGAAGTGCCAGGAGAGTCGTCTGTGGCCCTTGGGCACCCAACACTTATAGTGACTTATTCCAGATTACTGTTTTCAGAAAAAATCAGCTGGGCGGGCACTGATTATCTCTTAATGAATGAGTTAAGGAGGTTGAGCATCCAGACTGTGCCAGTGCTGTGCTTGAAACTTGTACATTAGCATTTTAGAAACTGTAGTGAATATCACATTGGGCTGCTGGGATCTGCAGTTTTTATTTTGATAGTATTTCTCCTGATTTTGAGGGTGTAGTGGTCGTCGATGGTGTACTGTATTATTGGTTGTAGTGTGGTGGTGTGGCAGCTGGGCCGTTGGCACAGTTGCTCGTAGATATTACTTAAGCCCTCTTTGTTATGTTCCTGGGTCAGGTATAGAAACATTGTCTTGTTGGGTACGAAGTATTGCTCCTGGCTTCTGTGGCTCCCCCAACAACAACAACATCCTGCCTTGTATAGTCCCATGAAAAATGCTTATTTTTCTATGTAAAAAGATAAAATCAAGGACGGCAGCGAGTGTGTCGTCACAGCAACAAAACCCAAGCTCTGTCTCCCGACCCTCCATACCTTCCAACCCTGTTCTACCTTTCCTCTCTACTCCCTCCCCTGCCCACTCCCCATCACCCTTACCCTGGGAGATCATTGACCATTGTGGGTCCGGAGATCATCATCATCATCGGCGTCATCATTATAGGTAGTTGTAGGTGTCATTATTATTTAATCAGTAGACTTGCACACAAATACCTGGAACTCTGGACCGGGGACGTCCAGGTGTGCCGCCCCAGGTCTTGTTTCAACCAATTATTACTGAACAATGGAAAAGTTATTATTAATGAATAATGAAAAACTGGAGTGAATACTACCACAGATATGGCCTTACACAACAGGAAGATTTGGTGTTTTAGTATATTCTATTTCAGTTTTAATGTGATAGAATTAGTTCAAATAAAGGATTCACACCAGGACGCCCTTCTTTTAATACCCATCTTTCTAAAGGTCAGACTAGTGATTTTTTCCTCACTTGATGTCAGATCAAGCCTGACCAGGGTGTTTGGGTGAATATAATTGTTTTTCTGTTGTGACAACAGCAGCAAAAACTATGTGAAATGTAAACAGTACAAGTATCTCACATCTGCTTCTCATACCTTGATAGACAAGGTAATATGCAGGATTGTTTTGCATTTGCCACCTTCCTTCAAGAACAGGACTCGGTGTGCACGCTATAGAAAAGCTGTCCGCTTTGTCGAAATTATTTCATGTTGAATAATGGGTGACTTTTACTAGACCTTATTAATATCTTTCAGTTGCAACGTCAGTGAACATTCATCCATGGCGATATTCGGTAGTACAGTATTTTATAATAAAAATGTTTCATGTTCCCCAAGTGGTAATCCCTATACAGTACCAGTTATTGTACAAGCATGTCAAGTCACCCAGCTGTGAACACTTGCTACACCTGGTGATGAGGGATGTTGGTGAACTTCACATGGAACTTAACCAAGCAGTGAGGGACGTCGGCGCAAGTCAAAGTGCACAAGTCAACGGGAAGTGTGGTGAAATATTGGTACGTACTAGTAAGACTGTAATTTGTTACACACTGGTGAGCAGTCGGCACGCATAAGTTGATCTCTTTGTGGGATAGTCTGAAAGAATTTAATTCACGTTGATGTAGTAAAATTGGAAATTTGGCAAAAAAAAAATTGTACTCCCGAGTCATTACTGGTGACTGTTCAGTAGGCACTAGTCGACCAAACTGAGGGAGATGCCGTGTAAATTATTCAGTTAAACAATGGAGGACATCTGATGAACAGTACAGTCAATCAAGTGCTTTGGGAAATTTTGGTGAACATTGAACATATCGGTGGCAAACAATCAGTATGCTGAACTGAGTAATGGGTGACATTACATACAAATTGACCATGGAGCAGGGGATACCTGGTGAATGATCATGACGCACAGTGCATCATGTAATAGATGAGAGTTAGTATGAGGTTTAACGTGGCCATGGGGTGGCGGGGAAGTGTGCACGAGGAAGACTGTCAATAGTAGTCTACTGATGTATTAAGGTGGTGGGTATATAATCTAGAATTTAACATTTTCCTCAGGGTATGTGTAGTCCCTTCACAGTATTGCCAATATTTTTCTACCCAGGAAAATACTTCACAAAAGTCTAAGTCCCTTTATTTTTTTTTTCTGGTTAACAAAATGTGAAACCTCAACATTTTACATAGTAATATATTTTGTTTAAGGTTACATGACTCTAGTAAAGTTGACTGATCTCTCGTGGATATTATGTACGGCTTAATTACCAAAGAGTGTGGACAGTGACGTGTTGCTTTAGTTGGTATTAAGTGGATACAGACTCAAGTTGTATTGCTGGGGTGTGAGAGATGGCCGGCTCCCAAGTACCACAAGCTTTTGTTTATATTTCCCTTTTCATATTAATCACTACATGTACATGAAATTACATTATTTAAGGTAGACTTTGAGAAAAAATTTCATAATTTTACTTTTTATCTTCAAAAATTATTAATTTTGAGTTTACAGCCGAGAAGAAAAATAGTGATTCTAGTGAAGATTTCTTACTCCTTTACCTTGTTCATAATTTTTTTTTCTTGTGCTCTTACTTTTGTACGTGATATTTGTTAACCTTGTCTTAAAGTGTCTTGGGAAACATTTTCAGTTACACAATATGGGGGCAATCTCTTCTATCTTAACAATAAAACTTAAATACCACAAATTTTCTTCTTAGAAATTATAAATTAAGATTTAAAGAAACTAAAACCTGCCAAGTGGCTATTTCAAAATATTAATTGAAAAATAAAAATATATTTAAACTAAAAATTGAAGATGGCATAGTTTTCATCATACAATTTGCCTTCACTCAGAATCATTTAGATTATTACACAAAAGTCTGGATCTCACTTGCTCACCAACAGCCATAAAGGTTCAAGCTTCTGATGCCCATTTTCAGAATATGTATATATGGTTTGTCAAGTCAATGTAATACAAAAACGATGCCACAGTCCTGAATAACATGTACATAATTACTGAATCAGAAGTGTTGTGCACTCTGATGGATAATGGTTGATAACTTCTTTGGAATTCAGTGATATTTCAATAGGACCTCTTCATATTATAAGTAGGTTTATTTAGACAATACTTATGAAGACGTAATTATGGTGTATATCTGATGAATAGATATGATTTATTTTAATTAAAAGGCTAAAACTGTGCTTACTAGCATATCATCAGATGACCTCAAAATACAAAATACTTACTGGACACATCCCATGAGAGATGAATGATATGTAACCTAAGGTACAAAGGTAAATATAAGGTAAACGGACAATTAACGATACATGTATTGATGTTCATTTTGTAAAGGCTAAGGGAAGTGTATCTTCTGGATTTATGCAAAACTTCTGTAGATTGACAACCTCTTTTGTAATAACTATTTCTGTATGAATTTGTAAAATCACAAGTTTTATTTTACAGAATGAAAACTTAGGGTAATAAAATGTTAGGTTTCAAGGAGCTGGAATTCAGTGGTTGCCACCAATGAAATTGTCAAATTATGTACTGTATATAATTTTTTTGTAATATCTTCATCTGCAATTGGATTATTATTGTTCTTGCAATATTGTTATTGGTAAATGTTGTTTTGGGTGATGTATGGCTACCAGAATTACATAAAAAACACATAAAATTTTGAGCACTGCATTTTTCCGTGTGGTGGGTTTTATCTGCAATGATTGGTATCTGTTTATGTATTTGTATTATTTTGGGTACTTGCTACAGTCCAGGCAGGACCATACCAAACATAGTACCACAGGTCACTGCATCATATATAAGTTTCCAGATAAGAGCATAACCAAACTTGAGAGTGTGTATTATCTAGTGGTGGCTGTAAGGTCAAGGGTCACACCTTATTTTGGAATGGGCAGAAATTTGTGTCCACTGTATTTTTTATTTTTTGATAGGTTTTAATTTTTTGTGAACTATACATTTTAGGACATATTACATAAAAGCGGCATGTAGAAAGCTTCAATAAAGCCTTTAAAAATTCATAGTTAAGAAATTTCTGTATATACAGTCCTGTATTTGATCAAAAGTAACCACAAAATCTTTGGCAGTCGAGTAGTGTGGCACAAGCAATACTCATTACAGTAAAACCCTCTTATTCTGGACTAATTGGGGGAAATCCAGTCCATATTAACCGAATTTCTGGATAAAGTGATATCCGGAGGAGATTTATTTCACCAGGTAAAAGTCTGGATTAACCAAGAAAAATCCAGTTGGCAATCTAGATTGCTGTCTGGCACACACGAACACCAGCCTCAGCTACGTTTACAAGCCAGTTACGCTGCTACAGCCTTTGTGTGTGCATCTCTTAACTCTTGTGGACTATTTGTGAATTTGTGGAGACAACTTCACATGGAAATCATAAGGGAGCCAGAAAGGAATGTAGCTTGAAGGACAAGTTAGCAGTTCTGGAAGATCATGAGAAAGGTGTGTCTGCAAAGTTTTGATGGAGAAATATGACTTGAAAAATAAACCAACAACCATCTTCAACATCACTAAATTTGTGGTAAATATTGTATGTTCAGTATGTTCTTTAAATTCACAAAAATCACTTCATGGTCACCAAAACATAGTACACCGTGAACTTGGGGTGATGTCCTCTCACTGTAATGTTAAAAAAAAAACGATGCTAAGTAATAACACTGATACTGATCAATAATCATTGAATTACAGGATTGCAGCCATGTGGCATCACCAGGGAACAAAGTTTGGTACTTCTAGTGCACCGGCTGGCTACTAGGTGGCACATATGTTGACAACAACAATGGTTTTCATGACTTTTACAGTTTCATTACATGAATCAGTGACAACATGCATAGCCATCTCAAGTCCACAGCTGCCTGGCAACATGTGTTATGTACAGTAGGGAAGATTATGCAGGTGTGTATGGGACCCATTTTCACTTTCAATGGGGATGAAGTGGATCACACTACAGGTATATGGTTTCAGTATATTAATTTCAAAATTTTTGCATTATCTTGGGAACAGAGCATTTATTGACGACCATGGCTAGCATTTCAAGTTTCTCCTTCATGGGAAGGTGTTCAGGCAAAACTGGGACTGGTTTAGGCCAAGATTTTGGCTCATTCAAGTGGTCTCTGGCCTACATTGAACTAAGCACTGCTTGATATTTGGCTTTGCCCACCCGTGAAGTTCTGGCCAGTTTGTGAGTGAATGCCACACAAGAAGATAGGGAAAACACCTGTTAATGAATATTCTAAGGCAAAAGAAATTGCAGCTTACAATTTGTTAATTAATAAATTGAAAGAGAAAGACACTTCAGCGAATTGAGAAGTGTCAACGAAAATCAATAATACGAGACTCATTTCGTAAAGAAATTAAGAAAGTTACATATTCTATGAAGTCGAGTGCTGCCACCAGTGATGTTTACACCCAAAAATTGTGGTATTATAGTCAGCTACTTTTCTTAGCTCATTTAATTGCATCATAGGTCTCAGGTATAATATGTCCAGGGGCAGATCCAGGATTTTCAGAAGGATTCTAAACAATGTGTGCATGTGTGTTAGGTAGAAATAACATGTCACAATGAAGTTTACATATACCGGTATGTACCTGTATATTAAAAATATAAATTATAACTGAGGACAGAATAGGTCAATATACTGTACCTTAACCTTGTTGAAGCCATTAGGCATATCAATCACTGTACTGTATTGTATAAGAAATTAAAAAAAGGATTGTCCTTTTTTCTTAAAAGGGGGGTCCAGACCCCCTGGACCTGCCCTTGAATAATATCCCAAGGTTTGTGGGGAAAAAAAAATAAATAACTTCATCTTCATAGTATGGAGGTATTTGTGAGAAACTGCAGACAACTTCTCGTGTGGAAAAATGGCTTCCTGCATACAGTTATTTTGTTTTTTCCTTAATGGATACACTAAGAGATGATAGCCTCAGGTAGGTTTCCTTGTCCATCTTAAGGTAATTGAACCAATCTCTTGGCTCTAATCGCACTCTTTTAATAATGACATACTGTATATGATAGTCTTGCCTTTTCATTCAACACTTTTGTCCACTTTGTCTGATATTTCTTCCTATTCTCTTGGCAGGCTTGCCTTGATAAATGTCCTGCAGCAGCTGCTATAATTGCAGGTATGTTCAACTCCCCCATTGTTTAGCAGTGGCCGTAGTTTTGAGCACGTTATCGTGTCCTAGGTAACTGAGCTGTGCCTTGAGGCTAGACTGAATCGTGTGTGGGAGAGTTCTTTTTATGAAGTGGACCAGTACGAGTGTGTATGGGGCCCTTTAATGCATTGATTATGTGAAACAACTAACTACTAACACATCAGGTATGTGTCACTTCAATAACACATACAGGTATGTCACTCCATTAACACATGCAGGGATGTCACTCCACTAACACGCAGGTACATGAACATATAAAAGGATTCCCAGAATCCCAGAGCACACACACCTGTATACTGTTCCCATACACTGTAGTCAACATTGTTCGCTTCATTTTCTGCTATTTGAGAACTGAAGTGACAGCAGGGATCAATACTACACCACATGTACATGGTGGTGAGACTGTTAACAAGTTGGGGTGTTGTTCTCCCACGCACTATGAGAAATGAAAGTATCAACCAGTACAGTATTAAATTTTTTTTTGCAACAAAACCTTCCCCAATGCAAAGCTCATATAAAAATCATATAGCATTATAGTACAGTAGTCCCTCACCAACTGTGGGGGTTAGGTTCCTGAAAAACCCCGTGGTTGGCAAATCTGTGGCTGGTAAGACTAAATAAAGGCTTATGGGAAATAGGGGGTTTGGCTTCATGGCCATGGATAACACTCGTCAAAGCCTAACTAAATTGCCTTCTTCACTGAATATACTTGTATTGTTCATTCAATTAAATTTGAGTCAGACATAAAATAGTAAAACACGATAAATTTTACAATACATTGCCGTGGTGCTGGCATGTTGCTATAAAATAAGAAAAGTAAAGAACATGGGTGTGTGTGAAGTGAATGTGTGTTTGTATGTTGCCAAATTAGACTGTCCATGTAACTACATCCCACTAACTCTCGTCTACCTGGCCAGACTGCGTTAGTTATTTTTCAACTCGTATTTTTGGTTAGATGTACGTAATACATAATTTTATTTTATTTTTATTTTTTATACTGTTACATGCACACACAATCGTTCATACAGAATGTGCAAAAAAGAAACAATCATCATAGATCAAAAACATAAAGAGAACAAGGATTGAGTCATATTTATTTTCAATATGAACAAGAGGTTCTTCTTTCCCTTAATTCATCCTATGTATGTGGGAGTGGATAAGGAAATATCAAGAAAATGTAAATGTTAAATTGACAATGTTGAGCAGCAGCTGTGGGGCTGACCCCCAAAGACTGTGGTTATCAGGTCTGTTTCTAATTTAAGAAAAACTCCTAAAGAGGAACTCAATAATGAGCACTGAATCAATACTTACTGAGAATATATATATTTATTGAAAAAAAAATATATATATATATTTTTTTTTACCCACATCATGACAGAGCTGACAATCACTACTCAAGACTTTTCTCACACTGCTTATCACTATTGACTTCAGCCTACTGTACTGCACTATATATGACATGATTAAAACAGAACCCATTTAAGTTTGCTGGCTGACTCTTTGCTAAATGGTTTACTTCACATTGACACTTACAATTTGGTACATATTATTTTCATCAAAAAGCATAATACTGTACTATGAAATCTCAACAATATTGGAATTGTTAAGTTGATGAATACTGTTTGGAGTTTGTTAATGGCATCCTTTATAATGTATGTTGAAACAGGCATTGTTTTAACACACTTAGACTTGTATTAAAGCACTATGAGTAGTAAATGAACCTCTACTCTACCACCACTGGTGTTACCCCCTAAAAAGGTAAAGTGAAATATATACTGTAGTTACAAAATAAGTGGACAATCACCGATAAACTTACAGGGGCGTCAATAATGTTGTGTCAGAAGAGTACATCTGTATCTTTGCATATCCACTTTATTCATTATATCAATAAACTTAAAGGACATAATGGTAACTTAAAAGTAGGCTAGACTTGTCACATTTCATTCATATGTGCGAGACGACGGATAGAAGGGCAGGATGTCATCTCTAGTGCTGTTTTTCTGGCCTTGTTGCATATTTGTGTACTAGCACCATGTTCCAGGAGCAGCCGCACTGCCTCGAGACGCTCCTCCTCACAAGCAAGATGTCTGTAATTAATTGTAATTATTAATACAATGAAAATGGGTCCCATTGGCATGCTGGCCACTTAAAAACAATGATACAACAACACATTGTATATGAAGCCTTCAGGACAAAAGGAGGTTGTATGGCCAACACTTCTCTCAATGTTCAACATTAATATACTGTGACAAAAAACTAAAAGGACTTAAGTAATGCATGAAATTCTATTTTATGGCCAAGGGAATTAAATAAAAGACATATTAGATTAGAAGTCAAAACATCCTCATTTTAACTACTCCTACGACATGAAAAGACAGTAGACGATCATTTTACCATGCTTGAGGGTGGTTCACGGTTAAGCCTTAAGCATGGTTGGGGGTCACCCCCCCCCATTAGAAAAAATTGAGATAATGAGCTTCTAACACAACTATATGTGTATCACCACCACTCTCATTCAATTTCTGCTTGTTTAGCGGTTAACCTTTCAGGAATATAACAAAAAAAATGTCTGTTTGTACTAGAATGAATACCCCCTGTATTATCAAAGAACATGGCACAGAAAGATATAGAATCAAATCATACAATACGCAATAATCTCACATAACTCGTAACTTAAAAAAGCATCATACAATACACAATAGTACACTACAAGATGAAAGCGAGTAGCCTAGAGCCACCTCTCTCTCCTGCCAATTCCCACGTGCTTGGTGGCACGGTTAAAGAGTTTGGTGCAGTTAAATAGTGGTATCGGTTTCAATTAATAAGCACGGTAAAGCCCTGGCTCAGATAAACGATCGGTGGTAAAATGATCGTCTACTGTATAGTAATTGGCATGCCATGCCAGAGGCATTGAGTCTGCTTCAGTCAGAACATTGGGTGATATTCTGCGTGATCATTTTTGAGGTATAAACAATCTCACTTTTATTCTGTGTACAGTATCTGTGTTTATTTAACTCTGTTTTGCATTGATTTGTTTTCATGCTGGATAAGAGAGGACTTACAGTGGAGTGTTACCCTCTGAGTCTTGCAGGTTGATGGAACACCTGTTGCACTGCAGGATGGGTATCATGGCACGTATGTTGCCCTTCGATGCAGCACGGTGCAGAGGTGTTGCTCCCAGCTTATCTTGTAAATTCACGTCAGCCCAATTGTTCATCAATATACTCACAATCTGGTTGATGACAAATATATTAATTAATGTACTGTACACCTATGTTAGAGGATGTGGGTGTTATCTATGGACAGTATTTAATATCTTCCTTGCAGTGAATTCTCTAAGACTCATTTCCTTTTTTATTAAACAAACATTAAAACTGGTACCTCGTGGTGATTCTTGGATGCAGCGTACTGGAGTGCTGAGTGGCCCCCATTATTCTTGGTGTTAACATTAGCTCCACGGCCAATCATCAGCCTCACCACTTGCTCTCGCCCAGCTGAAGATGCGATCATTAATGGTGACCAACCACACTGAAGAAAAAACACTACATTAATAAAATTGTGAGAGTAGGTCCCATATGCATGACTGCCTGTTAGGAACAGTGTAGATACAATACACTGTATACTAAGCTTCTGCTACACATGGAGGCAGCATGGCTAGTACTGCACTCAACTGCATTCACTTCCCCAAGATGTAAACTTAGGTACCCAATTACAGCTGGGTGAACTGGGAGTGCCCTGAAATCGAACCACCGACCATGCAGTATGGAGAGGAGAGCCGCCATCAGGTAACCGTGGCTAACCCACGCAAGCATGGAAAATGGCCGTAAAGCGATGATGATGACTGACTTAGGTTCATTTGGCGATGCGTTAATAAAATATATTATAGTAAAATAATAACCCTCCCAATAAGTTATTGCATCATATTAAATTTCCAGTGCTTTGTTTACAGAGCGTGAACAACTGACTATCCTCAGCCTCACTCGCTGTGTTGCCAGTGGTCTCCATCTCTCATGCATCTCTGCTTACCACAACATCTGTCTTCAGCACTTATTCAATAATATTGTAGTGTATTTATGAGAGCTTAATAAATAATATTTTAGTGGAGCTACAGAGCATAGAAAATCACTCTTCTCTCAGCAGTTATACAGTATAATATATATGTTTTAACTGTTCTACACAAAAGTAAAATCTGCTTATGGAGACACTAGACCAAGGACATAGTTTCTGGAAGTTTCATTAATATCAACTGGCAAAGTGAACCAACCAAAGTTAACCCACCTAAAAATAATACAAAGTTTGGTTGGTTGGCTTTTCCTGTGATCATTAATAGTGCACCCAGAAGTACATCCTTGTCCACATTAGCCCAACATAAAAAATCTTACATCATCAGACTTGTCGACAGGTGCTCCGTGCTCTATAAGGAAGCTGACAAGTTCCTCGTGTCCCCCACAGGCTGCCCAATGCAATGGATGCCGCCCACTCTGTAAAAGTATCCATATGCATAAAGACCTTGGTAGGTTACTAAATAACAGACAAGCATTAAGAAGTGATGATCTCAAGACTGATTCTCAACTTTGAGAAAAATGTGAAAACAACACTAACCAACCAAAGTTCACCTTGGATAGGTTTGATTCACATAATCTGTGTGAGAAGAAGTGCTGCAGCATTAAAGAAAACTGAATAATCAAGTTTTATATCAGTCAGCAATATGGGCTTGGTTATGTTAGTTCATCTCTTCATTATCTACTCTCATCTAAAATTAAAACAATTTGTTCATTTGCAAATAAATATTCAATAAATGTGTATGATGACCAAATCTTTACAGTGATTATACAGGATACATTTTATTTCAGTGGAATCTTCATCAATACAATTGTTTCAATGCACAGAATCCAAATCCAGTGAGGAGCAAGGAAAAAATAAATGCATTACAGTATGGTACTGTATGTTAATGTACTTATGAAGTACAAAGCTGGTGCTGTACTGTACTGTAACTTCTTCCATATGCACTGATGAATAAAAAACAAACCATCACTGAACTATACCTGATTTTAGTAAGAATGGACCACCGGGCATTATCGAAATCTTGAAATTTGTTTTTTTGCCAAAATCAGCCGCACTTCAGTAATAGTTCACCTTTATTTGATGAAGGATGTGAATCATACAAATAACGGGTAAAGGTGTAGGAGACGGTAAGCACCCTAACGGTTAGGTTAGGTAAGGTAAGGTTCTAAAAGGTTCTGTGCATTGTCATTTCAATTTTCTTTATATCATCCAAACAACATATCCTGAAACTTGGTGTAATTTCATAGTCTTTCTGGTGCTAACAGTCTGCTCCACTATTATAAAAAATCCATAAGTTATTACAAGCCATCTGTGCTTCTTAATATGTGATCATGAACTTCTGGAAGTCGGTGCAAGTGTCCAAAATATAGCAGAGAACCGACATTAATGGAAAAATACCTGTTCAGGTGTAACAGTTGGATGCCATCGCTGCACTAGACCCACCTTCATATTAAGGTACGTTTCTTTTGAAGCTGGGGTCGGGGGGCGCTGGTTAGCACTGTCTCCTCCACTTTACCTTAAATTCCCATTATAGTCACAAACGAATCTTTACTGAAACAACGAAATTACTGGATAAAAATAGTGAGAATACTGTACCAGAGACTAACCCACATGACAGATACTTACATCGTCAGTGGCTGTGAGAAGACGATTATGAGCGAGCACCTTGACCTTAACCTCCTCATATTTGCCCAGGTATGAGGCCTGATGAACCTCTTCCTCCTCCACCATTTTCTTTATTATCTCCTCTCCTTCTTAACTATCACTGTTCTCTCTGTTAAGTGTCAGCAGTCAGTGTTTGTTTACTGAGGGAATCAGGGAGACGTGTTTACCTTCCCCCAAGAAGTAAACAGTGTATGATTTGTCAGTTTCCAATAATATTTTACGTAAATGTCCGGGTCATCATCACGAGCGCTTTTTTTTAGCAAATAATTTTAAGCAAGAATTTTAGAGTAAAAAAAAAATACAATGAATTTCTTTAGAATGTGGTCACTCGTCTAGTTCTCCCTACTGTTTCCTCAAGAATAAAACAAGTGAAGTAAGGCCGCCATGGAACACAACAACGCAGCAGCCATCCTCGGTGTTCTGGTTATTATTAAAAAGAAACAAGAGAAATCGAAGAAAAGAAAAACTACTGGACTCGTAAGTGGCTGGCGAGGAGGAGGACTGAAAGTGTTCATTATAGACTGGTGTCGTAGCTGCAGTAGGGAAGGCTGCAGGCAAGGTACTGTTTTGTTGGGCTCTGTAGTAATTTATAGAATTAACAAAAAAAAACTCTTGTTGAAGTTTTCTTATGGTATGAAACGTTGCATTGGCATAAAAATAATGTAGTTTTTATTATTATTAGATTGATGCCACTGATGGTAGACTGACACACCACCCTGCCACACTCTCTGCACAGTGATCTTAATACTCTTGTGTTCTAATCGTTAAATCATTATTAAAACATATACAGAAAATAAGCATTAATATAAAATTTAACTTGTTTATTCAGACAGTACAAGTGTAAAGGAGAAGCTCGTCAAAATTAATTTATTTCCCTATTTCTTAACTTCCTAATAATCTTAAAACCAAAGGATATATTTTTATTTATGTATTGTAAGAAATATATAACTACCACTCGGATAGTTACATATTATACCTCCTTCTAATGAACTTTTTTGAGATAAAAGTGCGTTATATCGAGGGTCCATTACAGCTAAAGTTCATTGGTGTGTTCAGTTGTTCAGTCCTTAGTTTATATCATAATGTTCAAGGCGGGTGGTAGTGCAGGTGTGGTGGTGGAGGTATAGTTGTGGTAATACTGCTCTCTGTTGGGGTACTGGAGTTATGGCTACATTGGCTGGGGAGACGAGTACCCGACTTCTAGAAGGGGACACTGGCTACTGTGGGATGTACTGACCACACACCAGCCCCGGGTTGTTACTATCCCAAAAAGAGAAACACAACACAAACATTATCCCATCCTAATTATAACAAACAAGAGAGAAGGCTAATGTACTGCATATAATCATCTCACTCACATTCTAATGTATTCTTAACTACAGAACAGTAATTGACACTTAAGTAAATGATGTAGTAATTTGCTTTTATCTCAACTCAAAGGCAGAACAGTATAGCCAGAAACAAACACAAGTAAACCATCTTACAGGAACTACAGGCAAAATACAAAAAAAAAGACCAACCTAAGATTTAAAAAAAGTAAACATGTAGATTAAGGTAATTCTATTTTTTACTTGTTGCTGTAATACTCAACCAAGTCGTTCCTTTACTTTACTTTACGTTATTCAGCACTACAGTGACATCTTCCCATAGGGGCGTTTTACCTGTGTAGAGAGGGCGAGTTTGTTGATAGTTTTTAATTGATCTGACCCGGGGGCGTCCTGCACCAGTTATAGCGGCACCTGACACCTTCAGAGCCACCACCTCCAAAACCACCTTTCACAGCACCACCTGCAAAACCTTCCTCTACCACACCACCTCCAAAACCACTTCCAAAGCCTTTCTCTACAATACCACCCCCAAAACTACCTTTCACAGCACCACCTGCATAGCCTTCTCCTACCACACCACCTCCATAGCCTTCTTTTACAACACCACCTCCAAAACCACCTGCAAAGCCTTCCTTTACCACACCACCTCCAAAACCACTTCCAAAGCCTTTCTCTACAATACCACCTCCAAAAGCACCACCTGCAAAACCTTCCTCTACCACACCACCTCCATAGCCTTCTTTTACAACACCACCTCCAAAACCACCTTTCACAGCACCACCTGCAAACCTTCCTCTACCACCACCTCCAAAACCACTTCCAAAGCCTTTTCTACAATACCACCCCCAAAACTACCTTTCACAGCACCTGCTTCTCCTACCACACCACCTCCATAACTTTTTTACAGCACCACCTCCAAAACCACCTGCAAAGCCTTCCTTTACCACACCACCTCCAAAACCACTTCCAAAGCCTTTCTCTACAATACCACCTCCAAAAGCACCACCTGCAAAACCTTCCTCTACCACACCACCTCCATAGCCTTCTTTTACAACACCACCTCCAAAACCACCTGCAAAGCCTTCCTTTACCACACCACCCCCAAAACCACTTCCAAAGCCTTTCTCTACAATACCACCTCCAAAAGCACCTTTCACAGTTCCACCTGCAAAACCTTCCTCTACCACACCACCTCCAAAGCCTTTCTTTACAATACCACCTCCAAAAGCACCTTTCACAGCACCACCTGCATAGCCTTCTCCTACCACACCACCCCCATAGCCTTCTTTTACAACACCACCTGCAAAGCCTCCTCCTACCACCCCACCTCCAAGGCCACGCTTTACAATGTTACCTCCAAGCACGGCATCGCTTGTAGTTTCGAGGTCGACACTTAAGTCACTTTCTAGGTCACTCCCTACACCTCCAAGACCACCGCTTACAACCCCTCCTCCAAAGCCTCCCCCTACAGCACCACCTCCAAAACCACCTCTAAGAATTCCTCCAAGATCACCACCTATGGCCCTACCTCCAAAATCTCCTCCAAATCCACTTCGAAGACTACCTGCAAGACCTCCAAAACCACCACCTATGACCCTACCTCCAAGGCCACCTCCAAAACCACCTCCAAGACCACCTCCAAGACTACCTCCAAGACTACCTCCAAGACCACCTCCAAATCCACTCCTTCCCACAAGACCCCTGAAGCCGCCCCCTCTCATACCAGCCTCCAGACCAAGGGCCACCACCCTCCCTCGGGGACCACGACCGACAGCCACGCCTCCAACGCCCTCTGCAGCTCCCTCCACCAGTACAGCGCCAACATGATGACGCCCAGAGCCGAGACTGTGTAGGGTGTCGGCAGCAACAGTGATGACTGCCAAGGAGAGCAGCAGCAGCGCCACCTTCAGGCTCTTAATGTCAACCTACAAGAACGGAAGACAATATTGATGGAAATATTACCCTCACTGACGAATTAGTGACAGAATTAGTGACGGTAAATTTACATCCCATTAAAGGATATAGAGGACCTATCTGATGTGGATTATTAGTATATTGAATAGAGGAAATACTGTAATTAACAAAGTGTAATTCAAGTTAGGTGAGGTGGTCAAGCTTACCATCTTGTTGTCAGTCGCGGTAAAGACGATTGTTTGAGAAATGTCACACCTGGCTCATTTATATATACTGGCAGATTGTCCCCCCAGCCCTCTAATGGTGGTTTACCTGGATGTGCAGTGTAATGGTTGACAATATTGGGATTGTCATTGCGTCACACAGGTAAGAACAAACACCCGGGGTCACATACTGCAGGTGACAGATCAGTAACTTAATTATTACCATAGAAACTCAAGAGTAATTTCACGATCGTAATTTTTTTACATAATTCTTTTAGAAAAGGTAGGCTATTATGTGTAGTCTCTTACCTGTTATATTAATATGTAATCAGGGTAGACTCGTTCTATAGCCACAAACCTATACACACAAATACAACACGGAACATGACTACACACACACAGCCACTAACACGATAATGGAAAAAAAACCTATTTACCCAAAGCCATTAATTATTCCGTCTACAATGTATTCTGAGAACGGTTACACTACAATAACCTTGAACTTGACGTTTCACACACGCCGACTCCCCTCATGACGACCATTTCACTGAATCTGAGGCTGAGTTGACACCGGAAACAACTGAACACACTAAACTGAATTTTTGTGTCCATACCTGTGTGTTGAGTGACTGTATGTTTGACTGTCTAATTACCTGAGTGGAGAAAGAGGGAAAATGATATAATGGTAACCGCTATAAAGGTCTCAACAGCTCACCTGAAGATTAACCACCCTAATGCTAATCTAATTTAACCTAACTCAATCTTATTTGTTTTATAAGATATTAGACAAGTAACATTTGATTATATCTCGTACTCGTATTGCAGCTATTCACCATGGTATGAGGCGGGGATAACACTCACGTAGCTACGCAGGCTCACCACACTCACGGTACTCCATCTCCCTAAACACACCCAAACTTAACCTAATCAGTTCTTCCTCACAGTTCTCTCGTAATTCACAATTATTTCACTACCCAATCATGAAGGCTGTATAAAAATCTTTAGGTTTCATTTTTGCTTTGTGAATAGTCAGTCATTGTAGTGGGTGGAGTCAGTGGGGAGCCTATCTGGAAAAATGATGGCTGGTGTGATAAGTTGTGCAGCGGTTATGTTTGACGGGTGTTGTAAACCTCAGCCAAGTTGTCCTAAGCTTCACACTCGACGCATTTTTAATCAAATCTTCATATTTCTTTTCAACATGACACTCCCTTCCTGGGGTTTCCCGGAGAGATATTGTTTTGACGAGAGAGAGATCTTACGTGAAATCCCGAGAGCAGAAACTTTCACAATATCCTAATGTTCCTGTAAATCCTTTGTTGATATTATCTCTCTTATATGATTTAACACATAAATATTCCACATATTATCTTAAATTAAACCTCCAATTGTTGTTATAGAGGAAAAGTTACTTCCACTGCCTCGTGCAGAAGATGGAGTATCCTAAACATATACTATAAATACTCGAGGATAATGTTTATGTATTGTTGCTCGAGAACTTTTGAAACTGTAATTTTGTCCGTATTATTTTTTTGTATTGGTGATAATAATAAAAGATAAATAATAACTACATAACACAAATAGATGATCGTGAGGACCCACACGATGGAGGGTCAACTTCCTTCAAGGACAAAAAGGTTGGCGGATTCCAAATGCTTGTTGACACTTGAATCAAAGAAGTGTTGTAAGAATTTCCTGGAGCAAACATCCAGCCGTTAGCCTGGGTATATATACAACAAGTGCATGGAGCTGCCAGCACACGACAGCTTCATACCACGACAGACATGGTAAGATCTGCAGCTTAGTGACATCACGTAGATGGTGGTAGAAGCCCATTATTATAGTCTAAAATATAGAGAAGATTGTCTTAAAATTCAGGTAATGCAAGCTAAAACGTAAAGTGTTAGGGTGAGTTATAAAACAGGGAATTCATTTATGTTAGCGTAAATGTATGTCTTGTTGAGGCGTGAGTTGGATTAAGTCACGTCTGAGACTACTGTTTCCCTTCTTGTATTGAGATGACTGTTCTCTATCTGTGGCACAGGGAGGCATCAAGTGTGTGACAGTGCTGGTAGTGGTGACTTTGGCCGCCGTCACCCTCGCCGCCGAGACCAGGTTCAACTTGGGCTCCCTCATCGCTGGGCTGAATGATGGCGGCTCTGTTAAAGGAGGCTCTGTTAAAGGCGGCTGTCGGTACTGGTGCAGGACACCCATGGGACAGTCTTACTGCTGTGAGGAGAACTCTGACCCTCAAATCTCGCTCTCGACCAGAGGTGAGTCACAACCCTCTCAATTCTGTGCAATGTCGCCAACGTATTTATTTTTTATAGATTGGTACAATTATGTTCTTCTGTTGTTTATCATTTGCTTTTTAATTTGACTTTTGAGGATAAGAACAACATGATTTACTCCTACATAAAGAATAATTATAACACACACTGACTCGTCTTATATCCACAGTTAAGTCTGGCAGATGTCCACCAGTACGGCATCAGTGTCCCCCTGTGAGGTCGTTCGCCATTCGTCCCACCCAGTGTAGTGACGATTCCAGGTGCCCCGGCCGAGACAAGTGCTGCTACGACACCTGCCTCCAGCACCACACCTGTAAGCCGCACGTCTACTAGTGTTGCCAGATGTAAGCCGCACGTCTACTAGTATTACCAGATAACATCAATGTAGTGGTGGTGGTTACGTCATCATCAACCTTGTTGACCACACGTGACCAAAACCATCGTAGCTCTTATAGTTAATACGGCCTGGGCTCCACCTTCTGTTGTGCCTCGTTGCTGTTTCATTGTCACAGGCTCATTTGGTGTTGTTTATTCGCAATATTACAAGTAAAAATAAATCCCACAAAATCTCTGTATAAAACTGCTACTGCAATCGCTTACAACTTTTTTTTTCAGGATGGAATAAAATTTAGCTTTCATAAAATTTTCGTGTTCTTTTTTTTTTTCTTAGTGAATATATTTGGTGAAGCGGGAAGGTGTTGGGACTCCGTTTAGTGGCTCCTGACGCTGCTGTATACTAACTCACACTTCAGCTGAGTCTTATTACCCATTGCTTGAATAATGTGCAGCACAATATAAGACACGGCTGAGAGATGGGCAGTGAATACATCTACACATTGAACTAGACGAGTGAATATTGACCACCAGTAAAACAGAACAAGAGCGAGAGAAAAAAAAAGGAAAAATAAATATACATGTAGACAGATAAGTAGATAAAACAAGAGATAGAAGAATACATAGGAAGACAATCAGCTAAATACGTATATAAGACAAAGGAAGAGATAATTGAGCTGAAGGTGGACAATGAACAGGGCGAACTAGTGGTTATGTAAGGCATCAGTGAGGGTCGACCACGTACCCAACCTCGTCCTAACCTGGCCATCCACTTCCCTCCACTCACACACCCTCCACCCACACACCCTCCTACACTTCCCTCCACCCACACACCCTCCTTCACTTCCCTCCACCCACTCACCCTCCTTCTCCCTCCATCCATACACCCTTCTTCACTTCCCTCCACCCACACACCCTTCCCTCCACCCACTCACTTCCCTCCATCCATACACCCTTCTTCACTTCCCTCCACCCACACACACCCTCCTTCACTCTCCCTCCACCCACCTCCTCTCTCCCCTCCACCCACACACCCTCCTACACTTCCCTCCACCCACACACCCTCCTTCACTTCCCTCCACCCACTCACCCTCCTTCTCCCTCCATCCATACACCCTTCTTCACTTCCCTCCACCCACACACCCTCATCTCCTTCTCTATCCACCTCTACACTTCCTTACTTCCACTCCTCTTCTCCTCATCCCCTTCTTCCTTCCCTCCACCCACCACTGCCCTCCCCTCCTTACTCTCCACCACCTCCTACCCTCCACCCACCCTCCTTCACTTCCTCTACCCTCCTCTCCTCCTTCTCTGCTCTCATTCTTCCTCCCTGTCTTCCCTCCCCACACCCTCCTTCCTTCCCTCCACCCACTCACCCCTCCTCCCTCCACACCTCCCTACTTCCCTCCACCCACCCCCTCCTTCTCTCCTCCATCCCCACCTCCTTTACTTCCCTCCCACCCCTCACCCTCCTTCACTTCCCTCCACCCACTCACCCCTCCTCCCTCCATCCACACCCTCCTTCCCTTCCCTCCCCCACCTCCCTTCTCCCCTCCATCCCACACCCTCCTTCACTTCCCTCACACCCCTCCCTCCCTTCCCCACTTCCTCCCACCCCACACACCCCTCCTTCTCCCTCCATCCCCCACCTCCTTTGCCCCCTCACCCCACTCACCCCTCCCCTCCCCTCTCCCTCCCCCCTCCTTCACTTCCACCCACCCACCCTCCTCCCTCTTCCACTTCCCTCACCCCTCACCTCAACTTCCTTTCTCCCCTTGCCTCCTTCCTCCATCCCCCTCCTTCACTTCCCTCCCACCCTGCCTCCTCCTCCATCCCACCTCTCACTTCCTCCACCCCACACACCCCTCCTTCTCCCTCCATCCCCACCTCCTTTACTTCCCTCCACCCACTCACCCTCCTTCACTTCCCTCCACCCACTCACCCTCCTTCTCCCTCCATCCACACACCCTCCACCTGACGTAGCTGTAGTCTTTCCTCAGTTGTCACAAGCCATCGTCCGCGAGTTTTCCCCCGAGGATGAACCATTCCTGAGTCATTCTTCTCCATAATGACTGTGCGGTTTCGTTCGACACTTCTTCGCTCGTCTTAGAAAAACGATCATTACCACAGATAGATAAGGTGGTGGAGCTGTTAATCCATAAATTCTTATATTAAGTAAAGAAAGAGAATTAGCGAGTGAAAGAGAAACAAAATTCAGAGATTGAGAAAGAATGAGAGACAGAGGAAGTGGGATAAATAACCAAAGAAGTAGAATGATAGAGAGTGAAGGAAAGAGAGAGGCACAAGTGTAAGTCATAACAACAGGTGACATGACGGTGTTAACAAGAAGACATTGAGGGCAAGTTGGTGATGATACGAGGCACAGAAACTACACCTACAGTACACCTCCTTCCACCACACTGCTGCACCCCTCCACCTCCATCCACCACACTGCTGCACCCCTCCACCTCCATCTACCACACAGCACCCCTCCACCTCCATCTACCACACAGCACCCCTCCACCTCCATCTACCACACAGCACCCCTCCACCTCCATCTACCACACAGCACCCCTCCACTCTCCATGTAACTGTTGTTTACATATGCTGACAACAAATGGAGTGTTGTCTTGTCGTGATGATCCAGCGCTCGACTCTGTCATATCAATATTGTCGTATCTGTATTTGTTATGGCCCGATTAAAATATTCTTATTTTAATTTCAAAGTCGAGGAAACTAAGATGTTTAAAGAATTGTTTTGGTTTTCTTAAGAGATTCCAATGATATTTTAGATAGTGATCACAAAATGGCCTCTCCTCTCACTCCCTCCCTCACCACACTCTCCCTCCATCCATCCTTCACCCACCACACCCTCCCTACTTCACTACACTCTCCCTCCCTCCCAAGGCCACCTGACACTGGGTGTTCATCTCTACCTTCAGCAGCTGTCAAGGTGAGACTGATGATGCACTGTGAAGGCACTTAAGCTTATGTCAGGTGATGTGTGTGTGTGTGTTGGTCACCCCCCCCTCCCTCCCTCTCCCACCAAACTCTGTGTATCCTGGTGAATTAGTTGACTTATTGTGTCTTGGTGATTTACATGAGCAAATATATATATATATTCTATTAAGCGAGAGTATGTTGGCGATGCTAGTCAATGAGATTAATTCATGATAACTATGATATAACTCCAGTGGGTTTTTAAGCGAGCACCTCAGGGGCTGTCAGCTGGCCTCCTGCAGTACATTAACATGACATAGTTTTAAATAGAACGACGGCGTCTTTGATTGGCTGATTCACCAACCACTTAGAGGCGAGTCGTACACAAACACGTCGAACAAGAGGGAAAAGTTATAGTTTATGATAAAAACCGAACTATGAGATATTATTATTCCACAGAGCGTTGTTATTGTGTTGTCTTATTTATTTGTATACTAAAATGGTGAGTCTTGGAGCAGGTTAAGTTAGATCTTCGTGGGTAATGGTGACAACGTTGTATTGGTCACACCGTCAAGAAGGAAAGGATAAAGAAGTTGGTTGGTGTATCCCACAATATTGTCATCTCTTCTGTGAGGATTTTCATGTATCTGATTTACTTGTTTCATGTTTCTTCTGTCAATAGTTATATCATTTAATAAAGTAAAGCACTAGCATCTAAAACAGTATACAGAGGTGTAAGTACACAAGATAGCAAATGACGTAAATAACTTGGCGAAGATAAACAACTCAGCGAAGTAGAGAGATAGGAGCAGTGTCATCACCCTGAGGTGTTATCGTCAGCACTTGAGAGGCTCCCGTGATGTTGATGTCATACACGATGAAGAAACACCAACAACAATGACATTATAAGCGAGGATTCCCCGAAACTTACCCAGGTAATGGTAGACGGAGTGTATATAAACCCCAAGACAGCAGTTATTCTGAAGCAGTGACAAATGAGTTCTTCATTTTTATTTTGAACTCTTTGACACATGAACTCCATATACTTGGTTAAATTATCACCTATTGGCCTTAACGTAATCTAGCCTTCCCAAACCATACCTAACCTAACTTATCCTATCCTATTCAGCTTACAGTGTGAAGTAATGTACTCATTTGGCTGCTTTGATCATTGTGTAAAGGATTACATTGAGTAAATAATTCCCAAATCTACTTTCATCAGGTGAGAATGAAGGTGGCGACTTTTGTGCTGGCGGCTGTGGCGGCTGTTACCGTGGCTCAGAAAACACGTGGCGGCTTTGGCGGGGGCTTCATCTCTGCGGGCATAGGAGGGGGTGGCGGCGGCGGCTGTAACGGCGGCTACGGGTGTGGTGGCGGTGGCGGTGGCGGTGGCGGCGGGGGCGGCTGCAGGTACTGGTGTAGGACCCCTTATAATCAGTACTACTGCTGTGAGAATGGCGGCTCCCACCCTGGCAACCGACCCATTGGTACGTCGAACGAGAGAGACAGACAGACAGACATAACACTACTTCACATCATCTTGTCACTTTCAGTACCTTCCATCTTCCTACGCCTTGTCTTAGCTTACATTAGTCCAGTTACTTGAGTATGTATATAAACGGTGCAGGTAGATAAACAGTTGTAAACACTATGTCGATTTAACCAAGAATAACTCAAGGAAGTTTTTTTATAAGTTGTCTGTTTGTCTGTCTTTGTTTGGTTTTCTGTTATTGTTTATGTTTGTCGTGTGTGTGTGTGTGTGTGTGTGACCTTAGTATGATTTCAGTGTATGTTGATGGTTATGAGAGGTGATAATTATGGAAATGATGATGATGATGATGATGATGTTTGTCGTCCACAGTGAAGCCTGGCAGATGCCCTCCAGTCAGGCCTCAGTGCCCCCCTACTCGCTTCGCCGGGAGACCAAATCAGTGTAGCAGCGATTCCTCCTGCCCGGGCTCCCAGAAGTGCTGTTATGACACCTGCCTCAACCATCACACCTGCAAGTCTCCCGGCTACCACTAGTATACCACCACACCTGCACCAGTACTGCCTCTCAACCACCACACCTGCAAGTCTCCCGGCTACCACTAGTATACCACCACACCTGCACCAGTACTGCCTCTCAACCACCACACCTGCAAGTCTCCCGGCTACCACTGGCTACCACCACACCTGCCAGTACCTCTCAGCCACACCCACCACGTGCCCTGTGCCTCTCCAGCACACGCAGTCTCAGCCACACTGGTATACCACCACACCTGCACCAGTACTGCCTCTCCAGCCACCACCTGCAGTCTCCCGGCTACTACTAGTATGCCACCACACCTGCACCAGTACTGCCTCTCAGCCACCACACCTGCAAGTCTCCCGGCTACCACTAGTATACCACCACACCTGCACCAGTACTGCCTCTCAACCACCACACCTGCAAGTCTCCCGGCTACCACTAGTATACCACCACACCTGCACCAGTACTGCCTCTCAACCACCACACCTGCAAGTCTCCCATCTGCCACAACACTGTCTTGCTCCTCCAATTCAATTTAATTCCTTACGTACAAGTGTCACACCACCCGCCTATCATAACATATACTGTTAAGTCAGGATATATGTTAAGTGAATGCTTATAGATTATGTTTTCTTGAACTATAATAAAAGTCTTTAAAAAATCTATGATAATTTGAATCATGGGATGATACTATAATATACCTGCATTATAACACCTGTACTATAACACCTGTATTGTAACACCTGTACTATAACACCTGTATTACAACACCTGTATTACAACACCTGTATTACAACACCTGTACTATAACACCTGTACTATAACACCTGTATTATAACACCTGTATTACAACACCTGTACTATAACACCTGTATTACAACACCTGTATTACAACATCTGGACTATAACACCTGTATTATAACACCTGTATTATAACACCTGTACTATAACACCTGCATTACAACACCTGTACTATAACACCTGTACTAAAACACCTGTATTATAACACCTGTACTATAACACCTGTATTATAAAACCTGTACTATAACACATGTATTATAACACCAGTATTACAACACCTGTACTATAACACCTGTATTATAACACCTGTATTATAACACCTGTATTATAACACCTGTACGTTAAGAGAAGCTGTATCCATGTGTGTTTGTGGGATTCATGATCATGTGGCTATTACATGACTACAGAGGAGGAGCCAAGGTAGTTGTGGTAAGGGTGTGGTCACATTCTCAGGGGTAACCACAGCTGTCCCTCGGACCCTCCCGGGGCCCCTCCTCCTCCTCCTCCTCCACACCACACCCCAACAATCCAGCCAGCCTGGGGAGGTGTTGTGGGGTCTATTATGTAACTTTTATCTCACGCCTCCCTCCATCCCTCTGCACTCCATCCTTCACTCATACTTCCCTTCTTCTCTCTGTATCCCATCCTTCCTCATATTTAGTACCTCACTCCATCCCACCCTCCCTCCCTCTGTATTCCATCCTTCCTCACTCCTCCATCCCACCCTCCCTCCTCTGTATTCCATCCTTCCTCCTCCTCCATCCCCACCCTCCTCCCTCCCTCTGTATTCCATCCTTCCTCACTCATCCATCCCACCCTCCTTCCCTCTGTATTCCATCCTTCCCTCACTCCTCTCCATCCCCCCTCCCTCCCTCTATTCATCCTTTCCTCCTCCATCCCCCCTCCCCTCCTCTGTATTCCATCCTTCCTCGCTCCTCCATCCCCACCCTCCCCTCCCCTCTGTATTCCACTCCTCCTCCCACCCTCCCTCCCTCTGTATTCCATCCTCCCTCACTCCTCCCTCCCATCATTTACACCTATAATATCTCCTTGTAGTGATAGGTATTGTCACACTATACTACAATATAGTGTGTCAGTGGGGGAAACAGTGGCCAGGTGTATTAAAGAATAAGGAACACATTGAAGTGGCTTAGAATAATCAACCCCGTCCTTGATAATGTTAGTAGATTAACCGCGCAGGACTCTTAAAAGATGGTGGTGTTGTTATTATTGTTGTTGTGTCGGGTTTATTACAGCTGGCAGGGTTATTAAGCGTCTTTCAGGAAATATTAAACACCTTTCAGAAAGTCATAGTACAGGACACACACACATCATATAAACGGGAACGCCCAATCCAGTTTATATCGGCCCAGCGGTATTGTCATCTTAGTGAGCGTTTCCACTGATAAAAATATTTCCCATTTTCAGTGAATGATATCGATGATTACTACTCTCATTAAAAACTTCCATCTATACTCATATACAAAATAGACTCAGGGAATGAAGAAAGTGATTTATATTAGTTAATTTTAGACGTAATGGAGGACAGTGCAAGGTTAAGGTGACACACTGCGCGCATCTCGTATAAAAAAAAACTACTAGAGGAGGTATATAGGGGCAGCCATCACCCGTTCCTCGCTAAGAGTTACATCAGACTCGCATAGGGTAAGTTGTACTCTACGTCTCCGTACTAACAATTTAAAAGTATATTTTCATCTTGTAAATAGAATACTTCTCAATTATATTAAACTTATTCCTGAAACTAAACTTTATCAGTAAGTTTATTTCAGGAGATATTGTACTTTTTTAAAACACGCTTTTTTTTAATCTTGTGGTGCTTAATTTTATGTTGTATATTTATTTGACATTATTTGTTTCATCTGACTGTTTTCTCTGTTTTCTCTAAGACCAAACCATCACTCAACTCCTTCAGAGAACTGTGTGGTGGCGAATCCCTAGTCCACTGAAGTATAAAATATTTATATACAATAATTCTGAAAAGTAGACTAACGCACATTATTTCTTTGTCAGTTGTGTACAATGTTGAAGACAATACTGGTAGCATGCTTGGTGATGGCGGCTGTGGTCGTGGTGACAGCCAACCCACAGCACTTCAACTCTCAGTGGTACCCGGGACTTCAACAAGGCTGGGGCAACAACTTCTTCAACCACAACCCAGGTTACGGCTATGGTGGGTGCAGGTACTGGTGCAGAAGCTTCTACAACAACAACTACTACTGCTGCAGTTCTCCTAACCAGCAGGGCGGCTTCTTCTGAACCTGACAACACGTACAGTATACAGTAGCTGGGTATTATGGGATGGTTCTTCTGCTTCATTAAATGAACTTAATGAAATTCTTATCTCTTCTGGGGTAATTTGAAAACGTTTGTAATATGTAAACTTTTATCCTGTTGTAATTGAATAAGGACTGTTATACTATTTTTATTTTATTCCTACCACTATTGTCGTATTTTTCGGAGCAAGTTTCTATAGACAGGATCAAGTTCTTATAGAAACATTGAAGACGAAAATGGAGACATCGAGCATCGCGTGCGTTTTGTTTATATTTTTCAAGAAATGGCGAAACGAATATGATCAATACTGTTTTCGTCGCCGTTAATTTGCACCAAAAGTAAAACACTTAAACAAGAAGATTTATATGTATACAGATGTCAATTTTCTCTTATATCACTCATCACAACAAATGCTCTATAATAATAATAACTTAGGTACAGTAGTTACCAAGATGACAATAATCGCTTGTAGATATAATGTATTTTCTTCCATCTCAGTTCCTTATATATATATAAATATACTGTATTGAGCTTTTAATTCGGAAATAGAACATCATCCTTATTCAAACGAATTCAACTTACAAGCGAAATGAAGTCAAGTTACCTGTTAAGTGAGGCCAAGATACCTATCAAAGAATATAATAATAAAGACAGGAAAGCGTCTACCCTTACCAATAAAAATAAACGTGAGCCACTAAGCTCCGATCAACGCCATCTGTTGGCAACGCGGCTAACTAAAAAGCCCGGGGCGCATAAGGGTAGCATTCCATGTTTCCATGGTAACCAAAGGAGTACTTGTGTTTATCGCTTTCATGTTGCGATATAACATTGATCATATAGAATTTACTGTGTGATATTGTATGCGTGTGTGTGTCAGTATGTATGCGTGTGTGTGCATGTATCCACATTAAGAACGTCAAGGCAAAGACGTCAAGGTAATAATATTACATTGACGTCTTTCCCTTGACGTTCTTAATGTGTACACATGCACACACACACACACATACAATATCACACAGTAAATTCTATATGATCAATGCTATATAGCAACGTGAAAATGTTAAACACAAGCTCAGGGTGATATGTTTTTGTACGTGCGCACACGGTACACGGTGATGGTGACGCCCACTCATGGTTAAATATCCCGGTCTTCCTGTAAACCAGGGGTCCGCAACCTTTTTATACTAGTCGGCCACTTCAGCTGGAAAATAATCAGCGATCGGCCGCAGCTGTATTCAGACAAAAAAAGTCAATAACGCATTCCACAGGATTGAATGAGCAAGCAGAAATGCAGGACTATATTTTACTTTAAGAAGAATTCTTACAAACAATACCGATATACAGGCATTCACATTTGAAATACAAAACAAAACAAAACAAAACAGAAAGGTACCTAACGATATATTGCAGAGCAGAAAGCCTTGTGATATATTTTGAATAAATATGTCTTTCCGCTGTTACTATAAGGTAGCATAAAGCTGACTTTTGCAATGCGAAATAAGGGTTCACATTCCACTCACAGAACAATACTAAAACTAATGTGAGGGTTGAGCCTGGATATGATTTGCAATTCCAGCAAAATTTGGTTTAAATTTGGTAGCAGCAGCCTTCACAAGTTCTGTGGTGTGAATGTTGGTGAGCTTTGAACGGTACTTGTTTTCACAAAGGTAAGCAAATACACTTCTGATTGTTTTGCAATCACAAGGAATTCCTTTTCTCAAAGAAGGTTAAATTTGAGATTTTCTTCTGCAATTTTCGTTTCTTTGTTGCTGGAGGCGGCATATTTCAAAAAGTATTAATTGTAGCAATTAATTATAGACACAGTGATAGGCAAAAGCTAAATTTGTAGGTAAACAAAATGCAATGAAAAATTAGCCTAGCCTTGTCTAGCATTGTGCTGGCCCTAGCAGACGAAGCTTGTCAGCAAGCAACTTGACCCTACACACAGCTGTGATGTATGCACAAATCCCCTCGTGTTTGATATAAAAGTGTATATGACCATCGTAATTCCAGTGCAGTTATCAGAAATATCTACGGTAGTGAGCGTAGCCTAATAACTATCAGTAGATAAAAGTAAAAGATGCAGTTTTGAGGTAACAACAGACGAGTTGCGACAACACACGCTCTTTCTTCTACATTGCAACTAAATAATTCATTGTTATATAAACTACCTTGTTCTACATATATTCACGATTAATTTATAATGTTATTATGTATAAAACATATCAATATTTGGGGCTGTGCAAAGAAAACTAGGGAGCACTCAGCGTGGATCAAGCCCGGGATAACGCCAGTGTTTGTAGTGGAGCGGCAGCTGTCAACGTCCACCAGCTCGCGGATAAAACTTCCAGCCGCATAGCCCGAATTTTGAACGTCGTTCAGCTGGCCGCATGTACAAAAATTCCCGGCCACATACGGCCGGGAAAAGGAAGGTTGCAGACTCCTGACAGATGACGTTCAGACTACCCGCGCCTGGCACACTAACACCATCTGTTGATCCCGTAGCCAACTATATGCTATGTGGCTTTCGCGGTTTTCGCCTTGCTCTCCCGTCTTTCTTATTGTAGTCTTTGATACCTATGAAGACAATTTTCATCTAGTCAAGTGAGACCAATTACTGAGGCTTGGGCAGGGCAGAGCGGACAGGTTTAGAGGATAGGTATAGGAGAAAGATTCTCAAGGTTACTTAGGTTGTGGGCCGGGTCCTGGACAACCTTGACCACTGGGGAAAAACACTAAAACCTGACACTAGACGCATGGATCACCCCCCCCCCCCAGCACATACTGTACGTAAAGATACACACACACACACATATGTAAACATTCATTCATACAAATACTGGTTTAGTAGTATTGTAACTTGGTTTAGGATTCACACTGTCATGGAGGAGAGCTCATGTGTACTGCTTATAGTTCATAAAAAAAAAATACTGACGCCATTAGTAACATCAGTCTACTCACTCACACGCCACAAGAGCTAGGCCAAGACTTCTGAAGGAGACGTCGGCGAGGGGCAGTATTAAAAAGGCTTTCTGGTAGTGCAAGAAGATGACGTCCACACCATAACCTTCATCTACAGTTTGTGTCTGAAGGAGGTTTGTGAAGCAAGATTTATAAGACGCATAAGCTAAAAAGTCATCTTCTCGGGTCCCTGTGGTAACCTACCGTCGTAGCTCGCAGGTTAAAGACTTAAAGTATACTGTAGAAGACTGTCTCTGGCAGCTCCTCCACATCCCACCAAGCAAGATATTTTTTTAACTATTAATTCTTCTCACAAAAATCGAAGTGTTTATAACGGTCTTCCTTTCTTTGTGTATGTGTATTCATTTATATGTTTACTAATGTATTTATTTATCTATTAATCTATTTATTGACCTATGTAGAGTACATTAATATGCCATCTATTGGTGATGGTGGGAAGTGAGAGGAATTGTCGTGCCAGTTAGCCATATAGTGAACTAGGCGTCAGTGACAGGTCCGGGTAGCAAGACAACACTATGGAGGATAATGGTGACGGCAAGAGGAGTCTACCCAAGCTGAGAGAGATATTCACCAGGCAGCGACAGGACTCGGATGTGAGTGACGCCATACTCTACCCTCTCGTACCCTAACCTTCCAGGGAAATAAGGGGAGAAAATGGAGATAGAGGTGTTTAAAGGGAGGAGGAGGGAGAGATATTGATTGATGGTGGGCGAGGCTGTTGAATGTTTATTGTTTATGTTGTGGGTGTAAAGTCCAGATTGATTGTGCTTAGTCCTGAATGTTGGTGTTTAGTCTAGAATGTTGGTGTTTAGTCCAGAATGTTTGCGATCTGAGATAAAATGAAACTATCTAACTTAACTGGTAATATTGCAGTAAACAGCAACCACAAAATACCGGAAATTCACTACACTTAATCGATAGAACAATTTTTTCAATGATCATTTTCTTATATTACATTAGGTTAGGTAACACAATTTTTGTATTAGATTTTTTTGGTTGCCGTAATCTGCAATTTTACCACCTAATCTACCAAACTAAACCTGACCTAACCTAGAATACGTTAGTTAGGTTGATTCATTTTATCCCAAATAAATCATATAATGCAGCAATATTCGGGAAATTGTTGGAAGTGTTGCTGTGGGTGAAATCAAATGCCTCAGATGTCAACAAATAAACAGGGGGGAATCATGGGGGGTCTGTCCATTTCGTCACCACTATTTTTAACTCGTTTCGTAACCACTGCTTTACCCCTTTCGTCACCCCGTTCATTCCCCTTATGTACTTGATAATAACTGTTGCTTGGGTTATAAAATAATAAAAAAAACACAAGACAATTTATTAAAAACGAAAATAAGTAATAAAAACATTGTTAATACTCCTGCAATCATCTCACTGCTCGGTGGTTCATGCGCTGGTGCCAAATCACCTTCATTTGTTCTGTATTTTGTTTATGTACCAATGTTGAATCGTTTTCTTTATTGAACAATAATATTCATGTATAGTAATAACACAATAATTCTTCATTTGTTCTGTATTTGGTTTATATACCAATGTTTTAATAATTTTCTTTATTAAATAATTAATATTTATGTACAATAATAACACAATACTTCTCGAGTCGTCTGTATACATGTGTAATTTCTATTCTTGTAAAATAATATCTTACAATTTGTCATTAATACCAGCGACTGTTAGTGGTGACGAAACGGAATTGATATTGGTGAAGAGTTGAGGTATTGATGACGAACCGGTTCGGTGACGATATGGATTGGCGACGAAATGGGTTCTATCCGAATCCTGGTGTTGGAGAGGTTAGAAAGCTTTTGTCTTGTATAGAAAAATAAAATCGTAGTGGATATATTGCTGTGACCAGCTAAGTTTCTGCTAATGCAATTTTACCGTGTGTGTGCTTTGATTGGCTAAGTACTTTCTGTTAGGTAAGGTTAGGTAGGTTTCTTTGGTTAGTTAAGTTAGGTTCTATTTGGTTCTAGTAAATGTCGCCTCTTTTATAATGATAAGTTTCTGTGCATGACAGATATATGGTAAGGTATGTTTATAGTTACACAACGATCGACTCATGGCGAAATAAATGCCAAATGCCGCCAGTCACAGATAATATAATTCTCGAGTTGTTTGCTGGTAATGGACGATTACCCAGTCAGTGCATTCATGGTAAAATAGCGTTAGTAGGAACTTACCGGTCACGGCAAAATATCCACTGCCTAGAAAAATTGGTAAAATTATCATTTTGGACATGCATCTATTTGGAGGTCATTCAAAACACACAAACCATCAGAAAACCATAATTTCAACCTAACCTAACTTTACATAACTTAACCTAAACTTAAAACCTAAAATTTGTTGCATGGCCAAAACGATAATAATACCATATTAAGTACCTAGACACAGTGTAAATGATCCATCAACTTCCTTGCTTTGTGACCATGACCTCACCTGTCTCTCCTCAGGCCAGTATGACGGACTGCCCGGACATAGAGTTCAACTACGATGATGCTGACTTGCCCGAGAATGAGGTAGCAGAACTTTACTCCTATACTGAGGGACCAGAATTCCAGCTTAATCTAAAGGTGAGTCTTACTACCTGGTTATTTTCTGTCACACAAAGAGTTAAAATGTTATTGTTAGTGTCATTGTTTGGTGGTGTTATTAGTGCTACAGGAACTTATAGTAATGAAAAGGATCTTTTTTATATGTTGCATTGAATCTTAAACATGGACAAAAATTAAATAAATCTGATTTAAAAAACAAAAAAATATTAAATAAGATCACCAACCATGATATAAAGCCATTAAAATCATAACTTATTCTACCTGTACTTGGCATAAAGATGTCTTGACAGTTCTGTTATTGTGTGTTTACTTAAGTTATGAGGATACTCTAGACACTCGGTATATTGCAAGAATGGCTATCTAGGGTTTACTGTAACACTATATCATGTGTCTGTGTATTCTAGGCATGGGAGGAAGTGTGTGGAGAGCTCGGTGTCTTGCCGCTGTGGCAGTCGGCCTCAGACGTGAGCCACAGGACTCTCATCATTCGTCTGGCCGACCACCTGGAGCTGTGTAACCGCTCACTACGCATGAGAGCTGCTCGAGCCATCTTGTACATTTCTCAGGTACAGAGTGTGACAATTTGTGTTTGACTGTAGTAGAAAGATGTATGGACACAGTATGCTGTATATAATGTATGTTTATATAGAAATAAGGACAAGAATGTAATGTTTGGCCACATCATTACTGGTGACAAATATAATGAACCAAATAAACCTAACCTAACCTAGTGATTTTTCAGTATTTTTTCAGTAAAGTTGGGTCAGGTAGGTTTAGTTTACTTTGTCTGTCACCATTAGAGGCTTAATCACTGCTGCACTAAGACACTTCATCCTCATAAGATAGGTGTAGGTGTATAATTAAACATTTTTTAACTTTTATTATTCCCGGCATTTCTTGACAATATCCCAACAAGGCTTTAAACCATTTATTCTTCAAATTCATATTGCACTTGTATTGCCATCATGCAGTGTGTTAATTTTAGTGTGATGTTGCTGGAGTGTACTTATACTTTATTGGCTGTCCTTGGTCAAGTTGCCTTACTGTTGTTTACTGCACTTCCACTGTCTCGCCACTCAGGGAACTGTGTATTCCCATGGCCTATTGCACCATATACCTACCTTGTCTATATTCATGTTGAAATGTATAGCTGCATAGTTTATAAACAAGCTTATCCAATTGTAAACATTGTAAGACAACTTAAATGAATAAATATTATTACCTGTATTATTATATTACAGGGATGTTGGGGAGAGGTACAGAGTGACCGTGAACAGACAATGTGGGCACGACGCAACGTCTTCCTCCTGGTCCAGTGTGGTGTGTGGCCGTCCTTCCTCCAGCTCCTGCACCTGGAGATAGAGTGAGATCATTCTTTCTTGGCTGTCGTAAATTAAGTTTCATCATTCCTAACTTAGCTTACTAACACAATAAAATATCATCCTATTTACCTCATTTAGTGAATTGTCTTTTTTAGGAGTACAGGAGGTAATGAAAACCAACGTAAGCTTGCAGTGTCTGCCAGCTTAGCTGACTCTGCAGACCTGCGAGTGATCCTCTCTGTGTTGTATACCATTGTGGAGACACTGAGAGTGCCAAGTGATGATGACACGGAGGCACAAACACAAACAAGGTGAGACACATCAACAATTATCTCTTAGATTTCAAAGTTTTCTCTTGTCTCATTTATCCTTGTATGTCACTGTTTACATACATCTTGAGTGGTGGTGCCCTCAGCTCTTTTGTCAGTTGACCCATTGATAAATAACCACTTTATAACACGTTTTCCCTTTAGTAACCTCGTGACCCAAATGCATCTACAGTACGTACTCTATAATGTATGTACAAGTTTCTACTTAAGAGGTTCAAGGAAATACAGTAACATAACAGGAGTGGTGTGTCCAGTTCAGCAAGCATCACTGAGTCACTTAACCTTCACTACAGGTTATACTTCTGCGAGGAGTTGGGCCAACCCCAGGGAGAGGACGAGGAACTAGTAGCCATGACGCTGCTGGGGATGGTGACGAGGTTCTGCAACTCTTCTGCGCCACACTTCCCCATCAGGAAGGTGTTGCTCTTGTTGTGGAAGGTGTTACTGTCATCACTAGGGGGAACACAACAACTAGCTGTCTTAAAGAGTGAGTTTTTATTGAGAGCAAGTTGATGGGAACACAGTCTTCTTCTAAATGTTGAGATTATTTATTGAAAGTTTGAGTTACAGGGCTTCTGGGTTTAATTTTAGTCCAAGTCAAAGCATCTCTCAAACACTTCAGTTATTTACCAGAGATGTGAGTTGCGGTACCTAAGGGACAGAGTATATTAAGAGTGACACCTTCAAGTAGTTTGGATGAGGGGATTGTTAAGACTTTGTACTGGGGTGAGGTCAAAGGGGTTACTGTATATGGGGTAATGGGAAGGCAATCAACACCCTGGTAGAATACTGTCAGGAGAGGTGGCAGTGGCTGGAGAGTAATAGTATGTTGCTTCCTGGAAGATTTTCTGGATCACTTGAAGATTAACCCCCAGCTTGTTTCACCCAATGAATAAACACCCTAATGCTACCTGGAGTTTAAGTTGGGTCAGTGTGTTCGTAGTTGACAGCACAGGTGACTGATTAGTGACATTTGGGGGACAGCGCAGATTTTACTTTCAGTATTATTGTTTCCTCGTATTCATTTTATCCGAGTCTCTTAGTTTTTTCAGGAAAATGATTTGCCGTATACTGTGTAAGCCCTTGATCCTCAGCCTTCTCAAATCTTCTTTGGATCTTTTACCAAAATATTTATGGAAAGCCTTGGGTAGTGATGAAAGCCTCTTCGTCAGATACATACCGGGATAAGTACGGCCTGCAGCCTTGTGAGGAGGACACACTGACCGTGGCCCGCACCATGAGAGCGTCCTCCCCCCCAGCATCAGCAGCTGACCTAATAGAACAACAAAACAACCAGAAAAGAAGACCATTTAGACGGGTAAGTTGTAGACTCGTGCAGGCCCTTCACCACCTCTGAGCTGCTAGGTTGTAATTTACCGTCTTTGTTCTTGTTATAACTTTCTGTGGTGAGAAGTATAGAAGCAACACAGCCATTCCTCCACACTGACACTACCAGAGGGAGAACTGGACAGTCTGCACTACACTTTGACTAAGGCTTGTGTTACAGAGATGGAGTTTGTGACGTGCAAAGTCTATTTTGTTTGACAGTGTTTTTATCACCAGTCTCCTGTGTTCTGAGGAAACACATCATAAGGAATGCGATACTGTACCGTATAGGGTAAAAGATAAATTATTTTTTTGTTTTCTTATTCCTATACTACTACAGTACTGTCTTAGGTTCACATCATATGATATTTTCAGACTCCCATCAGCTTGACATATATAAGCCATGCCAACATTAATTATCTTTTTCCACTTCTTTTGTGCTTTAGTGTTGAGATGTGGGCTTGTATATGTGAATGTGATTTCTGTTCTTGAGTGGCAAAACATTACAGGTGTACGTACATTATTTGTCAGTGGGTGGAACCAGCAATTTAGTGCACGATTATATGATATGTTGTGAATCCTGATACTGTACTAGTTGGTAATTAATTATTTTTGTTGTTTTGTTTTTATCCTCTTTGCATATGTTGTTATGTCAGTTGGTGAATAAAACTTCCTGTGTTCAGCAGCAAGGTCTGATGAAACAGAGCAGCCTTGATGACAGTGTAGGGGAACTAGACCTAACTGCTGCTGCCGATGATGACGAGCAGCCCACTAATGATATAGATGAACCCCCCGACCTACCTCAACCTCCGTCGCCTCGCCCCGGGACGCCCGTACCCAATAATACAACTAATAAGGGTGAGTCACAAATGATTATCAAGAGTTTATAAGAATTCGCTGAAATAGTAACAGTTCAAATTCACCATCTGTTACACCTTAATTCTCTTTTGTAGTTATGGTAAGTTACTGGGTTGTTTTAGCTCATGTTGTATAGAGTGGAGTAAGGTTGAGAGACAGACTTAAGATTTCAGGTCTGGAGATGAAGTTGTTTAAATAAGGGAAGTCTAAAAGTACAGTGTTGAAATTGGCTGAGGGAGAGACTATACAGGATTTGTAGATCAATGTTAGTCCAGATAATACCTAATGATAATTGTGTGTGTCTTGTTTTGATGGTCCAAACAACTATTAACTGGAGCACCGGTAGTTTGTTTGTCAAGTGGCACAACATATTTATTGTAATTTCTAAAACACCTTCTTCCCCCCTCCTTATATTTGGACTTGTCTCCCGCAGGTCTACCGTGGACTCCAAAAGTTCGACAGAAGGACATAGATTCATTCCTAGATTCAACTCGTATAAAATTTGTGGGATTTCAGCTGCAGGGAGACAGAACATCTCTGGCTGGTCTACCATTACCTATTCATGAAGGTGTCAAGGTTCTCAGTAAAGTAAGTCTTCTGTTTGGTTAGGTAAGAAATGTGTCAGGTCTAAATGGTAAGGCTTAATGTGTGGGTAAGAAATGTGTCGGGTTTGTATGATGAATGAGTTTACAGTATAGGTATGTGCTAACTGTATATGGATGAGGTTCTATACTGCATCTCACAAATCATTCAGTAAATTCAGTATAGGTCATTGTGAATTCAGTAGGGGTTAGTATTAGTGATTTTGCTCATTTTGATTTATTTGTACCATATCAGGAATTTTCTCAAGGCTTCATCATCATCATCATCATCAACAGCATGTGTACGTGTCGCTGTCGGAAATTCAAATCAGACAAGAGGAAGAGATGACGAGGAATCCTTTATCTCACCCCGAGTCAGACATCCCCCAGACACCTTCCGAGATCCTCTACCAGGTAAGGTCTTGGTCTGTTGGTGTCTGTGTCGGATAACTGGACATGTGGCGTTCCTCTCTAGCTTGGGCGGCACCTCCTAGGATCTAGAGGGGTGGATTTACTTGTTATTATATCTCTCAATTTGTTTTATATTCATCTGTGCTTATACAAGTGTTCAAAATACCAGCAGCTTGCAGATGAAATAGATTTGACATAGAGTTTAAAATTATATTCAGAATTATAAATATATTAGTACAGATGTTGGTATGAAGTGTATATACAGTTATGCTCATGTGGGGACAGTCTTTTGATGCTGTTATCTTAGCTGTGTCAGAAATTATAAAGGCTTTGTTTACTGTAGGAGAAAAAACTACTTTACATAGACTGTATACATTTATGAAAAAGAGTGAGTGAGTGAGTTGGTGTTGTTCCCTCAGGCCATGCTGCCAACGCTACCACAGTGTATGATAGCCTTGTTAAAGATCCTCCTGGCAGCAGCCCCCACCTCCAAGGCCAAGACCGACTCCATAAACATTATGGCCGATGTGCTGCCTGAAGAAATGCCGTGAGTACATATCTCCCCGTCCTTTTATTTCTTAGATTTGAACTATTTAGCGATTAATAATAAAACAAGATGGTTTGGCTAAAAACATCAGTCTGGGAAATCAAATGAAATCACTCGTGTTAAGTCAAATCAAATTGAATCGGTCAGTCACAGTAGTTATTCATGTAGCCGTGTTAAGTATCATTGGCTCTCTACCCTTGACATCTTACTTATCCACTCTCCTCTGGTCTTGATCTTCCTCATTTCATCCAACAACCCAGCCTTTGGGCTTTCTTGTGGTCGCTTCCTGCATGTGCAATACTTTCCCTCTGACACCCCATAACAGCTGCGCCTCCTCACTGTATGGCTAATCCAGGACTTTTCTTCCTCTTCATCATCACACTTGGAATGCTCCTTCACTCACCAACTCTCTCCACAACAGATTTATTTATCATCCTGAGTATTGAGGTTGTTTTGATGTATTGTATAGAGAGAATAAGGAAATGAAAAACTATTGACCTGGGGTATGGAGAGACAGGAGAAGTTTGTGTATAGCAAGTTTCTCAAAAGGGGGAAAATATGTTCACGTGCTGAGACGAGGTAATGAGGAGGTTTTGCAAGGCTAAATTAACTCGAAGGTATGAAAATCAAAATGGAATTATGGAGGGAAGAGGAACTAGGGAAGGTGTTTATGGGTTAGGGAATTTTATATGAAAAGTTTTGGAAGGAACAGTATAGTTTTTCCATTGTTTAATACTGTATTTTATCTGACCCCACAGTATGACGGTGGTCCAGAGTATGAAGCTTGGGGTAGACGTGAACCGCCACAAGGAGGTGTTGGTGAAGGCCGTGTCAGCCACGCTTCTGCTGCTCCTCAAACACTTCCGCATCAATCACATATACCAGTTTGAGTTCATGTCCCAACATCTCGTCTTTGCCAACTGCATCCCGCTCATCTTAAAGTTCTTCAATCAAAACATTATGGCTTACGTCCAGGCTAAGAACACGTGAGTTGCCAACATTGTTCTGAAAGGGGGATGATCTAGCAGGGTGGATCTGTTATAACTAAGAATAAATGTACAACAGTGACTGAAGGGAAAGTCTGTATTTACCTTTTGAGTCCGGCCAATAAAAGACTTGAAAGGAGAAAAAACAAACCAGGGAGATTTGTTCCTCTTGCAGTTAATGTTGGGGAATTAGGAAAAATAAACAGGCTGGTAGATTAAATTTGAGACAGAGGAAGAGTTTGTGAAAGGAAACATGTTCGGTGCTCATCAGTTTTGACTGAAATCTCTGCGAAAATTGTCCCAGCAAAGTGGATTATCCCTAACAAATGTTCATTGAGCAACAAAATTGCTGAAATTACTGCCATACTAATTTCAAGCATTGCATCAGCTGTATGGATTGGGTTATAATGATACTGTACACACTGTATAGTTCTATATTATATTAACACATCCATTTTCATATCCTCTTTGTCTCGGCATGAAACAATGAAACGGTGTGATGATAATGACTGTAAAATTTGCAAGCAAAATTATCTTTACTTAATGTTTGTTAATCACCCAAATAAAAGTTGAATCAAACACTTTAATTATTACTTGTGTTGCTTCTTTTCACATTAATTTTCTCTTCCCCAGGATACCTTTGTTAGACTTTCCAGCGTGTGTTATTGGGGACCCTCCAGAGATGACAGCCGAGGCCCTGGAAGCTGGGAGTGGGAGTCCCGCAGGAGGTAACACAAGCCCCGGAGGCAGTGGAGGGAGTCCAAGTGGTGGGTGTGGAGAGGGGGGTGGCGGCTCAAACCATGGGAGTGTTACTTGCTGCTGGAGGAACATGTTCTCCTGTACCAACCTCCTCAGAATCCTCAACAAGCTGTGCAAATGGAAGCACTCCCGGATAATGATGCTCGTTGTCTTCAAATCTGCTCCCATACTGAAGCGCACACTTAAGGTACAGTATGTATATCCTTATCATTTGAGTTTGTTCTCATACTGAAGGACTTACTTGTGAGAGTTTCACTGCTCAAAGAATCAGGCTCTCAGTTATCATTGTATGATATGTTGTGTACAATGTTTGGTGTTGGCCAATGCATATTATCATTTTTGTGGAGATAGAGTGAATTTGACAGCCCTGGTTTAACATTTTTAAAGTACAACGGTAAGAATACATAGGAAATGACATGATGATAGGAGTATTGTAATATACTAACATGTTGGAGAATTTGCAGGTTAAACATGCGATGATGCAGCTGTACGTGCTAAAACTGCTCAAAATGCAGACCAAATATCTGGGACGGCAGTGGCGAAAGACCAACATGAAGACGATGAGCGCCATCTATCAGAAAGTGAGTCGTGGATATGAGGAAGTATGAGTGACATGTTTCAACCCTTTCCTATTGTTCTCTACACATTTCTTGCTTTATTCTCCATTAACATCTCTCCCTGTTCTTGAGGTTTGTTTCTGTTGAGGAGAGAATTCTTGGTGGAGGTATAAATAAATGTTACCTTCATTTGTTGTTGGATTGAAGGTTTAAAAGGACGATGAAAGAGGCAAAGTCTTTTGGGACCAAGAGGAATGAAAAGCATTAAAGAGGAAATAATGGTAACTGAAGGAGGTGAGAGGCTGGTGTGTGAGGCGCTCCGGGCGAGGCTAAGACAAACGACAAAATGTCTTGTGATGTGTTTCTTATGTCATTATAATCTTCAAACATTCCAACTTTGAACAGAATGCCGAGACATATAGTTTGGCTTGTCTGCTTGTAGCCTGGAGGACCTCCTATGTTTTCTGTCAGTTCTGATCACCTTGAAGTACAGTGAGAGGGGTTGTAGAGTGAAAAAAGTAATATAAGTTGGTAATATGTTCAGATTAACATCGCCATGTACTTTAATCGACTCACTTGGAATGTAACAGGTACGTCACAGATTAAATGATGACTGGGCATATGGCAATGACCCCGATGCTCGACCATGGGACTTCCAGGCAGAAGAATGTGCCCTACGAGCGTGCGTTGACAGGTTTAACTCTCGGCGGTACAACACAGCCATTGTAAGTTTGCTTTTCATTTGTTTTTGTTTTACTTAACGAAATTATTTATAGGTCACATTTCTTCTTGACTGGAGCTTTATTATATCTTATGTTACTTCTTAAAGATGAGTCGTGCTGAGGCTCCTTCACACACACACAAAATGTTCCGCTGCTCTGACACATTACTGTACTAAATACTGTACTGGTGTCTCTTAGTGCTCTGACCTTCCCTCATACTATTATCCCTCCTTCACACTCATACAGTCAGTCTCCACTATGTTTTCAGCTCTCACCGGCTGTTTTATTGTATTAATGTGTTTTTTAGTCTCACATTGTCACAAGTTGTACACAATCTCACAAACAGTACACTACACCCTCTGTCTAGGTATCTAGGTGTCTATATAAGTAACTGCCTTCTTAACTGTCTGTGTTTCTACCTGTCTCTCTTTATAAGTAATAGTCTTCTTAACTGTGTAAGTTTGTATGTCTATATAAGTAACTGTCTTTGTGTCTATCTGTCAGTCGATATAAATAACAGTCTTCTTAACTGTCTGTGTGTCTATTTATCTGTCTGTATAAGTACAGTAACAGTCTTCTTTACTGTATGTATCTATCTTATCTGTCTATCATAAGAAACTACACATTATCAACTTATATCCTTGACTTATGCTAATAAAATACTCTAGACTTAGAAAAATAAATGCTGTGTTTGTGGATATGCCCTGATTGGCCATGCATAAATTTATCACAGTGCAATAATCGAGGAAAAACGGATCTGCGAAAACCCACTGCAGCGCAAGAAATGAGATTGGATTGTATTTATAGCATTATACTGTGCGATCCTGGGCAACTTCACTTAATTTCATGTTGTATTGTTAGTGCTGTAACATGATAAGATTTTAAACCAAAATTTCTTCATTCTGTGCTTTAATTTTCTTTATTTACTTTTTGTCAATTATTACTGTACTACAATCATAAGCTTTTTTAGTACATTTTATAAGCTTTATCGATACGGTATATGTTTTAGTTCTTTTTAAATGGTTATTACTGGGTTTCAAGGCGGGATTATCACGTACTGTGTTTGAGTCTGTGTACAGTGACAAACTCAGAGACAGTATATATGATGTAGCTTTTGAAGCACTGAAATGGCCACATATTGCTATACCACACTCTGTCCTTAAGTATTTTTCTGGATTCAAAAAGATCCTTGACCTCGCCATTGACCTCTCCTCAGGTCACCACACAATCTTTCCATTCACTTTATGTAAATAGAATTAGGCAGGTACTGTCTGACTCAAACAAATTGGTTATCTTAATGAGAATTAGATGTAGAATTTGATACAGTTTTCCTTCACTGATATACTGCACTAGCATATGTGATTAAAGCCAGTAAGATTCAGTAGTATAAAGCAAATGAAGATGTAGTTAACCTCAAGATCATTATTGAATATGTTTCCAGTGTTATTTTTAGTCCTTTTGTTGTTGTTGTTGTTGTGTCTGTGATGATTCCAGTTTGATTTTTCGTACAAATATTTTTTTTAAAGTTAACGTCACATCTAGAAATGTTGATTCCATTTTGATTTTTTACTACAAGTATATTTTTAACTTAACTGTTCACTTCTAGGAGCCAACACATTGTGACCATCCAGTATTAGGGGAGAGTCTACCTTCATATGTAACTATCACTGCCTCTCAATTTGTACAGTAGTGCCTAATCTGGCCAAATAAAAAATAATACCTGTGGTTCCAGACCGAGATTCTCAAAGGTTCGCCCAGTAATTTTTTTCCCCCTCCATAACCAGACACTTCAGCTACAACAGTGTTGGCCAAATTGGCGTCAAAAGTCTCACTCGAGTAAGGGCTTTTAGAATCTAGCAATAAGCAGTACTTTTACCAGACTAGACTTGTCACTGGTAGTTGAACTGTGAGATGTTAGTCCCCGGCCGTTTCTTGAGAAGTACGGTACAGTAAACCTCTGATTACTACCAACGACCTCAAGAGATGATAAAAGATTTTGAAAGCCTCAACTGAGTTTGTAAGTTGATGATTAATCTTTATCCCCAGTGACCAGGGGAAATATGACCATTGAGCCTTTGAGAATTTCTAACCTGTTTATAGCTGAATAAAAATTAGGATTGGTTGTTTTTTGTTTTACTAATTTATTTGACACTGGATATTGTTATAGATTTTGTGTTTTGTCCACTTACAGTTGGGTTGTAGATTATTATGTTGAAAATTTCTGATTTTATTGAAAAGACACAAGACTCTTGACCTTTGAAAATTTCCAGGTGAATAAAAACATTAGAGTTGGGGTAAAGTAGTGCAGGTTGGGCTACTGGAACCATGTATATTTTTTTGTTTAGCCTTGTGTACTTATTTAGTTATTTTTATTATTTTTTACACTTGTATTGCAGTTTTCCCTAAGAACTGGCTGCTTGTTTAAGGTTGAATCTAATGTCCATCATATATATTTAATTAAACTTAAGAATTTAGGAGCAAAATACCAGCTTCTACAAACACCAGAATACCATCTTGCATCTAAATACTGTACTCAAAGTTTACCTGGATGCTTGCCCTCGTACTTCACTCTCGGGGCGTGACCGTGGCGGCCTCCCCACTCTCATCTCTGGCCACTTAAAGTACACTTGTGGAAAACCCACTTTATTAGTCCCTGTTTTAGTCATTCATCCCATGCATAGACAATCTTGCCATAACTTCAAAAAATCCATCTCATTGTTTCCAGAAGAATGTGCCCTGCGAGCATGTGCTGATAGGTTTAATGCTCGACGATACAACATGACCACACATCAGTTCCTCTCTTGCATGTGTCTTTCTCTTGGAGCATAAATAATCATCCTGATGACCTCATCCTAAATTAGATGGATAAACTATATGTGAAGTTGTCTACATCAACCTTCAGTTGTGTATCATTCCAGGATCCCGACTTTGAGCCTCTGGACAACTGTGTGACCAGCGTGTTGGGCCGGCCGGTCGAACTGACAGAGGAGTTCAAGAAGCACTATGAAGTGTGGCTGCAGCAGGAAGTATTCTCAGCAGCCATAGACTGGGACCAGTTATTAGCTCCTAATCTATGAACCAGTGAATTAATTCAACCATAGGCTGGGATCAGCTGTTCATTCCCAATCTATGAATCAGAGTCTCGGCTCCTTGTGGGCGAGAGACTAAGTTCCACTCACCTCATGACACACATCACTCAACGTATTTTCACCTGCCTTACCAGACTGAGTTCTGGAGATGTAATCATCATACAAGAATGGTTTTTCTGTGATGGTTTGTGTGAGTTGAGTGAGGTGTTGCAGAAGTATTAAGTGAAGAAAAGGTGCTTTCACAGAGGACAATAAAACATGATTGGAGAGCTTAAGACATCATGATAAGGTATCACCATCGAGGGGGGAATATATGTTGGTCACTTTAATCAAGATGAGGGCAAGTCAAGAGTAAGCAAATTTAATTTATTAAGTTACTTGCACTGTTTGGTGACCATAATGGAAAGGATGAGTTAGACTGCTACGCTACAGTACAGTATCTATAGAACTTTGTGTGGGGGAAACTGTATTTGCCATTGATGAAAACTTATAATGACAACACTTGTGACTGGTCCAATTTTTTCTTCTTTATTATCTTTGTTCATCCTCTTTTTTTCCTCTACTGTTTCATTCTCCATTTCCTTTCTCTTGTTCCTTTTACTACTACTCCTTTTGTGCCAGTTATCATACTTTATCTAGTCGGGGATTTGGTTAAAAAATTTGCAGTTCATGGTGACTACACAATCTTTTATTTATGTGAAGCAAATAGTTACTCACTGTAGAGTTTCTTTTAGTCAGCTTTAACTCAAGTCTGACAGTCAAACATAAAAAACATATGAATTACCATTGATTAGAGTTTCAACCTTGTTTTGGAAATTGGTAAAGTTAGATTGGATTTAGATGTGGTTCTTAACCTAACCCAAACTTGACCAAACTGAACTAGGTTTCTAAGTGAGGTTAAAATTGTGATTGGTGGACGTCAGTATGTGTCACATGTGAGGTTGTCCGGTGAGCCAAGCATAAAGATACATTATATTTTCTGTCAGTTAAAGGATAGACCAATTTAGTTGCTCCTCTGTTCTTGGCTCATGTTGGGAATTCCTTGATCTTCCCATAGTAAAGACAATGACTCTGTGTTTAGCTGTATACAAAGGTAATGATTGTGTGTGTGTATGACAGGTAAATGGAAGTGATCAGGTATGCGTGAAGGTGACTGAGAATTGGTCATCATCCCCATTGAACAGTTCTCTAGTGAAAAAGTTACTATTTCAGTGTTTGTCTTCATAGAGCTGACTGACTGTGGCAGATGAATAGAAGGTTGAAGGACAGTGAGTGTGTACATGATCAAGGCATCCCATTGAAAGAGTGTGTGTCTCAGAGACTCATGCATAGGATGCACTTTGACCATTTTCACAAGTCTGGCGATCTTAATACACTGTATAGTCATTATTTATCTTTAGTAAAGTTGGTGTGCCCGGTCACACATACTAACCAGCCTCAGCAATGCTCAATTTATCCTCAGTAGAACAAAATGTGATGCTTATAGTCTGGGTGATGGCATCAATGTTTCTGTTTTAAGCGGGTTTTAATTGAGGCCTTTGACAACATGTTCCTTTTCAACAAACAGGTGACATTGTGGCTATAGCATCGATATATCATGTCAACAAGCAGATTATAGTGTGCTTTTGACATCAGTGTCTTGTGTATACTGTAGAGAGCAATGTTAGCATTGTCGACCACTCCATGTGTGAGTGGCCCTGCGAGGGTGTGTTGGGAGCAGTGTAAGCAGGGCAGGGTAAGCATGTGATTGCAAGACTTTGCTGTGATGGCTGCCCTCTTAAGAATCTTTTAATATATATACCTGTATATATTTTTTGTTTTTTAATTGTTTTCAAAGTTAATTTGAAGGGGTGCCGTAACACTTTTAAATGAAGACAGTTGATGTTTCCTTCACTCACAATAAGTTGACCCATCCAGAATCATAATAAGTCTTTAAGAATCTCTGAATACTCATGCTTAGCGTGGATTTGTCATCTTGAGAAAGATGCTTCATGATTTAGCTGCGGCTGTTATTGTACTCTTACACTGCAGGAGAATTGATCCTCATGCATCTGTGTACGAGTGTGTGGCTTTTGTCAAGGTACTTGGTCATGTTTGTGTTTTTTGTCACTAATTTATGTCCGCTGTTCCTTCAATTTTATTTTTATTTGTTCGCTGTGACTTACGACAATGTTTATTATGTGTCAACTATGTTGCCATTAAATTATTTCCTTGTAAATATTGTAATTAATAAAACTATGGACATATTACAAAATGCTTAATGTGTTTTTATTTTCATAGTGAGGCATTTTATTGTACAAACTGTAGGTTTGGGGGAAGCATAAGTTATACAATATTCTTTATTTTTTTGTGACATTACATCTGTACCTTCCGTCTCCTACATTCATGGAATACAGGAATTTACACATAAGAATTTATTTACTATGCTACGAGGTTGGCTGAGTATGAGACGACATAACAAAGACTAACAACCTTACAATGAGGTCAGGTAAGTGAGGTACCTAGACACACGAGGAACTACAAGAAGCCACAGTTTACAGTTGATTCAGCATAATTTAGACAATGCAGGTATATAGTTAAGCATGTACTATACTGTATAGGCAATGCAGGTATATACAGTAGTTCAGCATGTATAAAGACAATGCAGGTAAAAAAATGTTTCTTTATATCACTAGCGTTATTCTTTCTCTTACCAGGGCGAGCGACAGCCAAGGATAGACTATACTGTGCTGGAACATAGGACATCTTGACATACCCAGTGTTTGTCCAGTCATGTGGCGTGGTGAGGTATTTAACTCAGGTAGACACAGCTGCTTCAGTCACTCATACTACCAAAACAAACGAGTAACAAGGAATAAATTCACCCTAAGCTACAATCGCCACCAGCAGAGTAAACCCCGACTTTCTGGTCAGTCATGTCGCCTCGGGCTGTCGTAAAGTCAGTATTTTAATAGTCTTATTATATGGTAAAGTTCTTTCCTTTCACTGAAGCGGCCACTAACACTCCACCACCTGAGGAAATGTCAACGGGTTATGGTATATAAAAAAAAATCACCGAAGGGTAACCGCAGTTTAGCTAGTTGACCTTGGCTGTCTTGTAGGTTACTGGGGTGTTTATCTGTCTGTGTTTGCCTTTCTTGTAATGCTCGAGAAAGACGTTATTCACACACACATCATAATTTCTGATCCTGTTACTCAAACTCTAAGTCTATGGGTTAAGTAGCATTGCTGAGGGTCATTAAGTCTATATTATACCTTAATGGAGCGGCTGGTGGTATCTGGCATATCTCCACGACACGCGGCGGGACCTCTAAGATAAATGCTTTCTGTCTTTCATGTTAACTAACTCTACCTCGGCTATTAATGTGTCATAATTACTAACGAGATAGTGAGGGAAAAGCTAACTCCCTCATGCATGTTAACTTGAACGTGAAAATTATTAATTAGAGATTGATCTCTTGACCTTTGCGAGATTAAAAACATTTTTTTTTACCAGTTGTTTATTTCACAAAAGTTAATATAGCCAAACAAACAGTCATATTTTTCAGTGTCCGTCAACAAGTAAACTACAAAGCATCATATATATTAACTAGAGATATTATAACGTAGTAAATTAATTGACAAGAGTGATTGAGTGGCGAACGCTGGTAACCTATCTCAGCACCCAGCCTTAGGGACATTGAGTAACAAGAATACGCCAGGCGACCAGTTCGAGTAGTGGCATACACTAGTGAGGACCTGAGTGACCATACTGCCTTAGACTCTACATTTACCCCTCCTTCTGGTGAGTCTATATATTAACCCTTTGTAGGCATCAGTCGGGAGAAAACGTGATGATATATTTATGTGTTGAAAGCTCTCAGGGAAAAGGTCTCATAAACCTTTTTTAAAAATTTTGTTGACATTATATATTCTCTGCTTGTGAGTCTTTATACTTTTAGAGTAACATAATAGAGGAACAGGTCAATAAGCTGAGGGGGAATGAGGTCAGTTGATGGCTTAAAGGGAAAGTAAATCCCTGGCAATTGATATGTAAGGTGAATTTTTTTTTTAGTTTAGTTCGATTTGTATATTTCCTGATTTCCGGGTAGATGGATACCCTAATGTCTACTATAATAAACCTGTACATACATCTATATACTAATTTATACATTTATCTACTTAATTATACATTTATCTACACAATTATTCATTTATCCACTAGGTGTATAATATTGTGAGTTTAGTTTCGGTTTGAACAGCAGGGAAGTAATGGTTAACCTTCGACATATATTCTTGTCTTCGTGATAAGGAAGTTGATAAGGTTGTATCTGGTGAGACTAATAGGAGCCCTGTCAACACGTCGCGTTGTTCTATAGATTTAGAGGTTGTCCCATTGATTTAGACGAAATTTAGACATTTTATAGATTTAGACAATTTAGACACGCATCGATTTAGACGTGCCATAGATTTGGACGTTGTGCCATAGATTTACACGTTTGCCATATATTTAGACGAAATTTAGACGTTTTACCATAAATTCGTAGTAGTCTTATTTACCTAATGGCCACCCACTAAAAGACTATTTTAAAACCCGGTACTGTTCTTCATCCCACAGCTTGCGCTGGTAGACCGTTCCGTAGGTCTACATACGGAAATGGATTACACCAGACAAGTCATCAGATTGTTACATAGGAACCTAATGAAATTATCCTTTTGATACATAAATGGTTTACACCCAACAATTGAGGGTGTTGTCCCATAATTACACAGTGAGGTTCTCAACACAATTCTCAGGCTAAGATTAGATAAATAGACACCATTCAGTACATGCGTGGATATGGTAGACCCTTCAATCGGGGCTATTTTAAAGCCAGTACTGTTCTTGTTTCAACGGCCTGGTAGAATATTTCATAGATCTACCAGCCTTTACGTGAAGGACAACCATACTTCCTGCACAACACCTTACCGAGCTTGAAGCTACGTTGTGTGGGTGACACGTGACATCTTAAAGAAGTGATGTGGACGAGCATCTTTCATCCCTTAAAGGGTTTTCAACGCGTTAATGAGATCCGCCTTATTGTGCCTCGCGTGAAGAGTTCAGTCCTAAGGCCTCCAGACTACCTGGATAGTTAAGGCGATTTTAGGAATAATTCTAGTCACTTTACATTGCTCATTTATTTATTTATTTATTTATTTCACATGCCTGTATCATCCTGACTTGCCACCTTCCACTATATCTTCGTATATAGCGTCCACAAAATTGATTATATACCTCGATATATTTTCAATAATTTAATATAGTTGTCAAACAAGATAGGTTCAAGGATAGATCTTTGTGGTACTCCATCGAAAATCTTTTTCCCATGCTAAATGTACGCCGTTTATAACCATTCTTTTGTTGTTTGTCTTCAAGTAAGTGTTTAATCCACACTCAATGCTTCGTGTGTGATAACTGCCATCTTGTCGTGTCATACTGAACAAAGTGAACACATTACTGTGGTCACTTATTATTTAGAGCGCGTCCTTCTGCCCAGAGGAAAGACTAACCAACACGCTCTCACAGAATGACGCTAACCTAACCTAACCTAATTTAACTTAACTTAACCTAACCTAACCTAACTTAACTTAACCTAACTTATTCTAACGTGCTAACTTAAACTTAATTAAACCTGTTATGAGAGAGAGAGAGAGAGAGAGAGAGAGAGAGAGAGAGAGCCACTACAGGTGAAATACAGACATAAGAACGTACACAGGCACACAAAACAGCCATAGCATACATACAAATACATACATACATTCTCATACATACATACATACTGTACATACATTGTTACGTCACCGTTACGTCACTATTATTGTTATGGTGAGTAATTAGTGTCAGTATTACGTAAATGACGGTTGTGTTGTGGTGAACGTTTATGGCGTGAACGTTTATCGTGTGAACGTTTTTGTGTTAATATTTATGTTGTGAACGTTTATCATGTGAGAACGTTAATGGTGTGAACGTTTCTGTTTGAACTTTTATCATGGGTGAACGTTTTTGTCTGAAAGTTTATCACGGGAACGTTAATGTGAACGTCTTTGTTTGAACGTTTATCATGTGAACGTTTTTGTCTGAACGTTTATCATGTGTGAACGTTAATGATGTGAACGTTTTTGTCTGAAAGTTTATGGTATGGGGATACGGGTATAATAACAGAGATATATTAATGGATAAAACTAAAGACAGGACCAAGGGAAGAGAGAGACTAGGATAAATGCTATTAAAAGTCGTGTTCTCCGCAGAGGTAACATGATGCGAGGCTATCAATTAATGGCGCGTGGTGTACGTTGTGGTTCCTCCATCATCACGGCGAAAGCCTTTTAGAAAAATTGTCACTCTGGTGATTTTTATCGTGTGTAAATATTGGATGCTTGATTTTGTTTGGTAAAGGGTTGTTTTACGGTCAAACATAAGGTGATAGGTCCGTAATTATGTCAAGTGCTGCCGCGTGATTGTGAGTGGCTGCGGACGTGTATGAGGAAGAAATTTTTTTTCATTTATTTATCATTACACCACTCATATATTTAATTGATTAGTCTGTTTCTTTATTTATTTTATCGTGACTTTTATCTTAAGTGTTATTTACAAAAGGAAACTACTGGTTATAATTGAGTGATTCTGGCTATAAATCATTGATCGTGGCTATAATTGTGTGAATTTGGCTACAATTGAGTGAACTTGGGTATATTTATGTAAAATTAGCTATCTATTACACTTGTTTTGTATTTATTTATTTATTTTTTATTTATAGTTGCATATGTAAATGGAAAAAAGTTTATGGCGAATATATAAAGATTCTTTCTGTAAGCCTAATAAAAAATAATAATGCATTGCAATGGAGGATTTTAACGTTGAATTAAGAAATGATCTTTTTTGGTTTGCCATATTAAGCAGAGTTTATATAATTTTTGTAGAATTAAATTATTATGTAGAGTTTATTATGTAATGTTAAGAATCGTACTATGTAATTTGAATACAGTGTGGTTACAGCTCTTGTCCTTGAACCAACTATCGTCCGCAGTTCGAGCCCAACTGCCGAACACTGAGTGGGATGCCCTCAGTTGACTCGGTTGAGATTAAATACCTAACTTTACCATTAGGAAGTAACAAGTGGTTGAGTACAGTGTTGGCTACTACTACCACCTCCTGAGCTACAGCACCACCTCTAACACTGATAAACTCACCCAGGTACCAACACTCACTCACGCAGCAGTCAAGAGATATGTGTTGAGTTTCGCCAGCCTTGTTAACATCACTTGACTATTTAGATGTGTTGAGACTTACGGATTTTGTTTTCTCTTTCAGATATTAACCTGCCGGGGTGATCACTGTCAAGGCGAACACAAGAACCTTCACGTAACCGACTCGTTGTGGCAAATAGTGATAATTTGCGTTGTAAAGTGACGGAGTTAAGTAATAAGTAACTGCAGTGAGGCGAGAAGTGTTGTTTTATTAGCTATTTGACGTGTTTGAGGCATAAAGTGTCACCCTAAGATCATATTATCGTTGAAACCAAAGAAATGTTGAGACTGTAATGTTGTCAGGACCGTCTGGCAGTGTGGTGTTGCACTGCGATGGAAAAAGTGTTTCACTGTGATTGGAAAGATCTTAGGGTGAGTGGAACATTTCACTGCCGGAGTTGGTGGTGAATGTGGTGGGCTGCGGCATGATGTGGTGGTCAGGGTCGTGGTGGTAGTGATGGTGGTTGGAGGTGTGTGGGGGGAGAGTGTAGCTCACCTCTTGTTGTTATTATTGCTGGGGGGGACGCTAGGGGGTCCCCAGGATGGCGGGGGAGACAAGAGCCCCCTGGAGGATGAGTACCCCGGCCTGGCGGAGAACTACCCCCTAGAGCACATGGATTATCCGAACGTCTATGATGAGGTCGTGGACTTTAACGACCCACGGAACTACTACAGCTCTAACTTCACTCCTCACTTAGCCAATTCGACTGTGTACAAGTGTCACTGTGAGGGAGACGCGGTGTGGGACGGCTCCACCTGTCACCCCTTCCAGACCATCGTGGCCGTCATTAACCCCTCGACAGGTGAGCGTGTTGTAGCCAACACCAGTGAGTTCGGCAGCGTGCAAGTCGGGTCCGTGACCTGTCCTCCTGGTCTGCAGGTCGTACTGTTGGACTCCAACTCTGTTGAACACCAGGCCAACCCGTTCTCCTTGCTGGAGTCTGGTGACCTGTACTGGCACTGGGAGGTCTTCTCTCACTATTGCTTCGACCACACTTTTGAACCCAATGGTGAACCTCGGTCATGGCAGGCGTTGGTGTGCCTGGCGCCGCCCTCAGTGCCCCGCTGCTGCCCGCCAGCCCATGCCCTCCGCGAAAACAAGTGTGTGCCTCAACACCACTCTACCTTTGCCCCGCCTGTGCTATTGGAGGGGCAGGCGGTGGAGTGGGAGGTGGTGAAGGGGGAGGTGGTCAACGTGACGTGTGACAGCAACTCTCACACCTCACACCGCCTCGTAGACAGTCAGAAGGTGAGTCTCGTGTACACCCCCAAGGGCGCACTGCTGCACTGGACGCCACCATTCACCTTGCCTGAGGAGCGAAACGACTACTGTATAGGCGTGGAGGCTGATGAGGAGGGCGTGGCGCCGCGCTATACGGCCAAACTGTGTTATGAGGACCGCCTGGCCACCCACCATGAGACATGCATCAACCGCACTTGTGTGCGTAAGTGTTGCCAAGAACATTTCTTCGTAGGGACCCTTTGTGAGCCCGTGAAACACCCCAGCGAGGTGTGGTCCCCGGTGTTCCACGACCCCAACACCCTGGAACCGGATGCTCCAGCTCCTGCGGACCTCACCATCGTGCACGGCTACCCCATCTGTACCGCCTTCTTCAGGCTGGATAGTCACCTCATCGAGGAAGACAAGTTCTACCTGCTGGAAAACGGCGCCCTATACGTGCCCATCTTTTCCAGGAAATTCCCCGCCCACGAGTACTGCCTCGAGAAGTTCTTGTTTGAAACGGGCGAGATACACACGCTGCCTCTCGTCTGTTTCCAGGACGACCCGGCCAAGCTGAGCACCGCGTGTAGGGTCATACAGAACTACGTATACCCGGTCCTGCTGCTGTTCTCCTGTGTGTTCCTGGCCATCACCTTGCTGATATACGTGAGCGTGCCGGAGCTACACGCCAAGGTCCATGGCAAATGTCTGGTGGCGCACGTGTCCGCCCTCCTCATGGCCTACGTCAGTCTGGTTACCATCCAGTGGAGCACCGGCGTGATGCCCATAGTTGCCTGCAAGATCATGGGTTAGTATACCCACCTTGTACTGTGTGTGTGTGTGTGAGAGAGGGCGAGAGAGAGATCCTTGCAAGATCATGGGTCAGTATACCCACCCCCTGTACTGTGTGTGTGTGTGTGAGAGAGAGAGATCCTTGCAAGATCATGGGTCAGTATACCCACCCCCTGTACTGTGTGTGCTACTACTACTCCCACCACTAACAATAATAACGTGGAGGCGACATGTAAGAACGTTTGGAATTTCCCGCCATATTTCCCATATATGTATTTCCTCGAAACTATATTTCCCTAAAAAAAAAGTAGTGTAGACGAATCTGAACAAGGACATATCAAAGAATTTATGTAGGAAAAAGCCTTAGGAAGCAGCGGAGACGAACATCACATGACGTAGAAAATAAAATAAGAAAATAAGAAAAAAATATTGATGGGGAAAACCCACCAAACCTGAATAGCGGTGACATTGTTTATTCCCAGGCGAGTCAACGTCCATACGGCCACCCAACTTAAAACAATTTCATATAATTTCACAACTTTCCTGTTCATAACTTAGATATATATATATCTGATTTGGATTATTATATTATGAGGCAAGAGACGAGTATACTAAATTGAACTAAATTATATGTATGAAGCAAGTTATGGTAATTTTAGTCAATTTACGTCCGGTTGAGCCGAGTTCCTCCTAGAAGAAGAAAAAAGTTACTTTGAGCTGGTGGACGCTATCGGGTGCCAATTGGCAAATATTTCTCTTAAGGAATTATATAAAAATATTCCTTACTGATTGGCATAAGTTAAACAGTAAAATTAACCCAGAGACTCTTACCTTAACTAGATACGTTCACGAAACACCAGTTCCCAGAAAATTAACTACTTTAACTAGATACGTCCAGTTAGGAGACAAAATTTACACCGAGATTACCTTAAGTAAAAAAGTTAACTGGATAGGTTCAGTTAACACCGGTTAGGAGGCAAAATTAACGCCATGACTACCTCAAGTAAAAAAGTTAACTAGATTCGTTCAGTTACCACCAGTTTGGAGGCAAAATTCACACTCTGCCTCTACCTTAAAAAACTCACTTATTCCTTGTAATTTTTATATATTTTCTTAGGTTAATTGCTGTTATCTCAAGACATAAGATACGTAAATTTTTTATCTTTTGTATAACCGTTTTAGGAGATTGACTCAGAGTGAAGAAGGTTAGGTGAGAAATTCAGCGGTCAGTATTTTCCTTTCACTGTCTTCTGATAGGTCCGTTTCCCCGTATTACTGAATGGCGCATAAGTAACACTATCCCCTGTATAAGTGACACATAAGTAACACTATCCCCTGTATAAGTGACACATAAGTAACACTATCCCCTGTATAAGTGACACATAAGTAACACTATCCCCTGTATAAGTGACACATAAGTAACACTGTATCCCCTGTATAGTGACATAAGTAACACTATCCCCTGTATAAGTGACATAAGTAACACTATCCCCTGTATAAGTGACACATAAGTAACACTATCCCCTGTATAAGTGACACATAAGTAACACTATCCCCTGTATAAGTGTAACACTATCCCCTGTATAAGTGACATAAGTAACACTGTATCCCCTGTATAAGTGACACATAAGTAACACTATCCCCTGTATAAGTGACACATAAGTAACACTGTATCCCCTGTATAAGTGACACATAAGTAACACTATCCCCTGTATAAGTGACACATAAGTAACACTATCCCCTGTATAAGTGACATAAGTAACACTGTATCCCCTGTATAAGTGACACATAAGTAACACTATCCTCTGTATAAGTGACATAATTAACACTGTATCCCCTGTATAAGTGACACATAAGTAACACCATGTATCCCCTGTATAAGTGACACATAAGTAACACTATCCCCTGTATAAGTGACATAAGTAACACTGTATCCCCTGTATAAGTGACACATAAGTAACACCATGTATCCACTTTACAGCCTCGGTGACACACTTCAGTTTTCTGGCAGCTTTTTTCTGGCTGAACGTCATGTGTTTCGACATCTGGTGGACCCTTAAGTAAGTAACTGTTACTTTTATACGTAATTTTAGTTTATAAGTATATCTAAGTAATTATCCCTTTACTTTTATAGATTTTCTTGGCGTGTAAGTATATTTAAGTATCTATTACTTATTAGTTATCTGGGTCAATAAGTATATTTAAGTGAGTTAACTAATATTTTAAATACGTGAATTAACCACTGGTTCTCTCATAAGTGTTATAATAAGTGGATATAAGTAAACCCTGTAGCCGTCACGAAGAGAGAGAGAGAGAGAGAGAGAGAGAGAGAGAGAGAGAGAGACTGTACAGAGTTAGGGGAGATAAGATTATATAGATAAGTATTGATAACACTCATTTATGTGTGTGTACGTATGTATATATGTGTGTACCTATGTATATATGTGTACGTATGTATGTGTGTAATGACTCAATCCTACAAAAACCACAGCGATGTTTTTAATGAGTTGGCGAGAAGTGGGGTAGGGGGGGTGGGATAGGTAAAACAAGGGATGTAGGGTAGTTAAGAAAATAGGAGAATAGGTAGGTAAAGAGAGAGGGGTAGGGTATTGTTCTGATATTTTATACCGTAAAGTTTGAAGTTTTCTTGGTGTTCGGTTAAAAGGTAACTTATGGCAGCTAGATACAGATATTGAAGAGGCAGGAAGTAATTGTATCTTGTGTGCGGTATAAAAAGATGGCCTCGTGTGTGTATGTCGTGGGGTGTGTGTGTGTGTGTGTGTGTGTGTGTGTGTGTGTGTGTGTGTGTGTGTGTGTGGGGAGGGAGGACGTTTACATAGTGCCAACAATACAATGATTTAATTTTTTTGTGAGATAATTGTGAAATGGTTTTATTTTATTATTATTTTTTTAATTTTCGATCCAGATACAATTGTTGAGGGTGGTGTGAAATATCAAGGGCTCTCTCTCTCTCTCTCTCTCTCTCTCTCTCTCTCTCTCTCTCTCTCTCACACAGGATAATACATAAAATGGCTTCAAATTTACCCTGAGACTCTACCCTAACTTAACCCCTTGAGTATCGTCTTTCTCCCCTTCCTTTCCACCTATCTCTTCCACCTCCCTCTTCCATCCCTTCTTCTTTCCCCCTGCCTTCCCTCATTTCTCCTCTCCCTTTTCTTCCCTACCCCCTCCCTTTTCTCACTTCCCCCTCATTCCTCCTGTCTCCTTCCCTTCTTCTCTCCCTTTCCCTCCCTTCCTTTCCCTCCCTTCCCTTCTTCTCTCCCTTCCTTCCCTCCCTCCTTCCCTCCCAGCCTGACAACCTGTATGAGTGGGAATTCTAGGAACAGCATTCACACCTGCACCCTGACACACATCTGTTACCACGGCACAGGTGTTCTCTATCACGTGTGTGTGTGTGTGTGTGTGTGTGTGTGTGTGTGTGTGTGTGTGTGTGTGAGAGAGGGAAACATCCTTCAAAATTCTGACCCAATGATTCACCTGCACACTAATTAACAAACGAGTTGATCCACCACACCTGAGATGACCTAAATAAGTGCAGGAATGAATAACAATCTTGTGCCATAACTGTCACAAGCAACCATAATTAGAGAAAGAGAGAGAGAGAGGATGAAAAAGAGAGAGAGAGAGAGAGAGAGAGAGAGAGACACACTCATATTAAACTTTTTACTTGCTAAGTGACTCAACAAGTTTGGTGAATTGAAGGGCGTAAGAATATATCGTACGCCAGGCAGCTCTCCTCCTCCCGCCGGTGATTGCTGCTGCTGCCAAGATATCGTACAGTTTGGTTAGGTCAACAAAATGACTCGTGTGGATTTGCAAATATTTTCGATGCTCTTTTGGTTCCCTGAATGGAATTAATAGAACGTGTCTAGTTTAAGTAGAGTTTCAGTATGTTTTTGATGCCATTTTAAGTTTGGTTAGGTTGGGTTAGGTTAGGTTGGGTTGGGTCGGGTTAGGTTAGGTGAGTGTTTTAACTTAATTTAGTATATGTTAAAAACGTTCTTGACTTATTTATTAGATGAACAATTTAATGAACGGAACTCTGAACTGTTAACATTGTCCCATAATCTGGTGTTAAGTGAATGTTTGTAGTTAAGGTAGAGTCATAGTGTAATGTTGAAGCCATTTTGAATATATTGTATTTTATTGTAAGTGAATCATATTGTCGCATCTCCAGTTATACGAGAGAAAATGACTAGGTAGGTATGTGTGTGTGTGTGTGTGTGTGTGTGTGTGTCGGCCTCTGGACTGGTTAGTACAAGGTTAAGACAACATTGGGTGAGACCTTCCACCACCACCTTCCACTTCCACCATCTCCACCACCCCGTTCCACCTCCTCCTCCACCACCTTCCACCACCACTAACCCCACTTCCTCCTCCTTCCACCTCCTTCTCCACTTCCTTCACCACAATAGGTTATGTTTCGTTAGGTTAGGTTAGGTTTCGTTAGGTTAGGTTAGGTTTCGTTGGGGTAGGTTAGGTTGGGTTAGGTTATGTTTCGTTAGGTTAGGTTGGGTTAGGTTATGTTTCGTTAGGTTAGGTTGGGTTAGGTTAGGTTTCGTTGGGGTAGGTTGGGTTAGGTTAGGTTTCGTTGGGGTAGGTTAGGTTAATAGTTTACAGCACTTGAAGTTCAATATTAATAACGCCTCACTGACAACCCGTATTATAACTACACTACAGCAGCTGTGTAAACAAGTTAGGTTATTAATTACACTAATCCATCAGTAATTAAGAGTTATGGGAGGTAGCAATGTTTATTAAGTAAAACTTCTATTTAACAGACTATATGGAGAGAAATGTTCGCTAAATAGAGGGTTCGTTAAATGTGAAACCTTCATTTAACGGACTATATGGAGAATGGTGTTCGTTATATGGAGGTTTTCACTGTACTTGTTGTGTAAGGTTTGAGAACATTGTTGTGGTTAGGTTCTTGAAGTAATAAAGATGTGAGAATGTATGTCTGATTAGGTTAGGTTAAGTTAGGCTAGGCTAGGTTAGGTTAGGTTAGGTTAGGTTAGGCTAGGCTAGGCTAGGTTAGGTTAGGTTAGGTTAGGTTAGGTTAGGTTAGGTTAGGTTAGGTTAGGCTAGGTTAGGTTAGGTTAGGTTAGCCCAGAAGAATCACAGCACCAACGTCTCGTCTCCATGGTAACAGAGCAGTCGCCATATTGGACCCGTGGAGATGACACACCATATCTTATGTCATCAAACAAGTCAGAATAAACAAAGAAAATGAAATATGAACGTCAAATAAGAACTAATCAAATAATAAATAAATGACATTACTTTAATTTACTTTACTTCTATTATCCTCTTCGCCACTAATCGGTCTGCTTGTTTGAGCAGTTGGTCACGTCTCGGTCACGCACTGTTGGCAACTACTGGGCATTTAAACTATTTTATGTGTTTGTTTTGTTATAATTCCGTGTGACGACGAGTGACGATGTTCATTTGTTTTTATAATGTGAGATTACGAGTTACGACGTGAGATAACCAGTTGACTACATGACGCGGGATTGTTTACAAGAATAAGTTAATCGTCCAAACACTGTCTTGTCTCACTCTAATGGTAAAAAATATGTCTTTGAGAACCACTGTGTGTTTATGTTCTCAGTGGAGGAAGGAAGACGGTGGGGGGGGGGGTAAGCTTCCTCTCTCTGTTGACACTTTTATTATCAACCGTGATATTAATCGCCCGTGTGTGTGTGTGTGTGTTGTGTCAGGGTCAAAACCTTATATATAGAACACAGAATAATTATTATACGTGTTTTGCGTGGTCAATTAACGTGTGTGGTGGCGTGGTCTGTTTTTACCGTTGTTGTAGTTTTTGACGTTATTTGTGTAGTTGTAGTCGTAGTTTTTGTAGTAGGGTCTTGTATTGGTAATAGTAGAAGTTGGAACGAGACTGAACTGCTGGAACGAGACTGCCAGGATGTCTGTCAATACTTTCCTCACATTAACTTCCAACATTTTCACTTAACCTACATTATTGTTGGCCGTGACTTTTTTTTCTCCTTGGCCGTAAGTTTCATTTCCTCATCGTAAATTGTCTTTGATATGTGACTTTGTTACCTTAGTATAAACGTTCTTGTTCTTTGTTTACATCGATCAGCTGTTTAAATGACGTCGTAACTAAGAAGTATATGTGTGTGTATGTAGTGACGTCATAAATGTACTCGAAATGACGTCACTGTGGATTTTTGTGGACTCATAATTTCCCTCCTCCTCCTCCTCCTCCTACTTTTCTTTCTCTTCCTGTTACATGGAGGCGACACAGCCCCACGTAACGCTGGTTGGTCAAGGTTAACTTAGCAACATTTCGCGCCAAAACCTGACAAAGCGGGTTGTCTTACCACCAGTTTTTGTTGACAATTTTTGCCAACATTCCCTAGGCTGCCGCTTTGATCCTCTGCACACACATTAATTACCAGTTTTTATTTACTGTTTTATATAACTGTCATAGATATAGACAAAGTTTCTAAGTGGCGAAGAGGAAATAAAGTAAAAGTAGGATGTTGGGAGTATTTATCTAATGGGTTACGGGCCTAAATAACTTACGTATGAGAGAGAAAGAGAGAGAGAGAGAGATGACTGTGTATGTGTGTGTGTGGTGCTGACGTTGGTAATAGCAGTATACTTAATCAGCAAGCAAGGTTGACGCTGACAAACCTTCCCACCCCCCCCCCCCACACCCTAGCCTAGCGTTAGCATGAATCAGCTCCCAGTCAGCACAGTGTCATAGGCTCCAAAGCTTCTGAAGGTTTACTCTATAAGTTTAATTAGAAGCCTTGAGATGGTTTCATTGAGCTGACGATCACGAAGGACTTGGGTTCAGTGTGTTTAAAGACGTATATTATGTGTTTATAGACCAAAAACCAAGCGCTTTATCATCATCATCATCATTATCATCATTATCATCATTACCATCTGACACAAGAGATACTGACCTGACAACTGGGATAAGAGCGAGATAGAGAGAGACAACTGATGTAATGTTCATGTTCTCTGATAAACTATATCTTGATCCCTGGCACTAAGAGTAATAAACCTAACCTAACCTAACCTAACCTAACCTAACCTTCAGAGTCGATTATTGAGCATTGGCATCCCTTAAGGTGGGGTATTGGGGCCTTAAGTGTTATATAATTCAAGCCATGGCGACTCTTCCTCCTGTTGGGGACTTGTAGAAGGAGGTAGTGAGGAAGGAAAGGAGAATTAAGTCCATTTGATGTTAACTTGTAGTAGGGGGGGGGGGCCTTGGCTGAGGACTCTGTAAGACACAGACAAACACACAGATGGAGATGATTGATTTATTGTTCATGTTGATGATAATGAAATGTGTGTTGTTGTGAGAGAAGGACATGTTTGTTCCTGAGGAGATAATATTCGTTTCTCTCAATTCAATTTCAATTTCAATTGTTTATTCTTGATAGAGGAAGCGGGATCCTAGTGCTGTCACTAGGTACCCCTGTACAATGACACCAGAAGCATCTGGCAAGTGTGACAAGTATATACAGTATAAATATTATAAAGGGGCTTACTAAAGCCTAAGGAAGGAAGGATATTCCTTTACTTCGTTTCTCTCTTTAATTTTTCACATCCTGGTTTGACTCACTTCCTTTCACAACACACAAGATACCGTGCTTATCTGGCTCGAGTCATAACAGCCAAGTTGACACCATTTGTTGATGAATCATATTCAGAGAGTTTGTTTACAAGTTTCAGTACATGTTGTTGAAGTGAAGGAATACATTATAACATCAACAAGATCTTATATAGGAACCTAATGCCTTCAACACCTGGTAATTAAACTACCTGTACACCTAACCTAATCTAACCTTTTATAATTCTCTCACCTCTTGGTAATTAAGCTACCTGTACTGTATACCTGAACGTCATACTCGTACAGGTATATGTATAATGAATTTGTCATCAGTGAAGCAGTGTTGTGGGGGTGGGGGGGGGGGCAGGAAACGTACAGGAAGGTGTGGTCGTGTTGATGTGGTGGTGGTGGTGTAGGTGTGATTCAGAGATAGATGTGGCCTTGATGGTGTGACTCAGATGTGGCCAACAACATGACACCTGTAGAGCAGAGATAATTAATTTTATTGCACATGTTGACGATATTATTTACACACACACACACACACACACACAAAGACATTGTTGTGTATGTAGGTTACTTTACCTGATCAACCAATGTGAACTCGTATGACGATTTTAATGACTATCTATCTATCTATCTATCTAATATGAAGAACATTAAGCACAAGACAAACATGACACACAACAACGTCGTCTGATTGGCTGATTCCCTCGAAGCATTAAGGGCCCGGCCACACACCGCCATAACGTGTAGACTCAGAGGTTTCGCCTTGTGTTTATAACTCCTGTTAAATATAATAGCTGCACAATTAGTTACGCCAACCCTCCTCTCTCTAGATGGACAATGCCACTTGGGTCCCAGCGCTGTCCCACCTCCGCTCGCAACATACAGTAGTGGGACCATTCACAATGTAGAAAGGAGGTGGGCTATAGGAGTTAGTGTGTGTGTGTGTGTGTGTGTGCTTAATTGACGATACACTTAATTCACTAATAGAATTAAATTAACCAGAGAATTAATCATAACTAATAACCCGTCATCATAGTTAATTAGTCATAACACACTTACTGTAACACACGCTAACCAGTGTCGCCTGCGGCTTTTCGTGTGATAAGTTATCTTGATCACGATTCGTCATTGGTTAGTTATTCTGCTATTTAGATGCTTCTCGTGCCGCTAGTGTGTACCCATGACCAAGCCTCACATACCCGAGGCTGGTAATATAAATACTATAGGAACAAGTGATGGTCTGTCTCTCTCTCTCTCCCTCCCTCTATACTTGCGTACTGATTACATTCCTGGTATATTTTCACATTAATAAACGATATATATAAACATCTAAAGTACTGGTGACAAAAATAATGCGTGTATCTCCCAGAGTATCTAGGACACCGGCATTAATATTCAGCACCTGTGGTAAAATTTAGTCCCCGCTACCTTACCAAGTCTGTCCCTGTGTTGGAGGCGACACGCGAGAGAAGGGTGTTGTCCAGTGTGACCCCCACCAGACACAACACAACTCCTCCAGGTACACCGGTTTCCTCCTGTAGTAACACTGGACAGTAACAAAGATCAGACCAACTCCCCTCCTCTCCCGAAAGGTTAGTTAGGAGATAAGTAGTAAAATGATGAATTAATTTAGATTTATATTATGCAAATGACGACCACCATTTAAGAAACGGGCGGCGGGTCTTTCTCGCTGCCTGAGTTATGATAATTACCAATATCTCACAATCTCCTAAACAAGATGATAAAAAAAAAAATTGATCATAATGTTTAATATCAGATGTAATGAACTAACCACCACTATCATTATCGAGTGTTAATTATGAATTATAAACGTGTTAGTTTCTGACTTATGAGAATCTCAAATGACACGCTGGTAACTGCCTCACCCGGACCTACACTTGTGCAATGTTGTCTCCTTCCGTCTTATGTTTTTGTCTACACACAATTACTATTATAACTTCCATATTAAATGCATTATTTTACATTAATTACCGACACGCGTCCATATAGATGTTACTTGACTTTATCCTTTAAGTTATTGTTTTCCTCTATCGCCGCCATCACATATCTATCTATCTATAGGTCTCACGTATTTATCTCTATTTATATTTATATCTATCATCAATCTATCTAACGATCTATCTATAAATCAATAAATCTAGCTTTCGTAAATAAATAAATACCTACATACCCCCCACAAGTAAATAGATGCGGATATTAATCTAATCAACACAGACAATATAAAACACACTTATAAGCATATCTAAAAGCAAACACAAACCCACAAACACCAAACAAACAATAATACCAGGAGCTTTGAAGACTGAAAAAAACCCACTTTATTTATGGTCTAACCTCGAACTCTACCCAGAATTTAGTCCACATAAGTAAAAAAAACAAATTAAAATATTGACGATTATCATTTATAAGTTTGTTTAATAGTGTCAAAGCAAGATTATTAAGATCCGTTTACCTGACTATAAATCAACCGTAAATTAATATTGCTTTATAAATTTACCTGAAGTTTATATAAGTGTTCTAATATAATTTGTATAGGTTTGTTGAGGACCAGTAATAATGTGGTGATATTATAGTTATTATCTTAAGTTAGCTAATGGTGACTGATTGTTTGATTTAGTTTACCCTCAAATTTGAAAAGTTTTTTATAATTAATTTTTTTCGTTATATAGTAAATTTACCTTCAGTATGTAAAGTTAATAAGTTTACCCTCTCAAATAGATATATAACAATATATAAGTAGATATAGATAGATATTTAAGCCCCCTTCTATTATACCTGAACCATTACTTGTGCAGTATGCATATCATGGCATCAACATATGTACCTGAATAATCTAATCTAATCACCCACCTTTCCGTCCTGCCTCTAGGAAAAACCGCAAATAAACCATTTATTCTACCCCGCCGGAAATGCCTGCTCTCCCACACACCTTCCTGGAAATATAAAACTTCCTTAATAATTACAATATACATGACAAGTTGAGCGTGATGTGTATAGGGTTTTGTCCAATTAAATCCGTGTAACAATGGCCTATGTCGCTAGTTAAAAGCCTCGCTCTTAACGCGTGGTTATGAAAAATTAATATTATTACTGTATTTTTTATATTACCGTCACCTGGGCATTACTCTATCTATAATTTATACATGGGCTTTTGTGTTAACGTGTCTGAACAAAGCACACAGCTGCCCATCCTTCACACACGGCCTCACTAGCTGTGGTCGTAGGAAATATCTGGTTGTGGTGGTGGACGAGGATGACCCTGACCCACAACCCCATTATTACGGTACAACACCACACCTATGACCCACACACACACACACACTTGCACTCTCTTTGTGTGTGTGTAAAGAAAAAAAGAAGTTATATACTGAATTTTCTCCAATCTAAAAGTATCTGACAGCACACCATTTTCGCTTTTATATATATATACGATTTTTTTCCCAGGACAAAAATGTGATGTGACCTGAAGTGGGTAAACAGAATTTTGGAACACCTTGTATTATTTTAAGCAGTCCTCTGTAACCTGCTCCTTTTGGTTCAACTTTTAATTAATTAATTTTTAAGAGTTTCAAGGTGGAGGTAATAAATAATCCATGGAGTTTCAATTCGTACATCTAATAAACCATTTTTCACCCCATAATGCAAATTAATTAATGATTAGTTAGTGATTGGTAATTCTGACTTCTGTTTTATTAATACTTTCTGTTATACTATATATATCTTCATAAGCTAACGGTGTTTTTGTGCTGAAATGAACCAACAAAAAGAGTGAAAACAAACACAAACAGAAAAACAAAAATGGATTCATGTATTTTGGTTAACTGTCTAAAATCTGTCATGTTTTGCCCATAGATCAATGCGGCCTGTAGCTGAGACTGGGGAGCTGTCAAGGTTCAGGTTCAAGATGTACTCTGTGTACTCGTGGGGGTGTCCCATCATCATCTCCTTGGTGGCCATCATCGTCCAGGCCCTACCAGAAGACTTCAACGTCATACGACCTGACTTTGGCTCCAAGAAATGTTGGTTTGATAGTGAGTGTCGTCGGTGCTGATGTTATATTGACCACTAGTGTACCACAGTCACTGGTGTATGTACTTTATCCTCAGTGGCGAAGAGGATAAAGGTAAAAATTAAAAGTAAATTGCTTAAAGAAGCTTACCCATAGTTTCACCTTGTCCGTGGATCAAACCTGGGACTTCTAGCTTGTGTGATGAGACGTGCTGACCATTACACACACACATTTATAGTTACCGTATTATATTTGATTCCTATTTACATTATTATTAGATTGCTGTAGATCACACAGCCTATAACAAATTCCGTGTTGTTGTTGGCAGATGACAAGTCACTGTGGGCGTATTTCTTCGGGTTTGTGTTGGTGCTGGTGGTGGCCAACATCATCTTCTTCGCACAGGTGGCATACATCCTCATCATGGCTCAGAATGACCCCATCCTCCAGCGTACACGTCAGCAGAACAGGGAAAGGTCAGTTGGTCTCTCTCCTCCTTCAACACAGGAGACAGGATCTTGTTTATTGTCTTAAGAGGAAGAAAACAACACAGGTAATGGATGCTGAAACACCTATGTACTTGATTATTTGAGTCTCAATAGTTGTCTTTTTTCTCCTATTCCTCTTTTTTCCTTCTTTTTTTACTCTTATATTCTTTTCCTCTTTCTTCCTTTGCATCTGCTCCTTATCCTTTTCCAGTTTTCCCTCTTCCTCATCCTTTTTCTCCTTTCCCTCCCCTTTTTACATTTATTTTCTCATATTCAACAATGTGCTTTAACTTGTAATGGTTGTAGAGCGATGTATATCTATGTTTGTAGGTCATGGCTGTACAGCATGTGACTCCATGTACTGTTCTAATAACTATGATAAAGTGTATTTGTTTACAGCATATGACTATTGTCTTTATAGGATATGACTACAGTATGTTAAACTTTCCATTTATAGAACAATAATGGGATAACATGAAGATTAACCACCCCAACACTGATGTAACCTAACCCTCCCCCCCATTAATCTTCAGGTGAAATAAGCCGGAGCAGGCAAGTCTTCAGGTAATGGCAATACTAATGTACTGTACTCGTGTTTGCAGGATGTGGCTGTACGTCAAGTTGTTCCTCGTGATGGGACTGACCTGGATCACTGAAGTCGTGTCATGGCAGGAGGGGACGTGTGAGGCCTGGTCAGTATCAACTCTTTTGCCTTTATATCAAGCGTGTATGTTTGATTCACTCATTAGAGGGAAACAGGAGTGTATCATATGTCTCTTGTTGTTGATTCACTTACAGGGTTCTGGATGATGTTGGGTGATTGTGTTGTTGTTTTGGTAGTGAGAATTATTTATATGATAATGATAGTACGATTGGTATAATACAGGGTCATAGGAGAGAAGTATACTGGTACACTGTATACTTCTATTTTGGGTGGTCATTAGGCAAATAAGGTAAGTAGGAAAAAATAATTCATGAAACACACATTTATTGTCCTGTACGTGGTTAAGGAAGATCATCGTGGCATCATGGAGGCCTTATCTACTGTGACTGTGAGATGCTTCTATGTTACTCAGGTATTCTAACATGGCCTTACAGTATTATAATGGCTTATGCATTTGTATGACTAGAGGCACACCATGAGTCATAGTTTATTATCAGACAACATTCTAGGAAAAGTTTTCTGCCCATGTAGGTCCTCATGGCAGAGGGTAGCTACTTCACACCCTGGGAAAACACCTGTGTTGTTGTGTTGTGAAGGTCATAGTGAGTGATGTAGATCAGCAAGTAGTGAAGGTGATGCCTCTTATTTGTTTACTTGTGTCAGTACAATAATGCTTCTTGATGTGACGCAACATAATGGAAACTGTCACATCACATCTTTGTTTCCTGTTGTCAGATTAACCAATTCTTGGTGAAGTTTAACAGTGATCTTTATGTGTACAGCAAGGACAAGATATTGGATATGATTGTATAAATATTACAGATGTTGATTAATATTATACTTGTGTAAAATATGAATTAGAATGATGTAGATATTTAGTGCATCAACGTCACTTCTCAAGACAATGACTAACTTTCAGAGTTTATTCATACAAAATGTTTGCTTCGACTGGCTGAGTCTCGTGTCCATAATTATTCATCTGTTATTCATTGTCACACATAAAGTATTGTATGGCAGCTCACAGACAAACACATCACCTTAAAACATGGCAGAGTAGTGTCACTAAAATATGTTAATCAGTTTTATATCTTAGATTTTGATAATTCCCCAACTCCTAGCTGATTATATACTGTATGTGTCAGCCTCTGCTTGTTTGTTCCTACATTATGTGTTGTTAGTGATCACTGACTGTCTACCTTCTCCTCACAGGGTGATCACTGATATCGTCAATACTCTTCAGGGATTCTCGATCTTCCTGATTTTCATATGCAAGAGGAACATGTTAAGAAGGGTAAGTGTTAAAGTTATCAACAGTCTTAACAGTTAGTTTAAGTTTTCTATGGAGGAAATTATATTTTAACTAGTGAATTAATTAATATTTTAATGTTAATTTTACTGACCGAACCTCCTGTTGAAGATTTAGTCATCTTTTAGATCCCCAGCAGATAATATTTCCACAAGGTCTGCCATCAAACTCCCTTTGTATATAGGTATCAATTTTGATTGTGTTAAGTGTTTGAAATAAGGCCATTATATTCATATACTCATCTTATCTGTTTTATCCACATGTAAAAATAGAATTACACTTACATGAAGCAGCCATGATATGAATACAACTCATACAATCCCATAAAACAGCTTTACTTGTCTCCAGGTACGCAACAACTGGGAGCCATACCTGCGTCGCATGAAAGAATTCTTTGGTTCGTCCCGCCAGTCAAAGTCTATAGTTGGGAAAAGCCATCCGGAGAGTTCATCGTTCAGCTCGTCAGTTAACCGACCGAGCCAGTCCGCAGCGTCACAGAGGACCGTCCAGAGTCAGATTTCACTCGATCCATCATCTGCCTCAAGGTCAGTTTACCATTGACAGAGTGTAGGTGGGTGATCCTGTACTGTACACCTCAGTTGATACAGTGTAGGTGGAAGGTCAAAACAGTGACAGATACTTAAAGTACTTTATATAATTGTGTCTAATAGAAAACCATTGTAAACTTGACATAAGACAAGTCTTGTGGTTTGCTCCCCCACCCCTGGCAGATACCCATATAGTATTTACAAGTGTTTGGTTTAATAGGATGTGTAAATAACTGGTTGTACTTGACTTGTAGTTTTGTGTTTTGGTTAAATGAAAAAGAGGTTTCGTCATGAACTCTGGTGATTGATGTACAGTACAGGAGTATTGTGGACAGATGACTGTATGTAGTTATATTTACATCATGTAAGTATTATTCATCTTAATGAAACACAGTATTGTCAGTAAAACCCAAATACTGCAAAGTATATTTAGATAGCATACTTAGGTTACAGTATTTCTGCTCAAACACTAAATGATTTATCTTTACAGAAAGCTGTCATCATCGTCCCTAGTGTCCACCACAGGAGTCCAAGTTCACTCTCCCAACTCTATCTCAATGGATACCATAAATGAAGGGAACCACCACGAGGATGACCAGAATATAGAGCTAGGAGGACCCACTGGAAAAGATATTGGTTCAGCCATCAATGGAAATATGGGAAGTGAGAGAGAGACCTCATTAACTAACAGCAATAATGTTGTTAACCAAGACACCTCCATGAAAACATTGAATTCCATTAGTGGACAGACAGACAGTGTTCAGTCCCTCGACTCCCACATGAATGCATTGAATTCTAACAATGGACAGATAGGCAACATTCAACCCTTAGATAACAATAATGAAGCATCACCAACACCTACCAAGAAGTTTGCTCCCCTGAGAACCTCTGATGAGTCGTCCCCTACAAGACAGGGAGACCACACAGAGTCCACACCCTTGAGAAATGTTCAGAGTGAAGTGTCACTTGAAGATGTTGAGGATGACACTCCACAAATAGACAGTGACATCACTCTACCACAGAGAGAGTTTGTGAATAACTTAGTGAAAACTACTGAAAGTGATCATGTGAGAAGTCAAGAAGAAAATGAGCCAGTTACTGTAGATAATGAAGGTGTGTTGGTGCTGCATAACCGAGCCTTCACCACAGAGGACGAGGACGATCAGCCCGTGGACGTGTGATGAACAGCGTTGTTCAGACATTACAAAATGTGTTTCTGCAAAAAAACTGTTTCAGTATTACACTTTCTGAGAAACATGGCTTTAAATAATACATTATTTCAAGTACTGTATTTATTCAGCATATTCTCAGATGTTATCAATATAAGAAACACACCTAGTGGAAGGTTTAACTTTTGAACCAGGCAATTGGTGAATTACTATTACCTATGATACTCACAGTTGACATCTGTGTTCAGGTATGTTGCCTTCAGTGGACTGGAGTTTTGAGAGGACTTGTGTAGATCATTGTACATTACAGTACTGTATAATATAGTACTTGTACAGTATACTGTACAGCAGTGATCCAGTGCAGTGAGTGGTGTGCCTGGTGTCTCCACATAACTGGCTGTATGTTTTACTGTGAATCTCATGGATTCATACAAACTTTTAAGAGAATGTTTTATTGAAAAAAAAAAGTTCCTTTAGCAAATTGAAAATTAAAAAATAATGCACAGGTTGGGCTGAAAAAACTTGTTATTTTCGAAGTGGTCTTCTAGCAGACAACAGTAATGCTCCTGCAGTGTGTAAGAACTTGTGTATCACATTTTTAGTGAAATATTATAAAATGAAAAAAATTTAATTTGATTCAGTTACATATGAGACACAGGGAACAAACTGTCAGAAAGATTGAAGGTTTTGAATGATTTTTTCAGTGATTACAATATTTATACAATACAGTACAGTACTGTAATGCATATTATGAAAAGTATGAAATAATGTTGTACTTGTACATCAAGTGCAGTGTACTAGATTCAGTTGTTCCTACAATTTAGTAATTAGTGTTCATGTCAAATATAATACTTTGTGCTATCCAAATGATTATTCTTAAATGAAGATAATATTTAATGATTTTGATTACAGTACAGAATAGATATTTCAGACAGTTGTATTTCCCTTTTACCCCCATATGGGTTATTTAACCATCTTCCCTTATAAAAAATGAATTGTTTATTATGACAATGATGTATCAGGCACCACTGATTTAATGTGATAATAGAAATAGTCTATTAAACACATATTCTAAAGGGTACCTAAGAATATAGTACACTTACTTGCTGCAAAGACCAAGGGTGTGAGGGCCAAATAGTACTGCATGTAACATATAATTATTCTCATGTACATATTTCACTCTTGCATGACATTTGTTTCAAGAACGACATTGATGAATTTAGCTCTTTGATCCTATAGCTTTATCTGTTCATGATATAATAGAGAAGACGAGAAAAATATATATAATTCAGTTTCATAGGTAGAGAGGAATGCATGAACTGTTTAGGGGAGATGTTTATGCCAGCAGCCACCAGTACAGTACCCAGTTGGTGTATGATGTGTGTGGCTATGGTGTGTGACTATGGTGTGAAGGATGTCTATAGCTATGGTGTATATTCAGTGACGGAGAAGTGTATGCTGTGGATTCTGGTGACCATTGCTGGTTGTAAAGGTGTTGTTGATGTGATGTTCAGTTTGTTTTTAATATTCAGTGTATAAAGTTTTGTGTTGGGGGTTTTACTGCTTCTGCAACTCATTCCTTCTTTGTAATTCATTCCTGCTGTCGAACTCTCTACTACTGCCTCTGGCCCTCACTCCTACTAACACTGTAACTCACCTCCCTCTTCATACACTTATATACTTTATTCTGAAATATAAGTACAAGTACAGATTTAAGTACAATATACACTACAGCTTCAGTAATTCCCTTCCCAAGTCAAGGAGTAGACCTCTCTTCCATCAAGTGATGTGTCCTTACCACAGACACAGCTTTGCTTCCCTCTATTTATAAATACTGTACAGGGTGTCTCAAGAAAATGAATACAAACTGCCTTACAGATTTCCGTGGAGATCGCATGGATGCTTGTATTAACAGCAACATTGTCCTTTTACCTGTGGGAGACTTCACACATCAACACGTGAGGACTATGTTGCTATTGTAATGAAAATCAGTAAGGCAGTGTGTAAATTTTTTTATGACACCTTGTTTATATATATATCGAACAAAAAGGGTTCGAGTCACATCTGTAAATATTAAGAATGTTTTTCATAGATGTTAAACTCAGATAATTCTTCTTTTGATGCGATTTCAGAAATATATTTGAAAGCGCAGAGAACTAGACATATTGTATTGATGACACGAATCATCTTTTTTTAAATTTTCACACAGTCAACTGGGCCTTTGTTGGCAGTGATGGTTGTTGAGATGGAGGAGGACTGTAAGAATGTTAGTCTAGCAGAGGTCCACATTTTGATTCACCAGGAGTCACCTACAGTACGATGTGAAGTGAATTGTAATGTTTAAATTATAGTTCTAAATTGATTGATGTAAAAGAAAATGAATCTTTTTAATATACATGTCTGACAGTTTATTATATACTTCTGAATTATGTACCGAAATTAACTTTCCTTTATTCCAGAAGTAAAACTGTAATGCACACTTATTTTAGCTTAGTGATTCTGGGTGTAAATATCACCAGTTTTCCTTCTTCCCTTAAGCACATTAAGACAATGCAGCCAGCATATGGAAAGACATTGAAATTTTTATATTAGGAAAGTGACTGAATCTTCAATAACAATGTCCCTATATAGAAAGAAGTACAGTAGTAAAATTATTAGATTTTTGTAGGTAGATTATCTAAAGAGTAGTTAATAGTTACCTCACTCTTGGTAATATATGAATCATGTTTAGAATGTTCACTTAAATCATATACAGTACTAATTTTATATTGGGTTTAATGACAGTGGGAAGGGGATCAGTTTTTAAAGGAAGAAGTTTATGAATGCCAAAAGCTAGTTTATAGATAGAGTGATATACTACCTAGATAAATGTAAATAATAAATATATTCTTTGTAGTTTTGTAAAAAGCTCTGAGGGAATATTGAGCAATTCCTGAGGTTACATAGTTGTCTACAAGCACAGTGTATGAATGGGTGATCATATACAAGTACAGCACCAACCAATCATCTTGTCAACACAGGAGCTCTACACCTGAGGAAGCATCTTGTTGAGTTCAGATATGTAGAATATTTGGATTAAGTATAGTATAATATAGTGAACTCCAGTCATAATCTATCATCCAAACATAATGAAAACATCAATTGTAAACTGTTTTAAGCCTGAGGTAAACCAGCATTGGAATACATTCAGGTACTTTTCATAGCCTGTATATGTCCTGTACCTGCTACTGCTATTTGAAGCTAGGAAGTAAGTGACTATCTGACTGGCTAGTAAACTGACAATTAACAAAGCAAGTCTAACATAGGGAACCAGTTTGACAAGTTGTGTGATTGGGATTTGAGAAAATTCTGATGTGAACTGACTTAGTGAAAGAATATTGTACAGGAGAGCTTACATTATGTCTCACTATCTGGTTTTTATTTCAATTAAAACAGAAGTCACTTACATTTAGGACTTATGAATGTTTCTCATATTGGAACTTGCTAAATTATTCTTATTTAGATTATGAAAGTTATACCATACTGTACTGTGGAATTTTTTTTATTAATGCTCATCCAGTACAGTGAAATTCTCTATGTTAAGTGGTGTGAAATGTTCTGTCATATATTGTGTGTTATTGCAGAACTTATATACTGTACTGTCTGAAGTGTTTATGAAATGATAGTTGTGATTTGTCTCATAGTGTTGTTGAAATGTTTTATAGGATGATCTGTACAATTATTCTTATAATATCCAGTTTTATAATGAAGGAAATTATTTACATTCATGGTTGAGGAATGAGAGAGTTCCCCATTCCCCAGAGGCGCTTGATCTGTTATCGACTCCATGTGGTCAAGCAAGACAGAGCAGAGGTTGTGTCGAGGCTTATATAACATCGAGACTGTCTGAAGAACTAAATGGGTATACAGTACAATATAGTTACTGTGTATTCATACCCACATGCAATGGTGTTCGTGCATTGTCGTCATGTACTCAGGTCGGGCACTGTACCAATGTATGATGTAATAATTGAATGTTTAATGACAACTACAGATTTATGTATGGGTTGTATACAGTATTGTATTTATATGTATTAATCATTCATTCATGTAGAGCCTATTTATAGTTCCAGGACAAGGTTGTGGCTCCTATTAAATTAGTTACTGAAGGTTCTTAAGATATATACGTATATATTGTCATCATTATTCATTTAATTTCATTCATTCTTTTAGGTTTTCTGTGTCAATATGGATGTTTAATGTTACTTGATATTGGGTGTAATTTATGTGACATGAAAATTAAAATATTGTGTGCCATAACTTGAGTGTTCCCTCATTACCCTTGTGAGTATAAGTGTGTGACACCTTGATGTTGAGGCCATGTTTAAAGACCTTGGGGTGTTCTAGTTAGGGGGGTCCATGAAGATCTACAAAATTGTAGGGAATAGTGTTGACCAGGGTGAGTTACAATGGACACCACTAGGGGTAAGTTTGGCCACCACTAGGGATGAGTCGCCACCATTAGGAGTGAGTTTGACCACCATTAAGGGTAAGTTTGGCCACCACTAGGGGTGAGTTTGGCCACCACTAGGGGTGCACCTTTTGTCGCATCCACAGGTCCCAATGGCATGAGATTATAACATTAACTAAGACCAAAATATGTGAAAAGGACCTAGGTGTTAAAGTATTTAGACGAAATTAACAAGAAAATAACCCTTTACGCAAATTTAGCGTTTTTTACGTGAATATTTGGAGAAAAGCAATAGAAGGGTAGAGCAAGGACTGAGGTAGGGTAGGTGTTGGGGCATTTATAGTTTGTAATTTATATATTTAAGCATTTAATCGAATAGCGTCAAATAACAAATAATTAAAATGGGAAAGCAACAAAAAAATAAAAAGGAAATTATAATATTAATAATACTTTCCTTTAATCGTTAATACAGAAACAAATAGTATATTGCATCATAATATTGATAGCCCAAGGGTCCCTCAGCCGGGTCGTCATCTGCTGTTTCAAGTTTATCTCGACTCCTTCAAACCCCCAAGACCGAAGCACTAAATGTACTAAATATTTCATGTTTTTTGGTTAATTTTGACTCATTATTTAACAAAATCCTCTACTGATAGAAAATTTTATTAATTAAATATACCGATGACACAGTTACTTGAAAAGCATTTCATTTTGGTGAGTTCAATTCTCTACAAATTGCTTCGGATTTTGGGTTTCGTAGTTTCATATTGACGGGTTCAGTCATGATGGCGACGGAGAGGAGAGAGGACGTCGTCGGCGGTCTCCCTCACCCGGAACAGACACCTACAGACAAGCCATGTCGAGCCTGTACAGACTTTCGTTCGTGGATGAAGAGCCAAAGAAGGGCGGGACCTGTCACGCTGGGTAAGGTATGATGTCATGGCAGCCGTGACTATTTTAATGGCGGGACATTTAACAACAAGATGATGATGTAACACTTGTGACATGTGGGGGTCACTGTTGCCTCAGGTCACAAGGTCAAGTTCCCCAGAATGATTCCCTTAGACCTGACAACAATTAATTGATTCAGAGAGGGTAATGAGGTAGTGAGGTTCATTAAATTGTTATGTAAGGATGGCTGGGGTATCCTTCACCCCAGAGAACAACATTACTATGGCAATTATCTTAGGTGTGATTGACAGTTTTAACATGTCTTGATGTCTTGGATGACTAACAACCTTAATGTCTGAGCTGTGGGAAGTTTGGTGTGATTTATTGTAGATAATTTGAACCAACCTAACTTATCTATCTTGGGGTGGAAGTACATTACATTATTTTAGATTATTATAGCTTAATTTAAGTAGGTTTGGGAAGCGTTTTTTTTTTTACCAGTTGAAACACCATAAACGGTATTAGGTAGTGAGTTTATTTACTACAAGAAGTACGAAAAACTAAATCATGAAAATTGCAAAGCCTTTTAAGTTTTCTTGATTTTTCTTGAGGTAAGAAGTTAGTTGCCATATAAAATTTGTCTACAATTCCTGGTTGACGTGTGCCTCTGTTCTAGAGTATTACCAAGAAAAGTGACCGTAGACTCAGGAGATCTTGTAAGGACAGCTTTGCTACTTTAACCCCTTGAGTACGATGACTTAATCTCATAACCTAACCTAACCTCTTCAGAACAATGACATACCCTTTAAAATACAATGAGGGAATCCTGTAAATATGATGTCATGACTGTTTCAATGCAATAAACAAATCCCATGGGTAAGACAATGTACCAAGTGTTATATAACTTCTTTTTTATTAATGTTTTTAAGTTGTATAGCAAAGCATTTAATATTCAGATGCATTTATCAATATTATTCACTTGAGGCGGCTGGTTAGGAGACAACATGACCCTAACATTATTTATTCTCACACTTGCCGTCGCATCTGTAATCTTCTAATGAAATCACATATTTTTATGTTACTCATTTGTTCATTTATAGACTTGTATAACATATATGGTGTCCTGATCCTGTACCTCAACTTACCCTAAGAGATTGAGTGTACCTGTACAAGTAAGGAGGGATTCCTTACTTGTCAATTTTATCATTCCTTTTTAATTTGGGTTATTACAGTAGAGTACTTTACAATATTAATGATTGTACAATATGTAAATCTTATTCTATTGTGTATTTTTTATAGTACAGTAATTATTTGATCTTTGTTCTTTTTATCTTACAGGCTGAGACCTCTTCAACAGAAGCACCTCCTCCGGAAAATTCCTCGGGGAGTTCATCTGAGAGACAGGAAAATTCTGGACTTGAGTCTGGCAGTGTGTTGGCAGGTAGAGCAAATGACGGTTCAAGCCAAACGTCGACAGTTCCTGAGGAAACTGATGTTCCACTCTGGGGTGAGCAACAAATTGCCTATGATTTATATATTCAAAACTTTTTTATTGCAATAAGTTGTAAAACAACTTAATGTTATATTAAAAAAAAAAGGACTTTGAATTATGTACCGTAGATAGAAAATAAGCAACTGAGAGACGCCAGTTAAGGATGTGTGTTATTGAGTGAGACACTTTATTCTCTCTACCTTGACACAGGGCAAGCAGCCAAGTACGGGTGTCCGGCGGATAGTCTGTCTCTGGGTCGGGGTTCATGGCGGCTGCTGCACTCCATGGCTGCGTACTACCCCACCCAGCCAACACCACAACAACAGAATGACATGAAGACTTTTATAACAATATTCTCCAAGTTTTATCCGTGTCAGCCTTGTGCAGAAGATTTTAGAGAATGGTAAATTGTTTTTAAGTATTTACTACAATGTTTACAAATGTTATATAATGTACGGTATTAATATGGGTAGTGTTAAAGGAGCCAGAGAACTCCTAATAAATATGAAGAGTGTGAGAGCAGTGATGAGTAGAAATGACTCTATATAAGAATGTTTGTTCCAAGTCTTATGTGTGGACGAGAAACTTTATCTTTTTTTTATTCTTCCCGATATAAGATAAACCAAAACTTGAGAATAGTAAAGATGGACAGTTTTGATAAATATTATGGGATATGAGACCATTTATGGGTTAGTTAGGAGGGGTGAAAATAAAGGAATTATTATAGATAAGAGAGGTAGATTAATTAATGTTTTGTTTTATCTTTTAGGCTGAAGACCAACTCACCAGCCGTAGACTCTCGCTCCACTCTGTCTCGGTGGTTTTGTGAGGCGCACAACGAAGTCAACAGGAAATTGGAAAAGCCATTATTTAACTGCGATTTAATTGATCAGCGTTGGGGAGATGGCTGGAAGGATGGGTCTTGTGATTGATGAATGGCCTGGGTCGAGTGTGTATACGGTGATAATGGAATTGAATTTTTTTTTTTTAGATAAAGTATATTTGGAAATATGTGTATAATTTTGTGGAATTATACCGTATTTGTACATTATATAACAGTTTCTGATTGTCTATAAGATTTTGGTATACACCTTTGAGAAGATCGTCTGTACACAATTACCCGATAAGCTAGAATATTTGATCATAGAAAATTAAACAGCTTTATCAACTTTTCTTTTGAAGCATTGGTGATTAGGATTAATATTGTCTATGTGTTGAGCTCAGGTCTTGTTATTAGAGGTGCTGTGGATAATGTGCCGGCCTTCTGACCAGTTGAGGTAAATAACTGTTGTTGGGTGGTTGATGGTGATGCATAACCTCGCTAAATGCGTCACTTGGTAACTCGGTCCAGTCAGCCATCACCACTTCACTGGACTACAACTATACATCCAGCATTAACTTTATCCAGCTGCAAAGTCACTTAGGTAGAAAGTTATTATTGTGCTCTTGACATGTTGGTTACACAGTAGTAGCTTTTTGAGTGAACCTTTGTTAAATGCTTCAGAGATTATGGTTAGTGTAGTCATGATGTAGAACTGTTGATCAGATGTTTGCAGTCTTCCTGATGAATATTTGACACCAGAAATAGATTGGGGAAAGATTTTTTTTTTACATTTACGACAGCAATATAAAGATGTACTGATAGTGATTAATTGAATGTAATTATGTCCTCTGACTGTAATGAAGTTGTGTAGAAGTGAGGGAATGATAGACTGTCTTGATGTTGAGAGAGAGAGAGAGAGGGGGATAAATGTATGACCAGACTGTACTTAAGTTGTAAGAAATGGTGGTAATGTATTCAGGCTTTTGGGTTGAAATGAGGAATATATTAAAGTGGACTGAAGTTATTAGTAAGTGAGAAATTAATTTAGCGCTGCACTGAAGTTGTGTAAAGGAGATGATATGATTCAGTCTGGAGTGAAATTATGTAGGAACGAGGGAATAAGCGCAGACTACGGAAGGAATGTAGGAATGAGGGAGTTAACTGGAGAAGCTGTTAAGTTATTTGAAATGATGGAATGCCATAATAATGAACCTGATTTATAAAGACGAGAGAGTCATTTCCTGATGTAAGTTAGGAGTGAGGGAATGATCAGAACATATCCTCATATTCTGTAGTAGTGTGGAAATGATGTGTTGACTTGGGGGTGAATAGTTGGAATGTTTTACAATATTCCTGTAGTATCTATAAAATTTTCAGAAGAGGTGACCAAGTGGTAACTCTCAGGCTTAAGTTCAGAAAACAGATCATGGAAGCTTAATTTTTTAAATATTTTTACTACAAGTTCATAATTTTAACCTGCTCGTTGTTGATACTATTCTTTTTGACTTCGTAAGTTTTCTATACAGTGGCAGAAATCAGTCAATGTGTTATTACTTTAATTTTATTATGGAACTGAAATCTTTTGTAATGGAAATGTTAGCTTGTTTCATCTTTAGCTGAATTTTTACCTTTTCCGTATAAACTTTGATGATTACATGATATACTTGTCTGGGAAATATTGTATTTATCATAGGTGCTGTACAGTATTTGCTAAAACTAGTGAAATTTACCTTTTGTAAAATATATTTTTATTTATAAATCAAAATATACATGAATGATTTTTTAACATTTTACAATATTTATCAAAGTGAAAGACATAGTAACATTGTGTCCTAAATGTTTGTACAGTATATGAAACATTCATAATTACAGAAGCTCTGGAAATATCAATATTGTGTTCTTCTGTCACCTCCACTGTGAAACATTACACCTTTATTACTCAGAACATTCAGTATTCATTTACATATATGGTTGTGGACATAATTCTCTGGACATCTTTAACAACATCAAGTAGTGTCTACTTAAGGGTCATTGGAATATTAACATTATACAGTATACTGACATCTTTCCTTTAAGCAGTGTTTATATATGTTATTCTGACAAACTATGAACAGCAACATTCATCAGCAGTAAACATACACGACCTACAAGTAGAGGCCAAGTGTCCATGGGGGTTTGGCGACAATTATTGTTCTTGTACAGTATTCATATTCTTTGTGCTCATTTTGACTCTTTGTTAAGGTGAAGATGCTTATGAGACTCAATAATATCATGTTTCAGAGACTGTGGGGCATTATTAGTTCTTTTAATGCTTATGAATTCAATTGGGTCAGGAACATATAAGAAAAGTTAATGAATTTTTTTGGGGGGTACTCGGTTATGACTCGTATGCTGTAAATAAGGAACATTAAAGACTATTACCATGATAGTATCCTGGACTAGACAAACCTACCAGTACTTAAACAAACTATCACACTATCATGTGATAATTAAACACCCTATAGCTAACATAACCTAACCTAATCCCTCAATTAAACTTGGAGTGTTTAATCATCTGGTGAAATAAGCTGAGGTTTCTGATCTTCACGAGATCCTTTTTTAAACGAGACTGAAGAAGTATTGAACACAAAGAAATGATTGATGATGAATAAGTGAATACTCTTGTTAACGAAGGGAATCATAGACACAATTAGCCAGAGAATAAGTAATCACCAGAAATACAGTATAATTATTACTATATATTGTTCTGTATATTATGTTGGCTTAGTTTTTCAACATGTTGTAAGTGTGTTATGTACTATCCTAAAATCCCATGGTGTGACTGTTCCTGGCATCCCTGAAATTACAGTATATATCGTGCCCTTAATCTAGCTCAGCCGTATCAATATTATTTTTATTGCCCACTCTGTACCTGCATTTTTCTGGGGAAATAAACTGTTTCAATATCAACACTTTCCCTCCACAGTTTACACATCACATTTCAAGTTATATTCTGTTTGTTATATTATGTTTATTATTGTATTTTATATTCTATAAATTTTTATGCTGTAACCGTTCCTTCAGTCCTTGTAAAGACAGTTAGATTATTATTTCAGTATTTTGTGGAATAATTTCATATGTACGGTGATACAGTTCATTTACTGTATACTTCTACTTATGATAATTAGTGTCCTTTGCTGGCCTTGAAATGCACCAGAAATATTCTAAGTGACATCCATTTAGAATTATTTAATTTCTTGTCACCCATGGAAATAAGGTGTACAGTTGGAAGCTACTGTAAATTAGTACCTAACTATATAGTTAAGTACCTAACTACAAGAAAAAAACCCAAGGTATTCCTAAAACACACAAATAACCTACCTAACTAGTGTAAATTAGGACGTAACTACTGTAATTTAGCACCTATCACATTAAGAAATGAATGACGTATATACTTAGTAAATTACCTTAAGGTACCATGGGTACTGTATAATGAGAAATTGGTGTACGAATAGAATATTTGTACAGTATTTGTGAATATTGGCAGAGAGAACGCTCATGTAGCGAGAGAGATCTGTATGTACAATATTAAGAATTAAGACAAAATTGACAGTACAGTACAATCTGTAGAATTAATATGCCTGCCCCTGGGGTCTGCCCATATTGTCACCAACCCGTTTAGCCACCACTATTTTTAACCCGTTTCGTCACCACTGCTTTACCCATTTCGTCACCGCGTTCATTCCCATTAATATATACACGAAAGTAACTGTTGCTTGGGATAGAAAATAATAAAAAACAAAAATAATTTATTAAAGACGAAAAATAAAAATAAAAACATTGTTAATATGCCTGCAATTGTCTCACTGCTCGGTGATTTATGCACTGGTGCCAAATCACCTTCATTTGTTCTGTATTTGGTTTATTTACCAATGTTTTAATAATTTTCTTTATTATATAATTAATATTCATGTACTGTACAATTATAACACAATACTTCTCGAGTCGTCTGTATACATGTGTAATTTCTATACTTGTAAAATAATAACTTACAATTTGTCACTAATACCAGCGACTGTTAGTGGTGACGAAACGGAATTGATATTGGTGACGAACCAGGTCGGTAACGAAATGGATTGGTGACGAAATGGGGCGTATCCCTCTCATTAGTACTTCTCTCCCTCCATTTATATTCACTCATCTCGTTAGACATTTAAATTCATTCATAAATCACTGAAGGAAACGAACGTATTTATTCCGCACAAACCCATTAATATAATTATCTTTTTAAACATATTACTAGAGTAGCTTTCCTTGCCGAATATATTGGTGATAATAACAGTTTGGGGAAAAGCTTAATTGGTATTGAAAGTAGAAGCTGGTTGAGATGGTTGAGGAATGTGGAGAGAATGGATAAGACCAATCAGGTCAGAGGTGCACAAGTCTGAACGTGGAGAGGAAGAGAGCAAGAGACAGGCCGAAAATGACATGGGGGAGAGGTTATACGAAATTATATTACAATTAAGAACCTGACAAGAGAGGCTGCAAGACAGTAGAAAATAGCCATAAAACACTGAAGGTGATGAAACACAGGAGACTGCCAACAGAGAGAGAACTGTTAAGAGTTTTGGTGGGTTGATTAGGGAAAGTATATAGGCAAATATGGCTGACGACATTATTGGAAGGATCTTGTCAAAGAAATAATTACGAAAAAAGAGAATCCATATAATAGAGTAGAGTAAAGTACAGTATAGTACAATACAAAATGTATTTAATAATGCTCAGACTTTACTCCTGCAGATTTTCAGGTTCCTGCTTAATGCATATCCTAAAATACAGTGGTAATTATCCTCGTACAATACTTATACAGTTGGTCCTCATATTACGCGGTCCCGCATTCTGCGTTTCACCGTTAACGCGGTGCCTTGCCAGAACCTAACATTCTTACATTCCGCGGTCGCGAACGCCATTACGCGGAGAGTGTCCGGCGCGACGCTATTTTTAGATTTTCCCCACGCGCCACGCGCCTGCCCGCCTGCCTGCCTCTGCCTCCTCCTCCCTCCGCTTGGGCAAGCGGCGCGGTAAGGTTGCGCAGTGTGTCTTTGTTGCATTATCACTGACGTCATATGACTTATCAGACCTGTGATTGGCCATGCATCCCTACCCTCCTCTGCTGCTAGCTGTAATTGGCTTAAAGTATTATGGCGTGTCCATCCGGGGGAGGGAGGGAGGGAGGAAAGACGACGCTTGACCTAGCCGCGGCAGTTTCATCCCTCAAGGCCACTCCGTGTAAACGCGCATCCATTGTTCCGTAAAATGGCTTCCGCCGGACCACCACCCCCAGAGAAAAACCTTTCCTTACCTGGACCCAGCGGCACTAAACCAAAGAAGACACGACGTTCCTTAAGCTACGAGGTGAAGTATACCATCATCCAAGAGTTGGAGAAAGGAACAAGGCAGGTTGATTTGGCTTCTCCGAGACTACCGACGACGACATCCTGGAGGTGATCAGAAATCCTGAAGTGACTGCCGACGAGATGTTGGAAGAAGAACACGCCAGTGAAGAGGAGGAAGAAGGTGCGGCAGTCTCCGAAGAACACAATTTAAGTCATAGTGATATTAAGGGTGCCATGGAGTGTGCAGAGAAGATGAAGTCCTTCCTTTCCCGCGACAATGACGATGACCGCTATGAAGTCTTCCATAACCGGCTGGTGCAGGCTATGGAGCCGTACATCAAGGTGTATCACGACAACATCAACGCCAGCCGTCAGCAAAGCATAACAGATTTCTTCACCCGCAACCCACCACAGCCAGCCCAAGCCAGTGATAGTGACAGTGAAGTTGACTTTGAGGGATTTGTCAGGGAAGCCCTGACAACTGTAAGTGACAGTGATGATGATTCACCTAGTAATGGTGATTCACCTGAGGGCCAGTAATCTGCCCTCTGCCTCGGAACCAGCCTCCATCCCCGTATGCCGACCCATCTCTTCTACTACCGTAAGTGTTCCACCTAACTTTTAGTTTCTCTAAGGTAACCTTCATTTTTCCTATGTTAACCTTTATCTTTCCTAACCTAACCTCTTCTATATTACTTGTTTTTTCATACCATCATAAAGTTAAGATAAAATTTTTACTGCAACATAGTTATGTGTCATCAAAAAGTGGAGTTTGGGGATTGGCCTGGACTCCATTTCAATTAATCCCATATGTTATGTTGTTCACTTAACGCGTTCCTCACTTTCCGCGGGACCCTCCGGGTTACATTAACCGCGTAATATGAGGACCAACTGTACAAGATGAAAAAAGAATACATTACAGGATACCATTGAAATAAGTACAGTAGGTTTAATTGGTACAGTACATTACATGAAAGCCCAGGTAAGCTGAACCCAAATACGAAAAATGTACCACATCCAGGTAGGAATTTAATTGATTTTATCACTGATGTACAGCTGCCTGCACTTATACCTACGTACGTGGTACAGTGGTTGCATTCTGGGTTGTAGGTTTAGATTACATTGTTTTTCAAGTTGGAATGATAAAATATTATTGCTTGGGGCTGTACTGCATATATCTCTTTCACAATAAACCAGATGGCATGGATATACAGTATCTCCCTTTATTTACAACACAAACCGAGTAGAATAGGTGTATGTCCCTTTTTTCTCTGGTTTCACTTAACTTGGTGCTTGTGTATTATTCGGGATGTACTTAAATAGTTAGGCACATTAAATTTTAGTTGAGAGAGAAAAAGTATTTTTGGCCAAAAATCCTTTAAGGCTTTAGACTTACAATTTTTGTCATTTCGGCCAAAAAATGGATTTTGTTCAAAATTTCAGTATAGGTACTCCTGAATGTGCTGCTTAAGGATCTGTTAACCAAAATTTGATATCTTGAATATAACTTGTTCA